ACTTGGATCCAATACCCAGCATTTTAAAAGCAACAACATTTCCCCTTTACATAACTGAGTTACGATGGTTACTTCTTGTACAAGGGATATATATATCTGGAGTTATGACTTGTTATTTCCCGTTGCTGATTACTATGAATCTTAATGATCGATCACCATTGGTATGAGCACTCCTGTCTAAATGTTTAACATAACTGATAATTTTATTTTGACATGTTTCATCTAATATGAGATTCGTCAGCTAGGTGTATATAGTCACCAATTTTCCCTGTCATTAAAATAAAATTACTGACTATATCAAGGTTTGTGTGAAGAAGTTCAGTTCTGTGCAAACCAATGAAAAACAAACAAATGAGAAATAATTCATGAAATCTTTGTCTTAGTTTAAACTATTTATTTATGCTTCTTAGAGTCTTTTACAATGAATTTGTAAATTAATCCGTTAGGTTTTCGGTTTTTTTCGAATGTTAGAATCATTTTTATTCTAAAAAATTAGATAAACGAATTCACAGACCCATACCTAAAATATTTCCTGGTTATAATGTCTATCTAGGCGTTCAGAATCTTTTATAACAGAAGGATACGCTTAGAGAATTAGTAAATTAAAGGTTATGAAACCTTGACAGTCATAATCTTCCAGAGTAAGTATAATTCCTCATTTAAAACGTATTTAAGACTTTTGCTGTACGTTGTAATCTCATGAAACTTTAAGGTAGTAAATTAGGTCAATATGTATATCTGAAATGATCTAAGCGTATAAAGTTCATAGCAAAAGACTAACTCTGAAAGTCTTATCAAGAAGATGTGAGCACTGATACAATAGTGTGCAGAAATACTCCCTAATAGTATTGTTATACAATCTATTTATCACTGCAATAGATAAGGAATATGAAATTCCTGGAATGAATGAGAAAACGTGACGAAACTGTATAGTAGTAGTTAGCCTTTGAATATCATGAATTGCAGTTGAAGTAGTTTTAGTGATTAAGCTGATCTAAGACTTGTAAAATGGGGTTGTTTATCTGATAATCAATCAATTAAACTATTTTTTGAAAAGATTTTAAAATTTTTTTGATAAATTACTGACTATTCGAATTTTCGGTAAGCAACTGTTCTTATTCTTGTCGTGAATGACACTGCTCATTTGCAGAATATGTGAACGTAGCTAAGTGTTAACTGATAAACCTTTATCAAAATAGAAGAACTCAAACATAACCATACATAAAATAACACACAACAACAAAATACGCTTGAATATCGCAATGATCTTGAAGAATAACATAGTTACATTGATGAAAAAGTTGTTCACCTAATCTTTGTTCATCGAATGAACGTCAAACGATTTAACATTCTTCCCAGATAGACAGAATATCCTACTGCCAATGAAGTCAAAGAACGAAGAGTAGTAGAACTATGTGTAACTAAGGCAGGAGTTTGTGGATTTACCTCGATATGATTATTAGTAATATATTGTGCTCACAAATTTATCTAATAAAAAAATTACCCTATCACTATGTACTACATCGAATAGGCTAATCTAATATGGAAGCGTTTTCATCAGACTGGAAGACTCCTTAGTGATATACAACTACGACAGTCTTCAATATCAAGATGATAGAAGTTATTCCTTGTTGAAACAGCATCACCGACGTTAGTGTAACTCTCTCTCTCTCTCTCTGTTAACTATTAACCAATTCGAGAAGCAAGCTATCCCGCTTCTTTTTGCATATTCATGACTTCTGGTTGAACTGAATGTTCACAACAAGTAAGGTTTCGTCTAATATCTTTTTTGATCACTGAAATCTATCAATAATTTCATCAAGAAATCCAAAGACTGCTCAAACAAGGTGGAGAAAAACAACAGAAAAACGTATAAAGTGCAATTTGAGCTTCGAGGTAATATTCTTCATGGAATGACATCATTTGGAGAACCACTGGAAAGCTCGGAGTACTGGACAACTATTTCTTTTTAGTATGGGACTCCTTGGCAGTACGCACCCAAGACCCGTCCAGGGGTCAAACTCAATACCTTCAGGTCTCACGATAAACGCGTTAACCATTCAGTCACTGGGTCCGTGTTCAATAATTCACAGTTTCCAACTTCTATCAATTCGTGAAATAGTGCGATTATCATCCAAGGTCTTCAGATGGTGTCCACTTCCCTTCCGACTAGTTGATCACACAGGTCATAGCTTCTGATAAGAACTTGATGATATCTATGTGGAAGGATGTCACTAATGAACACTATGTAGTAATATATTTTTGAGATGAATGAGGATTTTGATTTTGAGGTGGTATTCATCACCATGTGACATCGTTGGGGTGGGGCAATCGGAAGAAAGGTAAAAGTCATCTGAAGACCTTGAGTGAAAGTCACGCAATATCGCGAATTGAGAGAAGTTGGAAACTGTGAACTACTGAACTCAGACGTAGTGGCTGAATAGTTAACACGTTCGCCGTCAGACCCGAACATTCTGAGTCCGACCCCTGACCGGGTCATGGGTGCGTACTGCTGAGGAATCCCATAGTAGGATAAAATAGCTGTTCAGTACTCTCCGCTTTTCACTGATTCTCTAACTGATATCACTGTGTGATGAATACTACCTGAAATTTAAAATTCACATTCACCTTTAAATATATAATTTATGCATTTTAAAATAAAATTTTACTAATTTTTTCTTAAGAGACAGTCATGCAAATTTTAGATATGCAATATATGAAAGCATTTCATTTTACTCTAATGATTTACAAAAAAAATGTTTTCATCACTCTGTTTGCAGCTATTAGCAAATACATTTATGTAAATATCCCTTTTTATGGAGCACTTTTTTCCAGACTATCATTTTTAAATGCCTTTACAAAGTAGTAAAATCAATCCATTACAAAAGTCATAAAGGGTTCTGCATATGGGAATTTTTAGGGACAAGTACTTTGAGAAGATTTTACGTTATCGTTCAGTGGTAACATTTGAAGTAGGCGTAATTTGAACACAATGAAAGGAGAATAAATGAAATTAAGTCTGTCATTATACTAGTTCAAGTTAATTTTCCCTCTGGGGTAAAGATATAGGCCTTGTTTCGGGGTATGGATAGAAAGCTACTGATAAACTTCACTTCATATTTATTGACTGGATGATATAACATGTAATTACACTGAAGTTTCAAGGGTTAGAGAGCAGAATGTGAAAAACAAGTACTTAGATTCATTGTAAGCCAGGTGTTTTTATTGTTCATTAGGCGTTATCGCTGTTGTGGTATTAGACTTAATTTCTCTCCCCGTAAACCTATCATGAAGTCATTATTTGTCGGGTTAATAAAAATGTTATAAACAAAGAAATGCTTTTATTGAATATTGACTTTTAGGTTGCAGACTTCATGATGTGGAAACATTTAGTCAGTTGAAACTGTGAAGCGACACGTTTTATCGAGTTAAAAGATCGGTTCCGTAATTCTTTCAGAGAGTTGAAATACTATGAATTCAAAATGCCTAAATTCACAGAATTTCAAATCTTTGAAAGAAGTCAAAAAAAAGTTGATAATACTCGTAATTTCAGGTCGCTAAACAAGGTCGAATTGTTCGACCTCTGTTGGCAAATATACTTCTATGCGGATGCCTCGATACTGTTTAGTATTTATGATGGTATATTGATCTTGGTGACTAGCAAAGGGATCCAGTAGGTACTTTTCGTCCTATTTGGGAGTCGTCAGTTGGATATACTTGCTCCTTAGTGAGTGGTGTTATTCCTACTGAGGCACAAGAGGTGGCTGTTGTGCTGCAGTTGCTTAGTGGATAACTCTGTGACATTTGAGATGGTTTGTACTGGATTTGAGCCCCAGTAAGGCCAACATAACCCACTGGAGTGCAAGTACACCTAACCGATGAGTCCCAAATAAGACAAAACATACTTCTTGGATTCCTTTACTAATCACCAAGATTAATATAAAATAAAAAAGTCTTAGAAAGTGTTTAACACATGCCTAAGTTGGACGCTAATATCAATGGAATATAGCAGACTCAGTGGTAGCAGTTTATTATGTATGGATTGTCAGTAATACTTGTGCAATCTCCATATTTTGTATCATCATCAAATAAATACACTTCAAAAAAAAAAAAACTGATCAAAATTATTTGTAATTAATTTTTTATTATTTTGAATAAATGAATGATAGACAGAGAAAGTCAAATCTAGGTTGCCGGTAGCAGATGTCTGGTTCATGCAGCCTCCTTGTTTAGAATTAATATTTTTGTTATAAGAATCTTACTGAATTTTAGTGGTATAAAAAAATGTAGTAAATAGAAAAATCTGATGTTTCTAGGCACGGATTACTAAAATATTACAACTTAGATGAAATTAAAGAGTATTCAGTAGTTCATGAACTATTAGGTTTAAAGTACTTAGGTAGTTGTACTTGATGGGACTACTCGTTCTCATACAGTCTGACGGTTAAAGATTTATGGTGTATCTTCAAAAATGTAACTGTTAATTTTGCTTTCGGCTTACTGATTTCGATGGAAAAGGTATCTACCTCAGAGAATCGTGATGGTAACCTGTGTCATTTTGAAGGGAATCAGAAGGCACAGACAAAGGAGGGAATGTTTATTATTAACATACGGTACAGTAGTCGTTAAATATGGTACACCTATACACTAAGACAGTCACTTGCACGGTGTGTTTCATTTCCTCTTCTGCTCCTCTCTTGATTTGCTCTTAATACTCCCACATAGTCTTTTGTGTTTGTCTGGGGAAAAAATCCTTACCCACTGCTGGTAGTTCCGTATGATTTCTGTCGCCCTCTCGATATATACTACTTATATCCATTCTTATCAGCAACGCCCACTATAGTTTCACCAGTGAATAACAGGTGGCTATTGAAGTCAACTTTTTTAATCCCTGCAAATGAATTGTAATTTTGAAATGCTTTTATACCAGTTACTATTTCTTGATAATTAATCAACTTACATTAACCGTATATTGGTGTATACATTCCATCTGTTTACAGATCAACCATGCTTAGAGCCAACATGCATCAAAGTTGCTTCAGAAATCCTTAGCAATTTGGATACAAGTGTTTCACCATGTGATGATTTCTATGCATTCGCTTGTAATGGTTGGGTAAAACAGAATCATATCCCACAAGGTCATAGTAGTTGGTCTGTAATGCGAAAATTGTCTAAAAATGGTGAATACTTTACCAAAGAATTACTAGGTAAGCTTTTATCTTGATACAAATTCAGAATTCGAACCTTAACTTGGAAGATTTATTCCTTGAAACCAGTAAATGATATAATTGAATATTCGGCAATATGATCAACTTTTTAAACGAACTTTTAACTAGTCATTTCAGTGTAACTATTCGTATATACAAAGAAACTTTCTGAAGGCAATAATATTCATCTTTGTTAATTCAATAGACAAATTTCTATACTGTATGATAAGGAAGTCACTTTGTGCTCATCACAAGAAATGTCTTGATTTAGAATGAAAAACATCGATAGTCGTACTCTGAAATTAGTAGCATTGACCAAAAACGACTATTACTTGAGTATCGTATTCAACTGCAGAGATTTTTATTTCTTGATAAGATTAATAGCTGGTGACGAAAATACTGGGTAATTAAATATCGAGATAAACATGAAGCTCACTGTGGTAATATTGAAGCATATTGAAACGTATTGAAGTGTTTACTACTGAATTCTGAATCATTATTTTTTAGCAGTGATAGTTACTAGGTTAATTCTAGTTGGATTCATATTCATGAAGTCAAAAAATATTTCGTTTTTTCCACTATATGGTTAAGGTTACTTCCGAGGTCAATCAGTTTTTTAAAAAAAACATGATCAACATTAGTAATCTTTATAAAATAATGAGATTATTTGGCATGTATAACAACGTAAAATGGCTAAAAATCTATTAGTTACTAAATGGTATTATTCACTAATAGTTCTGCCCTCTGAGATGGTAGTCTATATAGCATAGTATTTAACTGCCTATATTTGGCCGTATCGAATGTAATAACAATACAGGATAATAACGAAAACAATAATCGCTTTGTTCCAAACAACATGGAATCTTCAATATGGAATATTTCAACAAATTCGCATTTCGTACAATATTTTTATAAGAAATAAATATTATGACTGCATAATGTTAATCATAACAGTATTGAAGGTATAAGTGTGAAACAGGTAGCTAGTGTTATATTAGAATGAATCTGTACTAGATTCGAAAATTAACACAAAATTCAATGCCATTTTCATGGTAGCAGTTCAGTCAACTAGCTGGTACAGAAATCCACAACTACATGTCCAAGGAATAGTAACGGCGTGTATTTTTCAGCATTCACAGATTCACTTCCAACCAATGGAAAAATTTTCCTCCGTTTTGCTTTTAGCTTGAGAAATGAAAGTTCGGAAACATTTTAAAAACATGAGACAGTACATAATGCATTCAGAAGACTTTTGACAAATGAGAACAAACTGAAAGGGAACCTTTGGATGCAGTATAATCGGTGGAAACCTTCTTGACGCTATATGCCAAGTGATTCATAACATATAGAAAGCTCAGTGAGGCCTTTGAAGTAAAGACAGGAAGGAGTAAGACAAAGTTACTGCCCAAGACCACCCATGGTCTTCCTAATTGTCGTCAACTGGATCATGCTAGAAACTGTGAGAAGATAAGCATACACTGGCTGGACCGATGAAAACACCCCAGAAGAAGAGTTGGACTTCACCGCCGATGATGATTTATGTCTAATGTATTCTGTCGCACAAACTCGAAGATGTACAGACGAAAACCAACAAGTCGGCAAAAAAGGCGAGACGAAGCCGCGAAGGAAGATGGGACTTCCTTCATGTGAACATAGAGAAGACAGAGGTGATGGAGATACCCAACCAACAACAGCATCAACAACAAACACCAATCACCATGAATGGGAGAAATCTAAAGGAAGTTGTCCCTTTCACTCACCTAGGCAGGCAGCATCGTCTCAACTAAAGGTGGCACAACAGGCGAAGATGAGGATGTCAAAGCAGCCACGATCGGAAAGATAGCAAGACAAGACTTCCTTCATTAGTGTGAAGTCAGTGTGGAGATCTGCTGCACATTACTGCACCATACTGCACTGCACTACACTCAGCATAAAGCGTGAACAGCATCCGGATTTTCAACACTAATTCAGTCAAGTGAGTCAGTGTTTCCATGTGATGGTTGAGAGACTTGGCGTGTTACGAAAAGCACTTCCAACAATCAACGGACATCATACATAAACAGCTACCGCCTAGACTCACACGATAGTGGCGATCATATGCATGGCCAGAAAGAATAAGCCGGGAGGAACTCACTCTGGCCTGAGAACGAACTAACCAAGAACCCATCACCCAACGAATGTGCAGAAGGAGAGATTGGAGATGGATTGGAATGGACATACACTGAGAAGACCATCCGGGGACATCACGTGCCAGGCCAGACAGTGGATTGGAACCTTCATGAGAAACAGCGAGTGGGACATGGAGGAGATTGTGTTAGGATAAAATGCAAGTTTGTTCGGAGTCGTGGATCCAGGTTGAGAAGACCAGAGAGAAGAGAGTGAAATGGCGACATGTTACTGAATCCTTATTTTCCACTAGGAACCCAAAGGACAAATAATATTCATGTTACTTAATGGATTGATAATAAGAATTAGAGCATTAATCATATATCCAAAGCATTTCTGTTAGGCTGCATCCCATCTTAGGAGCGATATGTCTGAGATTTTATTCATTAAAATGTTGTAAATACTTTTAATGATCTTTTACATCATCTATTTACTTCCCTTTATAATTAATTGCTTTTATAACTTTACAGAAAACTCATCAGTCACAGATACAAGTCGTGGATTCATGTTAGCTAAAATTTATTACCATTCATGTATGAATGAATCTGTTATTGAAAGTCGTGGTTTTAATCCATTGTATGAATATATAAGAAAAATATTTAATGGTTGGTTACTATTACCAGTTGGAAATTCAGCCACAGGAAATAAGAACACTGACTTTTTTCATCCTGATAAATTTAACTTGACAGAAATGTACTTACCTTTACTAAAGTACACGGGCTCAATACCATTATGCCGTATTTCAGTTGGACAAGATCAGATGAATTCATCACGATTTGTTATAGATGTAAGTAAAAATTACATATGCTGATCATTAACAACTAATTACTAACATTTTGAATAAAAGGATTTATTGAAATTTATTGGTATTACTATTATTATTATTATTATTTGTCCTTTGGGTTCCTAGTGGAAAATAAGGATTCAGTAACATGTCGCCATTTCACTTTCTTCTCTCTGGTCTTCTCAACCTGGATCCACGACTCCGAACAAACTTGCATTTTATCCTAACACAATCTCCTCCATGTCCCACTCGCTGTTTCTCATGAAGGTTCCAATCCACTGTCTGGCCTGGCACGTGATGTCCCCGGATGGTCTTCTCAGTGTATGTCCATTCCAATCCATTTCCAATCTCTCCTTCTGCACATTCGTTGGGTGATGGGTTCTTGGTTAGTTCGTTCTCAGGCCAGAGTGAGTTCCTCCCGGCTTATTCTTTCTGGCCATGCATATGATCGCCACTATCGTGTGAGTCTAGGCGGTAGCTGTTTATGTATGATGTCCGTTGATTGTTGGAAGTGCTTTTCGTAACACGCCAAGTCTCTCAACCATCACATGGAAACACTGACTCACTTGACTGAATTAGTGTTGAAAATCCGGATGCTGTTCACGCTTTATGCTGAGTGTAGTGCAGTGCAGTATGGTGCAGTAATGTGCAGCAGATCTCCACACTGACTTCACACTAATGAAGGAAGTCTTGTCTTGCTATCTTTCCGATCGTGGCTGCTTTGACATCCTCATCTTCGCCTGTTGTGCCACCTTTAGTTGAGACGATGCTGCCTGCCTAGGTGAGTGAAAGGGACAACTTCCTTTAGATTTCTCCCATTCATGGTGATTGGTGTTTGTTGTTGATGCTGTTGTTGGTTGGGTATCTCCATCACCTCTGTCTTCTCTATGTTCACATGAAGGAAGTCCCATCTTCCTTCGCGGCTTCGTCTCGCCTTTTTTGCCGACTTGTTGGTTTTCGTCTGTACATCTTCGAGTTTGTGCGACAGAATACATTAGACATAAATCATCATCGGCGGTGAAGTCCAACTCTTCTTCTGGGGGTGTTTTCATCGGTCCAGCCAGTGTATGCTCATCTTCTCACAGTTTCTAGCATGATCCAGTTGACGACAATTAGGAAGACCATGGGTGGTCTTGGGCAGTAACTTTGTCTTACTCCTTCCTGTCTTTACTTCAAAGGCCTCACTGAGCTTTCTATATGTTATGAATCACCTGACATGAAGCTTCATGTAGCATATAGCTGTAGTTGAAGCACTTGCCCAGCTACTTGTTGTTTGGCGCTGTTCGAGGCGTTTTCAATATGGATGAAGTTGAGGTAGACTGTTCACTGTTATTTAATGCTCTGCTTTATGATGATGCCTAGCATAGCGTAGCAATTTGATCCGCAGATGATTTGTTCTTCCTGAATCCAGCCAGGCTGCTCCAGTCGTAATTTTGAATCCAGACAGCCTTTTAACCTCTCCAGCATGGTGCAGCAAAATATTTTGTTTGGAGTGGACATTAGCATGATTCCCCGCCAGTCCTTGTAATGACTTAGGTCTCCGTTCTTTGAACGTTTGACAAGGTAGCCCTTCTTCTAATCAATCGGCAAGCACCTTTCCTTCTTTTCTTTCTCGCGAACCTTCTGTAATAGAGGTGGTGTGAGCATGTTCGCTTATGTCTCTGAGTCTGTTTCCAGTGTTTGTGGAGGAATTCCATGTGATCCTGCTGCTTTCCCGGCTCTCAGCAACTTTATGGCATTCAGGACTCCATTTGTGATTTTGTCGGAGTGCTTGTTTAACTGGTAATTCTGTGGCTGGGTTTCTGGTGGTATTTCTGTACTAGTTGCGGGTGGTGGTGGTTGAAGTGGTGGTCGATTCAAGAGTGTTGTGAAGTGGTCAGTCCATCTTTGACTTTGTTTCCTATCTTTACTAACTAGGTTTGCTTCACTATCTCTCATTGGTTTCATCTGTGTTGATCTTTTCCCTTCGAGATAGTAACCTGGTTATTTGATATAATGTTGTCAGGTCTCTCCTACCTGCAGCCTGTTCTTCACTTGCAGGTTTGTCGTAGAAGTGTCTTTTGTCTTTCCGTGCACTCTTCACTTCTTTGTCCGGTGTAGTGTTTTGTATGTTGTGTACAGTTCCTCTTTTCGTTGTTCATCCCTGCATAGCACCTCCTTGCACTGCACTGCACTGGTTCATCTTCTGCTTCACCATCTTCTTCCTCTGTCAGCTTCCATGTATCCTCGGAGATCCATTCCTTGTCTTACTTCTTGTTCCTTCCTAACACTGTTATGCAGGTTTCTTTCCCCACAGCTTTCAAAGAGTTCCAGTGTTCTTCCATGCAGGCTTCCTGGGAGATGTTGCTTAGTGTCTCCCATTTTTTCCCTGAAGTCCAACGTGAAAATGTCCTTTGTGATTTCGTTCTTCAGTTTCTGTCCTGGGTGTTGAACTTGGACTGTGGTTTATCAGCAGCGTCTATGAAGGCCTTCAACTTGATTCGGAGGGTTCCTTGCACTAGATGGTGAGTGGTGTGAACCTACATATGCATCCCCTTTTTATCTGCTCTTGTTTCTAGTAGGCTGGCTGCGTCTCCACTTCACATTGAGATGAAGTCGATCTGATTTTTAGTGTAGTGCGTCATGGTGTCTGGTGAAATCAAATCCATGTCACTGCCTTGTGAAAATACTTGCGTTTGTACACACTGCTTCCAATCGCCAAGTCATTAAATGTGCAGAAGTCTGCAAACAGTTCTCCATTCTCATTTATTTTACCAAGTGACTCTAGACTCATGATGACTTCTCTTCCTGTTTTATCTGGTCTCAGTTTGGCATTCGTGTCATCCCACCCATTAGAATTTTGATATCGCCAACTAGAGTCTTGCCCATTAATGATTGCAGTCATCTGTAAAATTCCTTTTTCGTCTCTTGATTTGCATTATTTGTAGGTGCGTAGCGTAGTATTGTATGAATATGACTTTCCTTCCTTTCGAGTTGAATCTTGCTGTCATGATGCTAATCCTGCAGGATGACATTGGTTCCCACTGCATGAGAGTGAACTTTCGATGCTGTTGAAGACATCATGATAGCCACTCCAAAACTCAGACTGCTTGTGGTTATCGTCTAGGTGACAATATCGGCGTAGATTATTGACTCTCCAGTTAACAGTTTAGAAAGTCCACTTCTATTGCATCTACTTTCGCAGATTCCTAGCACTTCTGTGCCATACCTTCTCATCTCTTTGTCGATCTGAGCAGCCTTGCTAGGTTCAAACGCTGTGCAAATATTCCATGTCCCCATTCATACTTTCACTTTCATCGAGAGGGAGAAGAGATATTGGCCATTTGGCTTCCCGAAGGCTTTCACCAACCGGCATCATTTCGTCTCCCCGATTCCACCGAGGAATAAGTTTGTTTTTATTTTTTTGTGCCTTTAAGTTTCTTTAGTGATTGAGTTGGTTTTATGGAGTATGGTTGGTGCCCTATACCCAATCTTCCATCTTTATCCGGCTAGTAACTAGTGAACTAGTTAACCAGGCGAGGTTATTTATTGTAAATTGAAGAGCTAATTACTTCAAGTTGATATTCATCACGGACTGACATCAACTGTAGAACTAGCGGAAACCTGAATGCACTGGACAGCTGTTCTGTCCTAGAGTGGAACTTCTCATCCGTGTACCCTCATGACTCGGTTTCACCAGGGGTCGAACCCATGATCCTTACGTTTCATAACGAGCACTTTAACACTGGGACGATAGATTGAATTCCAATGGTTTACGTCTTCTTACTTCTGTCAATCTGAAAAATAGTGTGGTCTTCATCTATTGTCATCTTTGAGTATTTGTCTACATGTCCAACTTCTTCCAACTCACCGATCATGACTTCACTAAAACTTCCAGAAATCTGATCTCAGAGCAGTTTACTAATGAGCACCAGAGATTAATCTTATAGTTCTTCAAGTGATGTCAGTCAGTTGTGAATACTAACTTGAAATCAATATATCCCCATAAACCTTTAACTTGAGTAATTTGTTATTTAACTGAAACAGTTAATGTTATATCACTTTTCAATACTTTAATACTATTTAGTAACTTCTGCTTAATGCCTATCAAATTCATATAGGCAAAAAGCAGAATTTAAGTAATGTTGGGTTGTGTGACTTTCTGTTAGTTTATTCATTTGCTATTTATGATGTGTACCATTATCATTTAGATCCTTTAAAGAAGCCTTAACTTCTCACAAAATATTCATTCATTATTGCAAGCTGAATATTGGTAGAAAAAAACACCATATGATCATACATGTATCAGGTTAGTAAGTAGAACTTAATCGATAGGAAACACCATCCCAGAAATCTCTAATAATAACCAAGGCCACTTTAGACACAATATATACTGTTGCGTACTGTATACTTTATGAATTGGCAAGAGTAATTCTATTGTTTTACTGCTTCTTCTCATTACTGAGGAACAAAGTGATCCTCAACGGTGGAATGCGAAGGTTTTTTTTTCAAAAGTTCACATATATCCTGGTTACTTATGTCACGTCAGTCAAATGAATGGTATTTTTTGTCCACTTTGTTGTAATTAGACATAGTGATGTTCACTGGACAACTGATATCAATTTTTTGGCTCCAGGAAACAAAAAGATGTAATTTTAGCCAATTTTCATTATAATTGTCTAATCATTTATCCTGGGTGATAATTGAAGGTGAAATGAAAATTTGGACCGCGGTCGGATTCGAACCAGTGGTCACCGGGTTCCTGGCCTGGTGCTCTAGCAACTGAGCTACGATATAAAGTATCAGGCTGGAAACCCTGCGGTCGTTGGTTCGAATCCGGTAGCGGTCTAAATTTCCACTTTACCTTCAATCATCAATTAGTAATAATACTAGTCTACCAAACCATGGCTGCTATCTCAAATAGTCAAAATGATAATCATTTATCTTACACTTACTCAGTGTTTTAGTCCCATTAAATGGTACGGTAGGATAAATGAATTTGCACGGGTTTGTTATTGGGCTAAATAACAAGTATTTTTGTCACAGTGGTTCAGTAGAATGTTAATAGGCAGATTATTTTTATGAGTTGCGTAATAGGGTGAAACTCCGATTTATTTTCTCTTAGTTTTTTCCCTTTGGTATTCGAGCGATATCAAAACGCAGTGAAGTACACCTTCAAATCTAACATATTTCATCATTTCTATTTGTAAAGACTTGAAGTTTTACCTGATTTAACAAAACATGCAAATGTTAATAGTTGAAGACTTTTTACTGTAAGATGGTTGTTGGTGAACAGTTGTATTACGTTACTTTTAGAATTTTTCACCTTCGTCAACTATCTGTCAAGTTGGTTCACTGAGAGGTAACTTCTAAACTGTTGAATATAGCTTCGGTGTATTCTGTGTTATCTCGATTTTCTTTAAAATACACATAAACATTAGAAACGTACTGCTGGATTACACCATATTCACCTACTATGTCTCTAAATGATCTTAGTTTCACTACATTCTACTTATTTGAAACTTATTAGAATAAAGTGGATTGTTATGCACTAACAATTGAGTAGTTCTGTTTCTAAAGTTGTGAGATTGTGATTTTTGTGTCTCCTGCTAGTGGTAATGAAATTGATTGATAAAACAAGTTTCCAATTTCCTTAGGATAACTTTTTCATAAATAGGTAGGTAGATTATATCCTAAAATAAATTTGTTCAGCTGAAGAAACTTATTTAGTCACTTGAGTTGCAATGGACATAACCTATGACAACATTTTTACCTTCAAAAATCTTTTCACTCAGACCTTCTTACATATTACATTCCTCCACTTCTATAATTCTGACTCCTCTTCATGTTCACCACACTGCATCATTTAACTTAGTAACTAAATCTTACTTCGGTCTTGATAAATCTTCTCAATACAATTTTAAACATTACGTAATTCTTTTTCCAATCATCTGATTTACAGTCAGATCTGAACTTCGTTCAAAATATTTCATGAAACATTCCTTCTCTCTTTCTATGCGAATCGAATATTTATATGCGATTGTACAGCTTGAGAATGATATCGCTGAAAAGAATGACTCTTCGCTGAATGTATTTTGTTTTATGTCAACCGAAGATGTCAAATGTACTAAAATAACCTTCATCTTACAGACGTCGAAGCTTGACAGTGAATGTCAACCTATTTGCATACATTGAAGTGCATCTTTGATTGTAAAGATAAATGTATCCTATAAACTCATAAAGGAATGAATATGTAACGTAAAGCTATTCGTTTATACTTATAAAGAATTTAATACTTATTTTTCATGATTATTTCAACAGCTTATTATAAGGGGTGTCTAATTTATAAAAATACTAATGCCTATGATATCACTCAAAAAGACCTTCACATATTGCTTCAATCCCATGACTTTTATCTTGTAGATGGTTCTCTTATAGTGAATATTGCATGCCTTATAGTTTTCTTTTGATCTTCCTTGGTCCCCTCATGTCTTACTGATTCCCAATAAAATCCTTCGTTAGACTACTGGCTAAAATATTTTCTATGACAACAAGTATCCTCTGCATCCACACCTATCTACATGCCTGTTGTCTGGGAAGACAAGAAACAAATGTATATTAAACTTTATGTACTCACAACTACATATAAGCATTCAACCATACCACGTCATTTAGCTTGTATATTTTCTAGAGAAAATCTTGTTAGGCATAGTCTTATCAACCAACTTAGTAACAGCGAACAGTTATCATGTCTCTGAAGTTATTAAACATTTCAACAATCCTCTAATTCGTTACTGTTTATTATATATTGTTAAACAGAATCATTCTTAATGTTTTAAAAATGGTATACAATGGGTAAAGTGATGTAATATCACACGCTGAGAATTCTGTATTCTAAACATTATTATGGTTCGGAATAAAGCCAATATATTATTATTATTATTAATATTTATACAAACACTGTGCAACGGAGAATCGGATATTCAAAGGAAGTTATTCGAATAATGATGTTATTAAATTTTGAGGGGTTGTGGAGATTTGGAAATATTTCAAGTTGTTATTCATCGAAGACTGACATCAGTTGGAGGAACAAAGGAAACCTGGGAGCACCGGACAGCTGTTTCGTCCAACTAGTATGGGACTCCTCAGCAGTGCGCACCCACAACCCCACCAGCAAAGATCGAACCCGCGACCTTCAGGTCCCGTGACCAGCGCGTTACCATTGAGCCGCTGGGTCAGAATCCAATGCTCCATATTTCCAACTTCTGCCGTGAGGACAAATACTCAACGATGACATTGGGTGGCGGTTTGCGCTATATCGTGAGCTAACAGAAGTTGGAAATATGGAGCATTGGATTCTGACACTGTGGCTCAATGGTAACGCGCTGGTGGCGGAAACTGAAGGTCGCGGGTTCGGTCCCTGCTGGTGGGGTCGTGGGTGCGCACTGCTAAGGAGTCCCATACTAGGACGAAACAGCTGTCCAGTGCTCCCAGGTTTACTTTGTTCCTCCAACTGATGTCAGTCTTCGATGAATAACAACTTGAAATGATGTTATTATTAAAATTCATAGAATTTTGTTCAAATGCAAGCATATTACTTGTGCTCTTAAAGGTAATCAATCCATAGACTTTAATGTTTGTATTCGGCATTACTTATATTGAAAAAAACATCCTGATAGATCTGCGAATTTACGTTCAGCAGGTGTACTTCTTGTGTATCTGTGTGATATTCAAATTATCCAGTCAATTTATAGTGACGTTCTCAAATTGACGGGTATTTGTAAAAATTCCACTCTTCTTAGAAAATGAAAATCCTCTTGAAAATAATAGTTAATATATTCGAAGATATGAGAAGATAGAGAATACTACCTATTAAATTCATACTTTTGAACGTATCCCAACCAGTAATGGATTGGTTGATTTAGTAAAACTTCGGCATCGAGTTAGTATGATTCATCTTATTAGATGTATTTTTACTTGTGTAATCGCAGCGTAGTATAATAGAATAAATAACAAAATAAACAAGTATTTTGTATTATTCCTCAACGTTTTCATTCCTTTTCAAGAGTATGAATCTGAACATTAGGTTTGCAGGTTAATATTCAAGTTTTGGTACAGAAGGTGATAACCTTTACGATCATCCAAATACATCATGATATGGAACAAAGATCAATGTAATACAGATGAGTGAGTAAGCAAATCGGTCAGTTGTGCTAGTAAGGTGGAACAAAAATAGGGTGGGAAAATTTAGTTCATCTATGAAAAGTACAATGGGGTTGGAAATCATTAAGGCTGAGAAAGAATAGATCACTAGTCTGGAAGGATGAATGTTTGAACATTAGAAGTATGAATGATAACAAAATGGTTTGTGTAGTATAACAGAATGGTTCATAGAATGTATATAACGTAAAATTGATGAAAATACTAGATCAGTAAAGTATTACGTAGTGAGATTAGACAAGCTGTTGAAATACAACGAATACCAGTGATGTGATTAAGACAATTAAATGAAATAACACCGGAAACTATTCAAGCAAGAATAAATTCGGAATGAATCATGTGGAATACGGCGAAGTTAAGTTGTGTTCTATCTTCTCTTCATATCTTATTTACAACTGTCTGTGCGAGTCATTAATGTTTGTCATATTTGTGGGATGTCTAACCCATCTTTTCTATTGACCGAAGAAGAGCATGAATAGATGTGCAAAGCTTCTACAATGGCCAGTTCTTTGTGAGAAAGAAAACCCTTTTGCAAGACTTCTATCTTTTCGAATGATATTTTATGACTTGGATATAAAGCATGAGTCACGATGGTACAGCTTTAATCAAGTTTTTCAGATCATAGGAATTTTCATGGTGGTTTTTGCAACTTTGACCGTGTTTGCTTAGACGGGTTAGTACTTGACATGATGTCTCCCCAATGTATATGGCATTGCACTCACTTCAGTCCACCTTATAAACACAGTTCTGTTATTCCAAATGGGGAATCAGATCTTTTAATTGACACACGTATGATTGTAGTATATTTCTCACCTTAAAGAATACTCTGATGTTGTAACTATTAAGAGTAGGTTCCATTTTTCTCTGATGTGGATGTTCGATAAAAATGCACTACAGTACTTATCCAATCTTTATGACTTGATTTTCAGTTTCTTTTTTTTAATAAATGTTTTTCTATCCTTTTTAGTTGGTTACCCGGGTAGTTGTTTGATTTTCAGACTTCTTGAAGAAGTTGTCAAGTATTTGAAAGTAGGCGAAGTCCCTGAAGTTGCTTTACATTATCTGTGATCTTTATTTGAGATCTCAAAATATTTCTTTATCTATCAACTGTCTGATTAATACTCAAGCAGTTTCATGGATTGTAACCGAATTACTTTTTATTTATTTAAGCTTTCAGAAGGATTTGTTAGTTTACAACGTGAATATTATGTGAACGATTCTTATCCAGCCTACTCAAAAGTAAGTTTTCAAATTTATTACCCTGTTTTATATAAAATCACCAGATATGTTTTTTAATATTATTTCCAGTATTATTTATTAATCATTGAGGATTTTTACACTGTAATAACTTAAAACGATTTGATACTTTGGCAAATTAAAAAAAAACAGTATTCAGCAGACAATTATTCTGAGGTAGTATTATTTTGAAGTTTGCCTACAACTACATAACAACTCTAATAATCTGGTTCCCACTGATAAATTATTCGGATTATCATGATGTATGACACAATCACATGACTGTGAATCAAAACCATTGATGACTGAAGTAAAGTCAATAGCTGAGTGTCGTCGTTGAATTAAAAGAGCGGTGGACCAGTGATCCGCTTCCGTTCCACCTTTGGTCATCACCTCGTATCACTAAAACATTCATCATTATTTCGAGGTTATATGAAGTAAAGGGAGACCAATTATCAACCATAATAATAAATGAAATAATCCAGGATAAATGAAAAAGGTCATATTTATTATATTCTGAACACAGAATTTTAGAGGTATACAATAAATCTTATTTTGAAGCAACTGAAACACTAGTGATCAGTCATTAATAAAAGCCAAGTAATAAATTATATCGGATTTCTAGAGTGACTTTAAAAGGCGCCTAAAAAAACTACTAAACTAGTCAATTAATTTTCTAGTCGATATGTTTATGGAGAAATTGGAAAGTGAACCACTGCGTAGCAAAATAGATAAACTGTCCTTCTATTGTAGATAAATGGGTGACACTTCCATTCTATACGGAAACGACACGAATCTTGACATTCTTCTCGGTAAATTCAATAGTACTCATCCAAAAATCGAGTTCAAATGTGAAACGAAGAAAGATGGATGTCTGCCATTTCTGAATGTTTCACTATCAAGACGAACGGATGGAAGTGTCAGATGCAATATTTACTGTAAGAACTCATGGGTTGGTCAGTATACATATTTCCGATCATTTGTCCCTCTTACCTACAAAAGGAATTTTATCCATACACTGAGATTTTGAGCCAGTAAGATTTCCACGGCTGATACTTTGAACGATGAATTAAGAATAATAGAGAACTCCTTATATAAGAACGGCTATCTTGAAAAGTTCGTAAAGACTGTGACAATGAAAACAGCTGGAGAAAAGCGCCTTCAAATTGTGTCGAAGAAACAATTGTAACTAACCTTAGGGTTCAACGGAGATACAGTTGCAGAAATACTGGTACTTAAACTCATAAATCTGACACAAAAAACCTTCTTTGGCGCCACGCCATGTTTGAAATTTATTACTCGCTGTATGATGCCAATGCAGTTGAAGGATAGGCTTCCGAATCCGGCCACATCTGTGTGCATTTATGCATTTAACTGCTCCTGTGGAGATAGTTACATAGGCAGAATGACTCGGTAAGACCACCATCGCTTGATGGAGCACTATCCAGCTTGGTTAGGTAAAGGAACAGTGAAATCTTTCAAAAGCTCAATAGTCACCCATCTAGTGGATACTGAACATAAGATTGACAAGACCTCGGCATTTACTATTATTTTTAACGAAGTCCCATCACAACACTCAAAGTTTGTGCGTCTCCGATTGCTAGGCATAGCAGAAGTCATAGCAATTAAAATGTTCAAACCTGATTTATGTATTCAGAAAATGTTTGTTCGTTCCACTTCCCTCCTATGGCCTTCAGCTTCAACCCAGAAACAATTACAATAAGTTCCTTCCCGATAACCTGGATAAATGTAAATGTGAATATTATCTGTGTTTGTACTCTAATCATTATCATTTTATTTTTCGGCCTTAGTTTCTTTCATAAGTGATTAAGAATTTTATCATTTAATCTCTATGCGACGATAATTTTGTTTTCCTCTATCCTTGCACACACACACACACAATTCAGTCACACACGCACAAGGATTGACTACTGAGAATATATAAACTTTCCGAGATTTCGTTTAGTTATTATCACCTTTACTGTTATCTCCTAATTTATAACCGGAATTTAACTGTGCTGATATCAAAACAAGAGTATGCGGAATAATTTATAAATGTAAATGTAAAGCCTGATGAGAATTTACCGAAAATGCGTATTCACTTCAAACTTTGTCTTCTATCCTTCTAGCCAAAATGTGGCTATTGAATTGGTCATTTTACTAGTTTGAAACAAGACATAAGCAAACAATATTGTTCTCATTTAGCTCCTCTTTGGGCTTTATTCGAATACAAATAGTTAAATATGTAATGAAACATATAATTAAACCACCAATCATATAGATTTGTCGGTTGATGTGATAAATGTTTTAAAATAACGATAGTGATAATAATAATTAAGTTTTGAGGGGTTGTGGAGATTTGGAAATATTTCAAGTTGTTATTCCATATTAGATTTGTTTATTTGATATAAAGCGCACAGTGATACAGTATTATTTAACTGATTAGATTAGATCCGATAGAACCAATTAAGCAAAATAATATAATCTACCAAATTCCATGTAATGACTGTGAAGTCAAATACATAGGTCAAACTAGCCGGTCGGGGTCAGTTAGATTAACAGAACATAGGAATTTAGCTAAACATAGAACGGCAGACCCCAATAAGATCAGTAACCTAGACAAACACTCGGCCATTGCATTACATTCATTAACACACAACTACACAATAGGGTGGGACAAAACCACTGTACTTAAGTCTAATATAGCTAGGTGGAGAGAGAGATTAATTACTGAATCTTTGTTCATCGAATCCACACCCAACACATGTAATAGGAATGACGCAACACCTATACCAGAGATATGGAAAACTTTACTACCAATCAAAAACAAAAAAACAAAGAAAGATCAGGTGACAGGACTATAAAATCAGATATCGAAAGAAGTGTGATTACATTGATATGATTATGAGCAATAATTTATGCTCGAAACGTAATCAATTAAATAATACTGTATCACTGTGCGCTTTATATCAAATAAACAAATCTAATATGGAACTACATTCTACCACAGTGCCCAAGTTTTTCACTTATATCAAGTTGTTATTCATCGAAGACTGACATCAGTTGGAGGAACAAAGGAAACCTGGGAGCACTGGACAGCTGTTTCGTCCTAGTATGGGACTCCTCAGCAGTGCGCACCCACGACCCCACCAGCAGGGATCGAGATAATAATAATGATAAAATTAATAACCTTGACTAAACCATATGCATTGTTGGTCAGGATACCTTCAAACATATGCAATATAGACGATAATGATGATAAGAACCAAGACGGCAGTATGAAAATGTAGACACTCCGATAATCAAAGTGAGTTAAAAGCTTGTGAAAATAAAAGTTACATAATACTAAAGGACAAGGTAAGTGAATAGACAAAGCCTAGACAAATACAGTAAGTATATGAAAAAGGCAAAGAATAAGAAAAGGGGTTGGTAAAAAAAACTGAATGGTAAGGTTATTAACTAAGTATTTCCTGGTCAAGGGAAAGATAAGGGATGTACAAATGTTTGCTCTCTACAAAGACTAGGATTATTAACTCGAATTCCCACAGCTTCTGTTATGTGTAAAAGATGGGTTTGAATACCTTTCGGAAGGTGAGATGGTATGCGGTGAGTAATCGCGAAAGCAGTGATCTTATCTACCAAGTAACCCCTGTCAACAAGGTGAGATAAAACGGAACTTTTGATGCATTTTATCTGTCTTTTCCCCAACCACGAAGGTAGATGCTCAGCAACATGTTTGTTAAGTTACCTGGTAATACGCCCTGTATTTCAATAGTTGTTAGGATCGCTTGATTTCTATTCATCTTAAGTTTATTTGATTCAATTATGTGATCTCAAAACCAGTGGGAAACATGTTCTTTCCAACAAAATCACATCATTATATTTGTTGTGCACATATTCATGTTCTCAAAACTACAAGTGAACTTGCTGATACAGAATTAACAGAATGTTGCTATTCAGTTTGCACTAGAATAGGAAATGTTGATGGTATTGTGTTCTCTAAGTTGGATGGTTTAATCATGAGGCTTTCATTGTCATTCTAAACAACATCATCAGCATTTTCTGAAGTTTATACTGGTGATGTCTAGAATGACAACGAAAGTCTCACGATTAAGTCATTTAACACATAGAACAGAACACTATCAAAATTATTCCCCTGAGCTACAAACACTCACCATTATCTTAAAAAGAGGAAATGTCCTTCAGGTTAAATAAAGATAAGCGGGGTGAAAGTAAGTTTTGTAGCTGACTGAAGACAGCTTTTATTACTACAGGAACTGTTTTCTCAGCAAGTGGTTGGTTATTACTGTGGCATGAAATGAATTTTTTGCAGACAACTGAATACATGTGGGGTACTTCATCGTACAATGCACCACTGACAAGTATTTTACTAGTTCCCTAGTACAGATATTTAACCAAAGAAAGTTGATGCTGAATAAGAAAACAGTTACTGAAATAAAATTATTGCCCATTTCATGTTTGTTTTCGAAATATCAATCTTCTGATTGTTTCTTCGTTTTGTCTAGTGAATAAATAATCCAGAAAACCTAGTTTGTTATTCACTTCAAGTTCAAATTTCATGGAAATAATCAGATATGTTTTATAAAGTGATGAGGTGACTCATGATTGTCACCTGTGACAACAGTCTTATCTATACAGGGTTTGTGGAAAGTAGAATACTGTAACAAACCTTCTATAACTCTAAAATCAAATTATTTACCGTATGATATAATGATTGTCTTTGCGTGCACATGTCTTATTGTGGATTTCTTAATTAAGAGGGAATATAAACCAGTCTTCCATAATGCTCACTGATCATTTGGAAGAAGTCAAACCATGCCTTAAAATGGTTTCAAATATATTATTTGGTTGGAAGCAGTCGGCTGGAAATCTTAGACCTACATTTTATGTTTGTTGGCATTCTTTTCAGCAAGGCGTATGCGCGATATCGACGGAGCCGATGTCCTGTCTGAGATTCTTACACACATCACCCAGTATTGCAATCAGTGACGTTACCAATAGGCTATTCGAGCGGCGACTGATCATCTGTAGGACTGTCGATTTATCATCAATAACATTTCAATATAGTTATATCACTGTAACCTGATCTATACAGAACAGCGTCAGCTGACACAAATTCTTGTAAACAAATTTCATATAGGACACCATCTACAATGTCAGTTATTATTTGCTGTTCATTTTCTTGCTTTGAATAATCAGCCTTATAAAGATGATGGGATTGGATTATTACGTCTTATTAAAACAAACCTACTTTAAACATTGAATTCTATGTAGTGTTGATTTGACGAATTATGAGCAATCATCTTTGTCGATTTAATTCAGTCAGGTTTTATTTTTGCCAGATATCTTTCGAACAGTTTGGAGGATACGAAGTATACCATCGAAAGTATGTTAAATTCTATTAAATGGAGTTTTACCTTCTGATAGCCTTTAGTGTGTAACTACTCTTCATAGTGATGTGAGTAGCTTGAGAAGGTTCTTTACTTTATGTAAAGTAATAGTATACACACCAAAGAGGATATCTTGGCTATATGAAGTCATAGTTATCATGCTGGACAACACCAGACCTCAAATGTGTTCTACTTTTATTCTCAGGAACGAAGACTTCAAAATTAGACATTCATCAATCAGTTTTGTTGAGTAATTTCCATTTGAAAGTTTATGGTAACATCTAAGTAGTAAGTGACTTATCATAAGTATTCCCGGAGTACTACTAGTGTCCGAATGCAAAAATGACTCATTTCAGATTTGTGACTCTTCATTTTCGATCCTCTGTGCAATATATAAGTTGAACTATTAGTAGAGAGTCGATGATTGGAGTTGCGTTGGAACTCGAATTAGTGGTTCTGGGCTTTCGAACCTGCCATGGCCTGATTCCCAACTTCACCTTTAATTATCAACCCATTTGATTGATACCAGTCTGACAAACTATATGTATCTCAGATAACCACATCAATAATCTGCAGAAATCAAAGGAGGCTGGAGTCGGACTAGAACCTACTTCATGGATGTGACAAGAAGTAATAGTCTTCGACTCTCAACAGGTATACTGTACCGATTAAAAGGTGACATTAAAATTCTAGTGCTATCCAAAGAGTTATCTGTCTTTCATTCTAGAACTAAAGTGAAAACGAAACCCGGTCACTGTCTGATATGCTGATCAGAAAGTTATTAGTTGGCTTCTTTCATTAACAGTAAAAATGATGCCAGTTTAGAGTTCAGCATTTTCTGAAGTTTCAAGCATTTCTGTTAAACCATATAGAAGACTGTCAGTTTTTCAATCGGTAGGTGGCAGTCCTGAAACTTACACTTTTGAATTCAGTCACCATAGAATTTACCGTAATTCGCACTTCAGTTCTCCACAAGTTATTGTATCTATTCTAAGTAAAGAGTGGAGAATAACCTTTTTGGAGCAAAATAAGTTGAGTTTCATCAAATGTTGTTGATAAGTAACTTGGATCTATCTGTAAACGAGTAGGAGAACAAGACTCACTAGTGTCTAAATGTTAAACTTTCGGTACAATCTATATACATTTTAATTAAAGTCTTCAAGGTGGTAATCATCACTAACTTACATCATTTGAAGAGCCACTGAAAATCTAGGGGAACATGACAGCTGTTTCGTTCCATTCTACCACCAGGTCAGAATTAAGTGATTTGAGTTCTCCTACTTTTGTTAATTTGTCACATAGTACGACTGCTATCCAATACCTCGGATAATTATTAACCATCATGTCCACCTTGGTTTGTCCCACAGATTGTACTTTCTCATTAGAACTTCAGGACATCTGATAGTCAGTTATTCAGGATATTATCATCGTTAATTAAAGCGTATAGCGAACTTCAGAATTTTTATCATATACGTGTTTCTAATGATAAGACAGTATTTTCAGCCGTCACTTAATGATTCGCATACATAATCTCTGTTATTTAGACTAACGGTTTTTTACTTCAGCCTATATTTCGACAATGTATATGCTACTCTCTCTCTTTCTTTAAATGTTTATATTTAGAAAACTGAAGCATTTCGACGCTTCATGCGTAATTATTCACTATTGCTTGGAGTACCAGACACCTCATTGCATGAAATAGATAAGGTTTATGAATTTGAAAAACAAATAGCATTGGTGAGTATTTCTTTATTCTTTTTCTGTTGAATAATTAAGTATAAAATGTAAATACAGAAGTTGATAAGGTCAAAAGAAATATGATATGAACATAGATGATGTGTTAAGATTGAGGTGAAAAGATTCTTTGAGATCCGGTTTCCTTTTTGGCAAATGTCCACTTAAAGTCAAGGGATTCACTAAACATTTTTTAAACACATTCTTATGCTTCTACAGTTTAATGAACTTGTAGGTGTACACATTTCACGTAATCTAGAAACTTCACTGAAGTCATTTAAGATATTTGATGATTGTTCGTAATCAGTCAGAGTGGAACTATGGATGGCTATGTGTTCAAAGGGACGTTTTGACAACAAACCCTGAACAGTATCGATTTATTATTATTATTATTTGTCCCTTGGGTTCCTAATGCAATATAGGGCTCCAGTAGCACGTCTCCAATGCACTCTGTTCTCTGAAATTTTTTGAACCTGGCTCCACGACAGCCTACAAGCTCTCATTTCCTCTTCACACTATCTGCTCCATGTCATCCTCACCTTGGACGCCTAACTCGTCGTTTCCCATCTGGGTTCCAATCGACGGCCTGACATGGGGTGTGATGTCCCCAGTCGGTCTTCTCAGTGTATGCCCTATCCATCTCCACTTCCTTCCTGGGCATATTTGTTCAGCGATAGGTTCTTGGTTGGTTCGTTATCAGGCCAGAGTCAGTTCCTTGTTGCTTACTCTTATTATTCTGGCCATCTCATCTTCAGTAACGAGCCAATGTAGGCACTCGTTGATGAATATCTGTAGTTTGTTGGAAATGCCTTTCTTAACGCGCCAAGTCTCTGAGCCATACAGAAACACTGACTTGACAATGGTGTTGAAAATCCGAATCTTGTTCCACATGCTGAGTGCAGTGTAGGAGATCTCCACACTGATTTCAGATTAATGAAGGGTGGCCTGTCTTGCTTTTCCGATCCTGGCTGACTTTGACATCCTCGTCTGTGCCGCCTGTAGTTGAAACAGTGCTGCCCAGATAGGTAAAGGAGGCTACTTCCTTTAAGTTTCTCCCGTTGATGGTGGTTGGAGCTTGTTGTTGTTGTTGGTGGTGGTGTTGGTTAGGTATCTTCATCACTCTCATCTTCTCTACATTCACTTGAATTCCTGTCTTCGCTGCCCTACCTCTTCTGTCAAGTTGTTAGTTTTCGCCTGTAGATCTTCAAGTTTGTGTGATATTAGACACAAGTCATCGGCGAAATCCAAGTCTTCTGGGTTCTTTTCCCCGGTCCAGCCAGCGTATCCCCCTCTTCTCGCTCCTCACAGTTTGTTGCATGATCCAGTCGACCAAAATCAGAAATATCATGGGTGATAGTAGACAGCCTTGTCTTACTCCTGTCCCCTGTCTTCACTTCAAAGGCATCACTGAGCTGCTTCCCATTGTGAATTACTTGACATGTGGCGTCTTCATACAGTTGTTGAATGAGGCTGATAATGGTTTATGGTATTCCGTAGTGTTGAAGCAGTGTCGATAGATTTAATCTAACAAGACTAGGTAAATTCATAACACAGTGTAAGGATACTAAGTCGAACAAATAACAATACGGAAGACTTTGGATAGACAGTGAATAGTTTCTATGAGTTAAAGTAAGTGTCAAACTGAATAAGGTCAGAAATATAGGGAACTTAATGAAAATTTGACATTAATTAAAAAAGGTTAAGGTTGTTTAAGTCTCCATATTATTGAGATAAAGTAATTCAAAGGCTTATTCTAACAGTCTTCAATTGCTTTTCTCATGAAAGTTATCACAGTCAGAGTATCTAAAGCTCAAAAATGAGGTAAAAACCTCATACTTGACTATTGCGTAACATGCTAGGATTATTTCATTCCAAACTGTCTGAGATTAATATAAACACAAATTACACCTAATGATACAATGAGTGAGTCCAACTTACATATGAAGTATATACTGGCGTGGCGGAGTTTTGAAATATACTATCCACCATATCACCTACTACAATAATGAAAAAGATTCTACACATCAAACAGAAGAGTTGTACATGTGGAATGTATAGTTCAACTATTTCGTGTATTTTTGATGATGAAAGACAGAACAGTCAGTATGTTAAGTTTTTTTATGGAATCTAAACACCTTTCTTCTTTTTTTTCCATTCACTATGACAGAGGACTGAAGAACGTAGTGAGAGGGATCCAGAAAAAAATTATGAACTTGTCACGTTGCAAAGTTTATCATCTGTTTGTCCAGTGGTTAGTTTTAATGATGTTAAAATAACTTTATATTTAACAGTATCATTGGATGGTAGAAACAGGATTTTTATATTGGGTACTTTTTTCAGTTTATCTAGAAAGTTACAGAAAATATTCTACTAATGCAAGTAACCAACCACCAAGTAGGTTCTGTGTGTTGGATGTCATAATTAAATATTCCTTACAAAGTATCATTCATTCATTCATTTGTCCCTTGGGTTCCTAGTGGAACATAGGGATTCAGTAGCACGTCGCCATTTCACTCTATTCTCTACAGTCTTTCCAACCTGGCTCCATCACTGCCCATAAGCTTTCATTTCTGCCTCACACTATCTCCTCCATGTCACCCACGCCTCGAACGCCCAACATTTCGTTTCCCATTTGGCTTCCACTTGACAACTTGACGTGGTGTGTGATGTCCCTGAATGGTCTTCTGAGTGCATGCTTAATCCATCTCCACTTCCTTCCTGGGCATATTTGTTCAGCGATAAATTCTTGGTTGGTTCGTTATCAGGCCAGAGTCAGTTCCTTGTTGCTTACTCTTATTATTCTGGCCATCTCATCTTCAGTAACGAGCCATGTAGGCAGTTGTTGATGAATATCTGTAGTTTGTTGGAAATGCCTTTCTTAACGCGCCAAGTCTCTGAACCATCACATAGAAGCACTGACTTGACTGAATTGGTATTGAAAATCCGGGTCTTGTTCACGCTTTATGCCGAGTGTGGAAGATTTTTTTAACACTGGTTTTGGGTTAATGAAGGCCTGTCTTGCTTTTTCGATCCTAGCTTGCTTTGACGTCCTCATCTGTGTCACCTGCAGTTGAAACGAGGCTGCTTAGGTAGGTGAAAGAGGTTACTTCCTTTAAGTATCAGAACATACAAACTAACTGAAAGATAAACGTTGTCGGCTAAATTATCTCCTTACAGAGAAGATTCTGGTTACAGTTAGGTTAGCAGGAAGTAGAGATCTAGTTGAATGTGAGATGGTAGACAAGAAATCTAAAAAAGCTTCCAACCGCGAATGCAAAGGATATCGTGCAAAAGGGTGGGATCTTATAACTGTCTAAAAATCCAATCCAGTTAGGTAAATTCAGCATGATAAATAGAACGTTGTCTATTGAAGCAATAGCAAACATATACAGTAAGACTGACTAAATACTTGCACTACTGATTAAGAAAGTTCTACTGATCTCGCAGTAAGACAACAGAAGAGATAGCGACTAAATAGATGACATTTCGAAGGTGTTAGTTTCCCTGGTATAACTTTCGATGGTGATAAGTACCCAAAACAATTTCCAGTAATCGTTATAATTCCAGTGTGATATATTTTATGAAAGAATTAAAGCATAACTGTGCTTTCTGTGAATGCTCATGTTATACTACTTTATCGACACCTCAGAAGTGCTTGCAACAACTTTTTCCATTTCGATCACTAGTTATTGATGAGTAATTCTCTAAGTCAGGATAGAAATAATAGACGTTTGACTTTACCAATACTATCGTTGAAGATATGATTTATGAAATGACTTTTGAAAGTGATTATACTGTGAAACAACTTCCTCTTAAACCATCTGGAGTAAAAGCTGAAAGATGTACGGTACTGACTCGGATTCACACCAGTCAACCGCTAGATTGAAGTGGTCAAAACTCTTGACGGTCATTTCTTTCTTTTGAAGCTAGCTTATCAGATGTATTGCTAAGATGGTTTAGCTGAAATAGCCAAGTTGTCTAGAATGATTGAATTTCAGCTAGTTGCTTACATGGCTTGATGGTGATACTTAGAATTGAATATCATCATCATTAGGATAACATCAGTTAACAAACTGTGCAACTTACAGTAAGTTTGTGGTTCATTTATGAATAGTAATGATTAGTAAACTTCTTGCTTGGAGGTCAATAAAAAGATAAGGATATTGAGAAAATGTGTATGATCACGGGAAGTGAGACTCTTTTCGTATTTATCATAGTAACTAATATATTTAATTGTTTATTAGATCACATATTTTGTGAAAACGAAGAGAAACCTGAAGGGAATAAATATGATTCAATATATTCACATATTATTTTGAACTATACATTACTGATAAAAGACTCATTACTTTAAGTGGAGATTGAATTCAACAAGCAGTTTCAGTATGAATCTCAGCTAGTCGACTGCGATACGTGTGATTCAGAGAAAAGTCACAATGTGCAAGTTTTTAAGAGCTAAATCAGTGTATCTATAATTTTTAAGGTAGTATTCATTATGGAAACAGAAATGTATTCAACTAGATTGTGTGCATACTCTGTGTGTGTAGGTTGATGATGCTACGTGGTTGCTCAAACCTCGGTAAGTGGAGTGGGGTTTGAACCCATAACTCACTTAGCCACTGTTCTACAGTATTCATTATGAATTAACATCAGTTGGAGAACCATTGAAAAAACTGAAAGCACTGTTTCATCCTAGTATGGAATTCCTCAAAAGTATTCACTTGTGATCCCGATAAGGATCAAACTGAGGATAGAAGTGAGAAACTGTGGATCATTAAAGTCTAAACCAGTGGCTGAATGGTTAACGCATTCGTCATGAAGCCTTAAAGTTTTGAATTCGGTCCTTAGATCATGGAGCTATCCACTGCTTCCAAGGTTTTTAATGATTCGACTTCAAAAATAAAATTTTTATATACCTCAAACTATGCTAGTCTATTTATAATTAAATTTTGAGGAAGTTGTGGGGATTTGGAATTATTTCAAGTTGTTATTCATCGTAGACTGACATCAATTGGAGGAACAAAGGAAACCTGGGAGCACTGGACAGCTGTTTCGTCCTAGTATGAGACTCCTCAGCAGTGAGCACCCACAACCCCACCAGCAGGGATCTAACCCGCGACCTTCAGGTTCCGCGGTCGTCACCGGTGGAGTCAAAGCCTGATGGCCATGAGGACAGATACTCAGCGTTGACATTGGGTAGCGGTTGCGCTATATATCGTGAGCTAACAGAAGTTGGAAATATGGAGCATTGGATTCTGACCCAGTGGCTCAATGGTAACGCGCTGGCGGCGGAACCTGAAGGTCGCGGGTTCGATCCCCGCTGGTGGGGTTGTGGGTGCGCACTGCTGAGGAGTCCCATACTAGTTGGACGAAACAGCTGTCCAGTGCTCCTGGGTTTCCTTTGTTCCTCCAACTGATGTCAGTCTTCGATGAATAACAACTATTTATAATTATCATATTTCATTTATTGACAACTTATGTTTACTTTGACGATAATTTCAATTTCTTTACTCAATAAGTAACTTTTTCTTTGTTTTCTTATCTAACAGCTTGATTGGAATAAATTATTTAATTATATTTACAAACCTTTAAACTTTACACTTCCAAAAAATCAAGTGATTGCATTACATGATAAAACATTCTTTCGAGATAGATGTGCACTATACATGAAATATCTACAAACAGAAGAAGGTATTCGGTAGGTTTAAAAAATGATTAACAATATACTTTTTCTTTAAAAGCTTTTATCATTTCAATATTTTAAGAAGCAAAGTTGGTGAAAATATTCATTTATTCTGGGTAATGATAGGAAAGTGAAATAGAAATTTGAACCATGATCGGATTCGAACCAGCTACCATGGGGTTTTTTGGCTCATTTCTCTGTCAACTGAGTTATGAAAATATTCATCATTAAATACACGTTCTAATGTAAACGAATAAAAACTCTTCTTAGTTCTGATATCAAAGAGTATTCATATCACAAGAAATCTAAGATTAATCATTCTTGTGGAATGAATAGTAGAAAGGTGTTATTAAGAAACCATCAGGTTATACATTTTATTGATTGATCTCTAGTAGAAGAATTTATTCATCAAGTCAGCTTGAGTGAAAGTGAATTCGTCTGGATGATGATGATGAGTCATAAACTTGAGGAAACTCGTGAACTTGATTGCACTGCTAGTCACTTTTTATAATTACTTTGATAGAGGTTTCTGTCTTGGATCAAACATTCAACTTAATTAAGATTATCATTTTGTGCTTACAAATTAAACATAGGAATAACTTGATCATTTTAATGTGTAAGCATATATTAGAGAAAAATTAACCACTTATTCTTACTGGATCAATTATTATGTACTCAGAGAGATTTGGTATAGGTTTATTAACCGAAAATCTATGTTGGATAAAGGATAAAAGTTGACTTACAGAGATACACAGCTACATGCCTTTGTCCCATTTGGGACTTGTCAGCTGGAACTATTCAGATTATACAACGGATATATTTTGAAATGACAACTTATTATTCCCCGTTGCTGATTACTGACCCAAAACGAAATAGTCAGTCACTGTTAGTGTGTATAAGTACTTTAGTCTGAATGCTTCGACAAGACCGGCAATTTCATGTTATAATTAAGGATGAATAATGGTGGAATACACATTCCATCTAATTAAGGAGTCAACAATCAATTGTATGTAGCCACTATTCGTTCTTATTATCACAATGAAAATATTGTCAATCTCGAGGCATCAGGACAGCAGTTCATGTGTTGACCGTGACCTAACGGTTCTGTTGAAACCAAAGAACAATAGAAAATAACAAGTTACAGATAAAGTTAGAAACATGTCTCATTCAACTTTGACGACAGTTAAAAACAGTTGGCGTTTTAACATATTTTTCATAAAGAAGACTAAAGCAGAGGTAAAGTATAAGATTTTTGTAGAAATATGGATTAATTATATCATATTTGTTATAATTCAAACAGATGGTACATTTAGGTAAGGAGTATTCGTTTCGCGTTTTGGATGTCACATTACTTCTTTTTTATTCCAGCTTACATTGAATAGAATAAAATTTTAACCATTAACTATCAGATAATGAATTATCTTATTCTACTCTAATTATCAGCTAAGGACTGATAAACTACATGAATCTAAAGGTCATCTGGATTCATTTACAATAAATATATTCTAGTCTTAACTCTTTTTTAATTATTTTACTTTCAGAACTCTACACAATGCTGCAGTATGGAGTTTTATATGGAAAACAGCTTCACGTATGCCAAAAAAAGTCAGTGAAATGCTAGAAGAATACAGAGAAGCAGATTCGGGTATGGATGATAAGATATTTGCTTTCTATGTTGAAAGAATTTATATATGAACAAAGTAACAATCAACATAATAATTTAACAAGTCAAGCAGTATTATAAGTTATTGTTTGTTATATTTTAGCCTAGGAAACTGTATATGATAAACGAGTTACATTATGCCAATCTGCAGACCTATTTATTAATGTACTCTCACTTGTCGGTTGTTATATCAGCTGAAGTACATTCCCCTTGAAATTTTGTAAATTAGAAAGATCAGCTGAAAAATAAGAAAAATAAAATCAACTAACTCAATGGTCAAGCATAATGTTGTACTACTGACTTTAAAATTATATAACAATCTAGTCAACTTGAAAAGATGTACCATCTACAGATAATACAGTTTACTGTTGGACAAAATGAAGGCTAAAAATAGAAATTCTCATTGGTACGTACTTCCTTAAATATGCAGGACGCATGTTTCGTCCTATATGAGACTCGTCAGTTGGATGTCCCCGCAATCCAGTGAGAAATGTTGTTCCGACTGAGGCTCATAACCAGCACCTATCGCTTCAAACGTCAGAGCGTTATCCACTAAGCAACTGGAGCAAGATACTAATCTCTTGTACAATATGTAAAAGTTGTTTTAATGATACTTGTAATTTCCTGTCGCTTTACAAGGAAATTACAAGGTGTAATATTTACTTATTTGGTGTATATGCAGCCAAGTTAATGCAACTGTGAATCCATCTAACATTCCTTCGTAAATGGTAAAAAGGTTATTGAAACCAGCATATTTTCGAATGATTGTAATATTTTCTCATCCTTTTCTTGTATCTAAGATTACACCAAATAGTATCATATAACATCCAACTGTTTGATGTCAACAGTATTCTCCTTCTCGGGGAATCTTTTATTAGTCGTGAAAATAGGAGATCCCTCTAAAGTAAACCTGATGAAGCTGACGAAATTTATTCTGCACTCCATTTGTTCCTTTTCGATAACAATAAAGAAATAATTTCAATAGGATTTGTATTATTGTTTATTTATCAAGTTTTGTGTGCATAAACATCAAGATGACTCTAGAATTTATCCCACCAGTACTCATTGTTTAATTAAATTGTGAATAGAGCACTTTTATTTATTATTATCTCCACATACAAATAGGATTAAAAGTTGATCCAGATCGCTGGCAGACATGTGTCACAGAAGTACACGTCCCATTTGGGCTAGTGATTGGAAGACACTTTGTTCATGAGAGATTTAATCAGAAAAGCAAAGAAGCAGTAAGTTTCCTTACAATAAAGATGATCTATTTATTTGTGATGGTTGAAACTACCTAATCAGTTAGACCTGACTAAACCATTCTGTGAATAAATCTGAGTGACTCCAAAGGTCACCCTAGTAGCCAGTTAAATAAGCAATTCGGTTTCTTTATTTCGGCTGGAAAGGTATTGTTTTTTTATAAAAGAAAGAAAGCTTATTGGTTATTTCCACTGCTGCTACGATTATCTTTAGAGCCATTCATAAATTCTAAAGGTCATGCTAGAAAATAGTGAAATAACCAATTAGAGCCGTGTATTTTACGATAAACTACCTGCCCTGCTGAAATAACAAAACCTGATTGGTTATTTTAGCACTTGCTAGGGTTGTCTTCACAGTCACTTAAAATAACCAATTAGGTTTGCTTATTCTGGCTAGAAAAACAATTTTTCATGGAATACAGAAACCTAATTGGCTATCTCAGTGGTTGTTATAGTGGTCTTTAGAGTCACTCATTTTGTCTAGAGGCTAAATTTAGGTCATGCAAAAAGAACCTGTATGTATAGCACCCCCATTGGTTATCCCTGTTCTATGCCAGTATGACTGATATTGCAGTCCTATTGGTTATCCTTTGTCTGTGATACTATGCTAAGAAGTATTGATTGTTGTGGGGTCAAGCTTGCTCCAACTGTCAACTAATATGTGTGGGAACTACTAAGAACTGCTTAGAATCACTGGATTATCATAATATTCGAATGACAACTACAATTTCTGTTCATCCTGAGTATTTTAGCTGTAACAAATAGGAATTACAAATCTCAGTTATAATACTGAATAATTTTAAAACACAAAACCGGTAAATAACTCTAATGGTCCCATTGGTTATTTAGAAATAGGGCTGGAAATTATCAAATCAGTGAGCTTCTAGTGTGACAATGTATCCAAGATCTGATTTCTACCGTATAAGTAGACAAAAATGTTGACAGCAGTTTAAGAAGATTGACTGGTATTTCTAATGTAGTCATGTTCTCTTAATGTTATGTCTGAAACTATGTAAATTCAGTCTAAAAGTCACCGATTCTGAAGAAAACCTTTGATAAAGAAATCTTTTTCCAATTTAGAGGTTTGTTGAGATTTATTTATTGATCTCAGGGTGGTATTCACCATGCAGTGACATTAGTCTGGAGAAACATCAGAATCCTGGGAACACTGAACATCTGTTTGTTCCTAGTATGGAACTCCTCAGCGGTGAGCACCTGACCGTACTGTATAATCAAGATTAAAAGTGTGACAGTTGTTAAAGGACTGAACCTATATTTTTGGTCTATGTTTTAAAGTAGCTCTCTTCTAAGGATTCACCCAGAAAAGAGTTGTATACTATATATTCTGCCATGCTTTCGAGGACTAAAGTCTTCACTTTCATAACCATTTAAAATATGAGTACCTTGAAGGGCACATGAAATCATTTCTGTTTGACCCTATCAGCAAGGTTTATTCACGAAGCAGAGGGGATTTAATATTCCTTCTTAGATTTTGATCGATCTTGCTTAATTATTCCATTGGTAGATATTTCCAAATGGCTGTTTAAATGGATATTTCTAAATATTTAACATGAGACACATTACGCCAGGATACTGAGTTCTTTCAATCAATGGTCTCATTCCGTTACCCGGTCAGCAAACCTGATTTAAATAGTATTCAACTTTTGAAAATCTGTTTTTACTTATAATGAATAGTCGTATGAAATTTATTAGTTTCGACATTTCGGTTGTTTGTGGGCAGTGGGTAGTCATTTTGTTCAATCAGTGAATGCTTTGAGCAGAAATCTGGGTATACTTGGCTAGGATGAGTTTCGCACCTGTCTGTTATAGGATGATACTCCAGGACAGGTCTGGAATTACTTTCAGTTTATTGATAGGGAATGAAGTGGAGGAGTGCGTAGACCACTACGCTTACTTGAAGAGTTGCATTGGCTCTAATGGGCTGGTTTCTGACAAAAACAGCTTGGATAAAGAAGGCGTCATCTATTCCGCTAACTAGCGAGATACCCTACTGCTCATTAAAAGTTGAATACACTGCATTGCAGTTCATCTTGTCCTACTATGCAACTGCAGGGTTTTAATCCCAGATAATAATAATAATCACTACTTCGTAGCGTTTCTTGCATATTGTGGAATTACCATATAAAAAAATGTCGAAGTTACGTGATAGGTAATAGGAAAGGCAGGGAAGTTAGTGGGTGAGGTGGATTAGAACAAGCCTCAGGGTTGCAGACTGAAATATGACATCAGTGCACGAAATCCCTGACTGTTGGTCTTAGCCGTATAGTGATGTGTAGAATATCTAGCTGGGGTCTCTATGAAGTTAGTAATCATTGGTTGAGAACTCTTGTTGAGTTGGCTGACAGTCAGTCAAAATGGAACAGATATATTTACTCTTTGACGTCTTTTAAAGGTTAAATGTTTTGACTGACTTTAACGCTATGACCTGTAAATGCGGCCTAGTGGTCTAGGAACGCTACAAATTAACATGGAAAAGAATCTTATCTAAGATATAATCAGAACATCAATCACCACAAAACGGACCATTGACAGAGAGCTTTTACTGTTTCAACAACAGTTAAAAGCAGTTGAGAATAATATTGAATATATCACATTCTAAACAACCTTGAAAAACACTTAATTCACTGACAATTTAATACAGTTAACAGTCAATGCAAGTTTTAGCCTTCAGAAGCAGTGGGAAAAACAAAAGCTAGCAACGGCGTCAAGTGAGCAGAGGAAAACAGCAATAATAAAGTTATTTTAAGGTTAAAGACAAATATAAAGCAAAAGTTAAGCAAGATTAGAGGTACACAAGAATTAATCTTTTTAAATTTCCTCTCAGTCCAAACTCTTCTGTCTACTTTAATATCAGTTTTTCTTATCCACTTGTTCTTTATATACTATTATGAATTGTGACAATATGAAACGACTCACTCGTATGCTAGGTCCTATATGTGGATTTTTTTCTGTCTCTCTGTCTTTCTTTTTATATTTTAGGCTACAGAAATGATTACTGAAATAAAGAAAGCTTTCAAAGAGAATTTTGCTAGTGTCGAATGGATGCAAGAAGCTGACAAGCATAAAGCAATTGAAAAGGTATGATAAAGATTAATTTCAGAAAAAAGTTATTTAGATATTTTCTCAAATTGACAAATAGGTGGACTCAATGAAAGCTTCAGTTGGTTATCCACAAAATATTAATAATCTAACAGATGAAAATAAGGAGTATTCATATTACGTAAGTGGGAAATCATTTTTAAACCTTTCGTACTTGTTCAGTCTATGATTACTATTGTTGTAATTTGAAGTTTATAGAGATTTCATTATTAAGGAAGTACTCATCATGGACTGACACTATCTGAAGAACCACTGAAAGCCAGAAAGCAATGGACAGCTATTTTATCCTAGTATGAAACTCCTCAGCAGTATGCACCATGTCTCAATCATGGATAGAATTCAAAACCTTCAGATTTCACGGCAAATGTATTAGTCATACAAGCAACCAGATAGGAGTTTGACGACCTACGTTTTCCAGATAGAAGTAAAACAAATTTCAACTATAGACTTTGGTGCATAGTCACACCATATCGTGAATCAACAGAAGTAGAATACTATTATCGTAATATTTGTCCTTTGAGTTCCTAGTGGAACATAGGGATTCAGTAGCACGTCACCATTTCACTCTATTCTCTACAGTCTTTCCAACCTGTCTCCACCACTGCCCACAAGCTTTCATTTCTGCCTCACACCATCTCCTCCATGTCACCTACGCCTCGAACGCCCAACCTGTCGTTTCCCATTTGGCTTCCACTTGACAGCTTGACGTGGTGCGTGATATCCCTGAATGGTCTTTTCAGTGCATGCCTAATCCATCTTCACTTCCTTCCAGTGCATATTTGTTGGTTGATAGGTTATTGGTTGGTTTGTTGGCAGGCCGGAGTTCCTCTTTGCTTATTCTTTCTGGCCATCTGATCTTCAGTATCGAGTGAGCGTCTGTGGCAGCTGTTTGTGGTTGTGGCTAGCAGAGGAATCTAGGACACTCGTTTCGTCCTATATGGGACTCGCCAACTGGGTGTACCTCCACCCCAGTTAGTGATATTGTTCCCATAGAGACTCGAACCTCGTACCCACCACCTCAAACACCAAAGCGTTACCTACTAGTCAACTGACGCCACTGAGGTCAGACAATTCAATCCAGTAGAACTACTTGAGTATCAACAAGTAGTAATAAAAATAATTGTTGATGAGACAATCTTAGATGACCATTTTATGGCAGACTGATATTTCTGATCCAGGGTGATTATTGGTCAGAACTTGGACTAGCAGCCTCTGGACCACAAGCTGGGCAATGTCCCAACTAATCTATTAAGCCTAGTTACCAACTGTAGCTATCATGTGATTGAGTGGTATATAACTGTCTACTCATCTCAATCAATACTCCTTATAAAGATAATCCTAATGTAGCGTAATTTTATTTCTTATAATCCCATTTTCTTCGTGAAACTCCTGTAATTAGCAGTGATTGAGCGAAAAGAAAAAGGGTTTTATTTTGATTCCTGAATATCTTTGGATCCAGTCTGTAGAGTGACATCTGAAGGACGTCCACCTTTGCTATTGGCCTCTTTCATGAAAGTTTTTAAAAGAAGACTAATGCTCAATCAGTTCCAAAAAGCATCAACATTCTAATCAGTTTATCCAACAAGTAACTACTTAATTGAGGAGAAGATACAACACAAAGAACATTTATTTAGCTAGATTGGTATTTCTCATTCTTATTTGCGCAGAAAGTTGACGAGTGTTTTATTCAAATAAGCACTATGCAAACTGTAACAAATAGAGTGTAGAACGTTGTGAAAATTAAAATGAGTAGAAATAAAAAAGGTTTAAAAAGCAGGTAGGTCAGAATGAAACTAAATCGCTGAATGAAATGCCTAAATATAAGCATTTTCAGAAGTGATACCGTTTTTATTCTAGGCTAACTTCCACCAGGTCAATGAAAGTGCGTTATAAATTGACCTAGCGCTTTTATGTGATGAGATAATCTTTTTATCGTTTCAATAAGAGAGGCTTTAAGTTCACATATGGTAATTTATGAAGTTAGAGTGACGATCATGGAATGATTGAGTCACTGAAGGCAAAAGTAGGCGAAAGTTTTATTGATATGTGACTGTGTGCTATGGAAAGACGATGAAATTTCAACAGGTTGTTTACTAGACCGCAAAAAGTTTAGTAGGAATAAAGTTAGATAGAAGGGTTCAGTATAAAATATTTCACTTCTAGACTAGCTTTCCAGTCGACTTATGGTCAGAAATAATCATGAATGTTGTTAAAAGCCGAAATCTTTTGAACTTCTAAAATGAACAGTGGCAAAAGGTAAACCGACTAAAACTACAAATTCTGAAACATGAATCAATATTGGCTTTCTTTTAACCAGGGCTCAAAAACTTAAATTCAGGTGATTAGTGCTATACTCTTGAGGTTTTTAGTAAGTGAAGGTGATATGTGTATGCAATTCTTGAGATATATGATTTCACACTCAGTCCCTGGAACAACTAGAAGTTACTGAGGTTCAGTATCTTTCTTAAGATCGCATCAACTACCAATCGGGTTGGTTTGATGTTGATTTCTATGTAGTTAGAAGGGGTATACATTCTAAAAGAGGATTTGATAATAATATGCATTTTGAGATTGAGAAACGCATTTCAAACATTCTTACTACTATTCAAAGTGTTTGCATGACAATATATTGTCTTTATGTATCAAAACTATATTTTCTGAATAATATGTCCCTCAAAGAACCGTAAATATAGAGATTTGTCTCTTTAAATTAAGGAGTCGTAAATGAAGACAGTATGTATCTCTGACAGAAACTGCTCAACCTAATCATTTCAGAAGTTAGCTCACTAATAGTACCAAACTTATATGCTAGTATATGAATAAAGACTCATTATTATGATCATATATCTCCCAGAGATCCCTTGGATTGAGAAAATATGATCAACAGGATGAAATATAGCATACAGATTCGACAAAGGGTTAAAATTGGGTGTTTACATACCTTGACCATACATAGGAAAGTTATGAATACAAAGTCCTTAAAGACGATGTCGATAAATTCAATCCAACTGTAATTGTCTGAATAAAATTACTATTCATCATGGAGATCAAAGCAATCATAAGTAAAATCTAACATACATATCCTAACTAGTACTTTGGTCAGTCTAACAAAGAATTCTGAGCTATCAACTTTTGTTACCTCTAATCAAGGGTTATTAGGATCCATCTTCACTGTTCAGTGTTTCATATAGCCATCATAGAGGATCAACTACTAGCCAGATAATCATATGGTAATATTGGCAAGTGTTATTTTGAATTTGATTAGTAAGTATAAAAAAATCTAGTGCTTTCTCATCATAGTTTTTTCCTTTTTACTAAGTTTATATTTTTATTTCCAACACTGTCAAGAATATTCTTTTTCACCTCGAATTCACTAAGGATTCAGAAATACACTCTTCAAATATAGAGGTTATTCAAGGTATGTTTTATATTTTTTATTGAATAAAATCTCTGAGAATATTTAAATTCAATAACTATAATGGCTGAAATAAATGATCATGATGATATTTATTTACTTTTTAGCGAGATATGAATGAATCAACTTATTTTGAAAATAGTCTATATTACTCTGAAGCATTATTTCTTGAACTATTACGTGAATTGATAGATCAAGATCCAGACAAGTAAGTTACAATTTATACCCCTTTTTACTACATTAACCTGATGTAATATTCTTAACTATTGAATGTTTAATTATTCCGCATTTTGTAATGTTAAATAATAATCTTTGCAAATCGAAAATACTTTCCTTAGATTCATTTAAGAAAGTAAATTCATAATGAACAAGTATATTATTATTATTATAATTATTATAATTATTATTTATTATTTGTCGCTTGAATTCTTAGTGGAGCATGGTGCTTCAGTAACACGTCTCCATTCCACTCTATCCTCCGAAATCTTTTCAACCTCCATCCACAACTGCTCACAAGCTCTCATTTACTCCTCACACCATCTCCTCCATGTCACCCTCACCTCGGACGCTCAACTCGTCGTCTTCCATCTGTGTTCCATTCGAGTGTCTGGTGCGTGTTGTCTCCAGATGGTCTTCTCAGTGTATGCCCTATCCACCTCTACTTCCTTCCAGTACATATTTGTTAGTTGATAGGTTCTTGGTTAGTTTGTTGGCAGGCCAGAGTTCCTTGTTGCTTATTCAAATTCTTTCTGGCCATCTGATCTTCAGTAATGAGCGTACGTCGCAGTTGTTGATGAATATCTGTAGTTTGTTGGAAATGCTTTTCGTAACGCGCCAAGTCTCTGAACCATATAGAAGCACTGACTTGACTGAATTGGTGTTGAAAATTCGGATCTTGTTAACACTTTATGCTGAGTGCAGTAGATCTCCACACTGGTTTCAGGTTAATGAGGGTCTGTCTTGCTTTTCCGATTCTGGTTTTGACATCCTCATTTGTGCCTGTGCCACCTGTAGTTGAAACGATGCTTCCTAGCTCAGGTAGATGAAAGAGGCTACTTCCTTTAAGTAGCGGTTTCTCATCAGCTGTTTACAATCTAAAACAATTTTAACACCAAGTTATACAAATATTTGTATACTTGAATTAATTTGATAGGAAGTTATTAACTTGAAATGTAGATAACATCAACATGACGCAATCGAAAAAAACACGAACTGAGTAAATACATATGCAGAACTAATAGCGTATATTATTTGATTACATCTTCCATCATACATAATCAGTATGTACCCTGTTTTTACAACTTCCTACTGAGTTACTGATGAATAGATGAAGAATAAAGCTGTAAAGATATATGATAAAGTTGTGAATAAGTTGGTTGTAAACAATCAACAGGAAGCCATGCACTCAGGTTTTATATTTGCTGGCACTCACCAGCATTCATTGTCGCCTTGCTGACAAGTGTCATCAAGCATGGAACCGACTGCCGATTGCCTCCGACCAACTACCAGTGTGGACCGCAATGCTGAGCTTCCTAGCTTGCTGGTTACATCACAAATATGATCAATACAATTTGGTGTACACTGAGGACTAGACAACATAAAATTGGTTGCTTCCCGTGACCAATCAATGTATGTAAGCGAGTCACAGAAGAGGTGAATCGCAGCTCAAATAGCTCAGTGATTAAGTAACTAACTACAGTGCTGGGTGAAGCGGATCCCAATCTCGGGTGGGACATCCCTTCCGTCCACTTTGCAGATACGCCTTGTTGACTAGGGCCAAAAGTAAGAAAGCTAAATCAGTGGCTTCCTACTGATTGCCTCGGACCAACTAACATCTATCAATGTGTACCGTGATGCTTCACATTCAGTATGCAGAAGAAGGTGAGCTGTATCAAAAAGTTTGTTATTGTAGAAAAGGTAAGAAACATAACTTGAAATAAGCTGCAAATATGCATTATTCGTAAAAAAATTAAAAAATAATTTCACCTATTGTTTTCACAATTCGAGGAATGTGATAAATAATGCCAGCTACTAGCAAGGTGTACATTCCTTTTTAATTACTTGGAGCTTTTCACTGGCCTTCAATACCTGATATAGTCTACTGGTGTAAAAAAAATCTATAATATCACTAAATTATGAGTTAGTTGCTTAGTAGAGATTTATTTATCTAACTTAATGGTTGATATATATTGACTACTTAATTTCAGCTGAAAAATGTGTTTTATAACATGGAAAAAAATAGTTTCACTTTTCAGAAAGGAAACATGAAATTACATAACTAAGGGGTTATTGGCTAATCAACTTGTTTCAAAGTGTCTTTTGTTAAAGCATCAGTTTGCTACAAAATATAATTTGTTTTACATGCACCTGATATTCAGATATCATCTCGAAACTTAAAATTAATAACAGATAGAGTGCATGCTAAAAGAAACTGTAAGCCTTCTCCATATTTATAACACCTGACCAATACTCTTAGGTTTTCAATGTTTCTCTAATTGATGTCAGTTTATGGATCCCAGAAAACCTTCAAACTGAGTTATAACTAAGTATTTTCTATGTTAGTTGAAGGCAATTTACAAGAAGTCCCCTCCGACCTAAGTGATATGCTTGTTGGTGTATCTGCAACTTAGAAGGGACTGGTGTTCTCAGGCTAGTTCTAACTCGCATTTACCAGCCCTTAAGTCAGAGACATGAGGAATTAGATACTTGGACTAGAATCGATGTCCTGTAGGACTGGAATAAACATACTGATTTGTCATTAGAAAGTGATTAGGTTCATGATTTTCATACAATTATTGAGCACAAGTGTTTGTTTTACATCAAATGCTTTACATAGACAATTCATATGCTTCAAAATAAAAGTTTAAAAATACTTATTGGAAAGTTTGTCGGTTGTCAAATTTAATTTTCAAAGAATGTAAGCGATTCTTCTGTTCAAAAGGATGCTGGTTAGGTGAACAGTTAACTTTTTGCTAGCGTAGGAGTTCAATTTTTACAAAAATAGAACTGTATCAAAGGTTACATAGGGTATTTATTGAAATTTGAATTAAGAGGTAAGATAATAGATTTTATGTTTACAAGGTTACATTGAACGACTGTGAGGTTTAAAGCTTTACCAGAAAATGTACTTGAGAATTCTAATACTAGATATGGAAGGATAATCAAAATTAATGAGACGACAATTAGGAGTGCTCGCACACTTGTTCAGTCGAATAAAGTAGTCTGGTTGCTCATTGAAAGTCAGCAGAGAATAATTCATGCATCTGTTACGAAGAGAACTATAACCCATATGATTTATATACTACTGGTACACTCCATACCATTTGTTGAAAAAAAAACACCATGAGGTTCTAGACTACACAGTTATGTTAAATCATTAACTGAATAGTAAGTTTGTAAAGGACACTAAGCAATTAGTTACTTAATTAGTTTGTTGAGTTGAGTAGAAGTCAATTTTGTAAATTTTATGAGTAATTTAGCATTGTATATCGTTATACCGAGTTGTACGTCGGTAGACAATTCCATTCAAATGAGTTAAAACTACTGAAATGATAATTAGTCGAGTTTAGTGTAGGACTATTCATACAAGAGTCAATGAATTATAGTCTCTCTTATGACACAACAGATGATGGAATGTAAAGGTTGTTCTGATCTTCAGAATTTCTTATAAATCTTTAAAAACTATCACTATACTGTGGGAGTCTTTCTTTAACTTTCTTCACTATTCAGACATTTAACTAAAACAAAGCTTAATCTGACTACTATTATTATTATATATTACTTGTCCCTTGGGTTCCTAGTGGAACATAGAGCTTCAGTAACACGTCTCCATTCCACTCTATCCTCCGAAATCTTTTCAACCTCCATCCACAACTGCTCACAAGCTCTCATTTACTCCTCACACCATCTCCTCCATGTCACCCTCACCTCGGACGCTCAACTCGTCGTCTTCCATCTGTGTTCCATTCGAGTGTCTGGTGCGTGTTGTCTCCAGATGGTCTTCTCAGTGTATGCCCTATCCACCTCTACTTCCTTCCAGTACATATTTGTTAGTTGATAGGTTCTTGGTTAGTTTGTTGGCAGGCCAGAGTTCCTTGTTGCTTATTCAAATTCTTTCTGTCCGTCTAATCTAACTAGTGAACTAGTTAACGAGGTGAGGTTAATTTGACTATTAAACAGTGGTATTTTGAAGTCTTTTTATTCAGAATCTTTGTTATACTTTGGATGTTTATCAACAATAACAACAGCAAAAAATATATTCAGATACATGTCAACTGCTAATCTGTAAAATGCAGACCTATCCTCTAAGGTAAACATAGTTAAATATCTAAATATTAATCAAATGTGATAAGTTTGTCGTTACTGCTTGTATTACACCGTCATTGATTGGACCGAATTGATGAGTCTTTGTTGAGAAATGGGCTCCTGAGGGGACGCCTCCATATTACGTGTGTTTTAATTATGTATAGTAATGATGGGAACAACATCATTCACTGGGAGGCAGGTACATTCAGCTTATGAGTCCCAAATAGGACGAAAAGTGATAAGTTTATGTTTGAAGATTATTCAACTGCACAAAACTTAAAACAATTTCACATATAAACAAAGTTGCATCTAACTTTACTACCGAAATGAACCTAATTTAACAATGAACAGTCTTATAGAAGCTGAATTTAGTTTAATTTTACCTAACATTGCTATGGTGACGGTTTACGTTAAACTGTTACTTTAGATTGTAGGTCGCGCTATATTGTGGACTTACAGAAGTAGGAAATATAGATAGACCAGTGGATTCCAATCCAGTGGCTCATTGGTAACATGCTGGCCACTGAACCTGAAGATCCTGGGTTCAACCCCTACTGGGGGGGGGTCATGGGTACTCATTGCTGAAAAGTCCCATACCAAGATGAAACAGTTATCCAGTGCTCCCAGGTTTCGAAGTTTCCTCTAACTTAGGTTATTCCATGATGAATTTCAACCTAAAATCAACTGATAAATCTCCACTAAATTCCAAATAGGGTCTGAAAAGAAATTACGTTTCCCTATTTCTGTTATCAGTATTAAACAGAATGTTGATCATTTATATACTAGAATATGCCAAGAAAAATACATGAAATTCAATGGTATCAATTCATTTATTTTAAAGAATCTCTTCAGCTGCTTATAATCCAGAAAATATATGATCTACATTACAGAAGGTACAAATAGCCTCATTATTTTGATAAAGGAGCACTTGGTAATATGGGACTTATTGTTTTATTGACTTGGGAAGGATCAAGAAGAAACCCTAGATCTGATTTTTGTGAAATCAGCTACTCTCCACTGACCAATTAGTGTATCTAATATAGTCATACAGGATATAATTTGAAGCTCTTAAAAGCTCAGTGATCACATATCTAACGATAACACTGAGTGATGCTGGTTCTAATTTGCTTGAGGAAACCAGTTTCTTCCGCTTTGTAGGTATTCCTTACTGGTGAATGCCAATAAGCATGAGAGTGAGGTTGAGTTGGATTTTCAATAGGTAGCTTCATTCAACCAATATCTATCATAGTTTACTGTGATGTTTAGTTTCTCAGATTAGTGGCAATATTGAAAAATACTCAATTGAATTCGCTGATCACTTAAAACTATTTCGATAGCGTAATTAGAAGATAAAGTTTATGTGAACAATGTGATGTATTCGTGCAATATATTTCGAACAATCTGATCACACATTTACTTGTCAAGTCAATATATATTAAACAGAGGAGTGGCGGGGGAAGGGGACAAATGCAACAATTAACACAATAGGGGATTAAAATTAATGAATCCCCTTATTGTATTAATTGTTGTATTTGTCTTCCCCCCCTGCCACTCCTCTGTTTAATATATATTGACTTGACAAGTAAATGTGTGATCAGATTGTTCGAAATATATTGCGCAAATGCAATCACATTGTCCACATAAACTTTGTCTTCTAATTACGCTATCAAAATTCATAAAAGGGATTAACTGTTTCAAATTTTTGAAGAGAAGACTTAAAATTATAAAGCATGAAACTGGTTATTTATTAGTACTTACAATTTCCAGTTGTTATATTGGATTGGATTGTTCGACCTCTGTTGGTAGATGGGCTCCTATACAGATTCCTTGATACTGTCTGAATAGTAGCTAACTACTACTAAATACACTATAATGTTATGAAATTGGTTATTCTCTATTGATTATGATATAAAAATTCAACGATAACAGAATTTGGAAAAACTTTAGAAATTCATCTCTTAGAGTTAACAAATATTAAGGTCAAAGATTATGCAAACGTAATAAAAGAGATTAATCGAAGTACCAAGATGACAATAAATCAAAAAGGAACATTAATTTTCCAAGTAGAACACAAAAGGTATACTTTTTTTTTCTTCATAAACACATGTAGGTAAGAAATGACAAATTATTTAACAATGATTCATGATAAATTTAGAAAATGTAATTTGTCAGCAAAAAAAAATGAGAGAGACTGATCACTGCGTCATTTCGATTACAAAATTTCTTATTTGGGATTTCTGACTGCAACATAATAATGAAGTTGATTTGTTTGTCTTTCAATTTAAACTATTTCAATGGTATAAACGTACCGATTGGCAAATAACTGCTTCAATATGTCACTGTGGGTTGTTCAATCTTAAATTATTTGTAATTTAAAGGAAGTATTTATCACAGACTGAGATCACTTGAAAAAATGTAGAAAGTCAGAGGGTACTGGATAGCATTAACTGTTTCATCCTGCTTCTTAGAAGTATGCATATACAACCCCACCAGAAACCAAACCTACGCCTTTTAGGTTTTGTGTTAAGTACATTATCATTCAGCCAATAGATGAGAATCTAATGGACTAAACTTCCATAGTTCTGTCCATCTGAGATATAGAAGGAGTCTTCGGACCATTTCTCTATTGTAACTGATTTAGTGTATACGTATACACTAGTAACTTTGGAACTTGTTTGTAATGAACGCTGTCAAACAGCAGTTTGTTCAGCGTATGGCAATTAATACTTGTCACTGATGTTTATAATTTTCCGTTGATTAGTATATACTCGACCGAATTATTTGATCTTCTCACATCCAACTAATGATTTCCAAATAGGAAGAAGTGCATGTCCTAAATCCCACTTTTAACCTTCCCCAAGTAAATAACATCAAAATGAAATTCTAGGCAATTTTGAGGTATCCATTCAACAAGCCCATATGCAAAGAGAGACCGGTCAATCTAGTTCATGTAAAAACCAGCTAGAAATTACAAGCATCAATAAATAGCAAATGATACCGGTTACACAAAAGGAGGGCTGTAAGGACTCATTATCTTAGTGGATAATAATCTGATATTTGAAGCGTTGGGTACCGGGTTCTAGCCCAAGCGGGAACAGTATCATTCACTGGGGCGCGGGTACATTCAGATGATGAGTCCCAAATAAGACAAGATGTTCTTTCTAGGTTCCACTGCTAACCCTCCTCCAGAGAGGAAAATAACGTCTTATCTTTGATGACTATCCACGCTTATCGGTGAACTACATAAACCACTACTGTTGCTTACAAAGTCTTCAGTAGTAGATATTTTTCTGCTGATTTTTCATTGGGAATACAACTTCCACATACAATTCAGCAGTTTTCTTTTAACACGTTCTACTTACTCTACGCCTTCTGGAAAAGGTTCACTAGTTTTGATCACTTTAAATCTTTTGTCATTCATTTCAATGAATACACTGTTTTCAGACTAGTGATATCATCTGTATGTTAAATGCCTTTTCGACTCCTGAGAAGCTAGAGAGAAAAAGGTATGGGAATAAATAATTTCACAACCCTATCCTTGAAATATCCTTCATTGTGTTTTGATGGGATTTTATATACAAACTATTGTATACGACCGCATCATAGAAGCAATTCAGTTGCACATATGCTGCCTTCTTTTCACTTCTTGTAATTCCCTATTGATGATAGCGATGATCTGGGAATTTAAGTTCTGATACTGTGTGTTGTGCATGCTATGCATGACTACAGTAACTGAACATTATTCAACTATTTTCTACTCTTAGCTATCTTCATTCTTATCCAAAAAAGAGAATGAAACCGTCTAGGGTTGAATATAGATAACTTCATATATGAAAAATGCGAAATTGGTAGCTCGATTGATGGTATGTTATCTCATCACTTTTTAATGTGGGTTCAGATATCTGACAGTCTGAATCTAACTAACTCTCGGCGCATCATTATAAGCTTCTGCCGGAACACTGACTTTACAATGAGTTGAAAGTTCTAGTTAGAATGTGTATTGGAATTCTGCTCCACGTTCTCTGTGTGACCTTTAACCATCGCTTTAACTGCATGTCTTCACGACAAAGTATTCAACTTTGTGTATGCAATTTGAAGACTGATAAAGGAAGATTGAAAGCAATTTGTACAGTCTCATGTTACTGACTGAGAGATGCTTAGAATATTTCAAAATTGGATTTCACAGTAACCACTTATTTTCTCAGTATGGATTCCGACTGCGACACAGAAAGCAGTATATGTGTAGTTATTTTTAAAATGAATAGGGATTATTAATTTAGGGGTAGTATTCATTAGTGACTGACATCATCTGGGGGACCACTGAAAATCTGGGAGCACTGGACAGCCGTTTCGTCCTGGTGTAGTACTCGTCAGCAGTACGCACTCAAGAGTTCTATCCCTAGCCGGGTCGTGGATGCGTACTGCTGACGAGTATCACACTACGACAAAATGGTTTTCTAGTGCTCCCAAATTTTCAATGGTTCCCCAACTTATGTCAGTCCATGATGAATTTTACCTCTATATATTTAGTTACTTTATCGCGCTACTTTTCTTCTTCCTGTATTCCTTATTTCAACATTTATTACTGTTTATTTAATCGTTTATAGTCGCTATATTTATATGAAGTATAGATCTGATTCGTTATGCTTTTCAATCGTGAGCAAAAACTAGTTGGATGTATTCTGTATGGATTCTGATGATAAGTGTCCAAATAATTCTTTTCTTTTTCTAATCATATTTACTTTTATGCTACAATCAACAGTACACAAGTTACTAATTACTCCTTATCTAATATTTTCTTTAGGTGGTCGTTACCAGTAAACATTGTAAATGCATATTACAAAGAAAATTCAAATCATATTTATTTTCCCGCTGGTATACTTCAGAGCCCATTATATGATCATGAACAACCTTTGTCATTAAATTTTGGTGGGATCGGTATGGTTGTTGGGCATGAGATAACTCATGCTTTTGATCAGCATGGTAAGTATGTTAACAATGATCATATAATTAAGACTGTATCATTCAATTATTGAAAAGTTACAAGTGGTTGAAAAGAAAATCTGTACTTTAATATAAAACATACTTCTACTTCAAGCCACTGACTATGAAAAGCCTTTTTTAATCCACAGACATGAATAATGGATTGTCTTCGTCTAAGTAAAGTATCACATCAGTGAAGAAATACGCAGATTTAGATTTAAGGCTGAAAATGCATATACATATCTTCGTTACAAGTACCAGTAAATAAACGTTTTAGTTTTAAAAATGAGTTCCCCGCTAACCGATTTAAAGCGTAGCGTACAACAGTAAAGAGTGTCAGCGTGATAATTATGTTCATTAACCTGATTGGTAGATTCAGTCAAAAGTTAAATGTGAACGTCACTTTGTTTGTAAATCTGCATTCATTGTTAACTGTTTAATATATTCCAAAAAGGCTTGTATAGTTTCATAATCCATTTAAAGAGGATGTATTTGAAGTATAAACTGGTTGAAAATTGGAGTGTTAGGGGAAAATAGAAATCAAATAGAATGACTTGAAAGGTCGCTCCAGAAACAGCTGAAATAACCAATTAGATTCCTCGATTTTGTTTTGACAAGTTATTTCGAAAAAAATATAGGGACCCAATTGTTTATTTAAGAAGCAGATGGGTCTCGTAGCCCAGGTCGGTAACCCAGCATTCGCAGGTTCGAAGCCTGCGGCGGCCTGAATTTTCATCCCACCTTCAATCCCAACCCACTTCAATACAAGTCTGCCAAACCACGATTAACTCAGATACTCAAGCTGATGCCCCTACTCTCAAGTTCAAGTAAATTTGGATTGCGATAAGAAGTCCTAACTAGGTAGGTAGTGTAAGTAAGATCAAGTGAAAGAAAAGCGTCATGAATTCACTTGACAGTCGGTGTGAAGTGAAATGAAAATCTGGTCACGCAGGATCTGGGCCTCGTAGTTCAGTTGGTAGAACACCGGATCGGAAAGCCGGTGATCACTGGTTCAGACCTTGCCGCGGCCCAAGTTTTCATTTCACTTTTATTTATCACCCAGTACTTAAGAAGTTACTACAGTAGCCTTTTTAGTCAATCTCTTTTAAAATACAGAGTATAAAACCTAACCTTAAAAAATAATAATAGAATGACCTATTTATTCACAATCTCCCCATTATCCACTGTAAATACTAGGGGAGTCTATATGATATGCATGACAAGAGTAAAAGACTAAAGATTACCTGTCTTGGCTACAACAACGCGTATATTGTTGAAAGCAGCTAACGTAGAGAGTGAGAGAGCCTTGCTATCTGGTTTTGAAGAGTCTTGAATTCTCCCTCTATTAATCACACATAGTTCAGTGATATGTGATAACTACGTGAATTTTTGGACCTGGGGCTTAAATCAAACCCTTTTTAGTCAATTCGGGGGGTTTGTGAGGGTTAATTGATTTCACTTTGGTATTCGTCATCAGTGTGCGCACTGCAAAGGAGTCCCATACTAAGAAGAAACAGATGTCCATTCCTCCCAGGTTTTCAATGTTCCTCCTCCTCCAAATTAAATAAATCTAGCGCCCATTGATGACTAACTTTGAGAGATGATTCCTTAAGTTCCAATGGGAAGTCGTGACCGGGAGGCCCTAACCTGGTTGGGGTGAGTACAAATACTTAACGATGACACTGGGTGATGGTTGTGCTATGTTGTGAACTGACAGAAGTAGGAAATATGAACCATTAGATTCCGACCCAGCTATTCAATGTTAACGTGCTACCCACGGAAGCTGAAGATCCTGGGCTCAATCACTAGCTGGGTGGGGTTATGGGTTTGGTCCAAGTCTTCAAAGTATCAGGCACTTGTGAGTAGAAGGCTTATCTGTTCAAGTCATGACGATGATATACATATTTAGTTTAACTAGTAAATTAATCCAGCCACGCTGTCAATAGTCTTAGTAGTAATATTTTCAAAATTTTGATGGAAAATCAAGTTGAGCTTCTGAAACTTGTGGATGTTTGCAGCAGTAAAATAAAGGTTCTTTCACAAACATGCAGGTCATAGTTTTCCCAAATGTTCTGAAAGAAGTTGCCCAGTGGTTCTTTTGTTATCAACAATAACTTAGTAAATGATCCCTAATGCAATGAAAAGAGTAAACATATTGCTAAAATTAAAAAAAAAACATTTTTTCAATTGTGCGGGTAGATTCTGATGCACTTATCGACCCAATTAACTAGAACAATGGCTGTTCGCCATCTGCTTGGTCATGCAGTATCGGCTAAAGTGGATAGGGGCTGGAATAAGCTAACAGTTGGTCACACTATACTGTGGAATCAGGTCATAAAGGCTTTAACTGTTAATGTGAATCGTGTAGGTAAGTGTCAGCTTCTGGGTTGGGGACTCATATGACAACAGAAATAGGTGGTTGGAAATTCTAAGTGATATGGCTTAAAATCAAACTCAGTGGCCTAGATACATCTATACACTGTTTTTTACTTAATCATCATGTCACGTCTAGTCACTGTTTTCTCTACTGTTGCTCTTCGTATGAATTTTTGTAACTCGACTTCATTTTCCGTCCCATTCTTCTATCTTTCGTCTTGCTGAGTTGTGACAATTTGAACAGTTACTAGATTGATACTGGGTGATGATTGAAGGTGAAATGAAAATTTGGACTGGGGCCGGATTATAACCAGCAACCACCGAGTTTCCGGCCCAATGCTTTACCAACTGAGCCACGAGGTCAGACATTTGAAGCTTTTCGGACGTTTTGGATGCAACTTGTTGTCTCGAGTCATATCAAGATAACTTCACATGCATGTCTTAAAGTAGCGAAGCTACCTTGGTGTGAATATGTTCAATAAATTCTATCCAAAATGTTATCCGGTAAATAATGCCGTTTCACTGTGTCACATATCGAACAAATCAGTGCCCAAGTTTTGTTTTTATATTAATGAGACAATAGGTTGTTTTTTTTCACCATTATTATTATTTCTCCCTTGGGTTCCTACTGGAACTTCACTCTATTCTCTGAAGCTTTTTGGACCTCGAGACACCAATCCCCACAACCTTTCATTTATTACTCATATGATCCCCTCCATGTCACCCTTGCCTCGGACGCCCAACTCATCGTTTCCCATCTCGGTTCCACTCAACCGCCTGGCCTGGTCTGGCCTGGCCTGGCACGTGATCTACCCACACGACCCTACCAGTGTGTGCCCAATCCATCTCCACTTAATTCAACAGCATATTTGTTCAGCAATACGTTCTTGGTTGGTAAGTCACCAGTCAGAGTCAGTTCCTCGTTGCTTATTCAGATTCTTTCTGACCATCTGATCTTCAGTATCGAGCCAGAGTAGGCAGCCGTTGATGAATATCTGTAGTTTGTTGGAAATGATTTTCCCAATACGCCATGTCTCTCAACCATCACATAGAAACACTGACTTAATTGAATTGATGTTGAAAATCTGGATCTTGTTAACACTTTATGCCGAGTGCAGAAGATCTCCACACTGGTTTCAGATTAATGAGGATCTGTCTTGCTTTTCCGATTCTGGTTTTGACATCCTCTTCTGTGCCTGTGCTGCGTGTAGTTGAAACGATGCTGCCTCGCTTAGGTAGGTGAAAGGGATTACTTCCTTTAGGTTTCTCCCGTTAATGGTGATTGGAGCTTGTTGTTACTGGTCGTGGTGTTGGTTTGGTATCATCACCTCTGTCTTCTCTACATTCACTTGAAGTCCCGTTTTCGCTGCCTCTTCTGTCAAGTTGTTAGTTTTTGCCTGTAGAGCTTCGAGTTTGTTCAACATTAGACATAAATCTTCGGTGAGATCCAAATCTTCTAGGGTCTTCTCATCTGTCCAGCGTATGCTCCTTTTCTCGCTCCTCACTGTTTGCTGCATGATCCAGTCTACCACAACCAAGATGATCACCGGTGATAGTAGGGGGTAGCCTTCTCTTACTCCTGTCTTCACTTCACTGGCGTCAGCGAGCTTCCCATTGTGGATCACTGGGCATGTGATGTTTTCATATAGCTGTTGAATGAGGTTGATATAGATATGTGGTACTCCATAGTGTTGAAGCAACTGCCGAATTACTTCTCGGTCGACGCCTCAATCGAAGGCCTTTTCAGAGTGGGTGAATTTAAGTTAGAGAGTTGACTGGCGTTCTACGCCCTATGATGATGTGTAGCGTAGCGTAGCAATTTGATCCACACATGATTTGTACTTCCTGAATCCAGACAGCCAACCTGTTCCGGTCGTAATTTTGAATCCAGCGCATCTTTTAGTCTCCCCAGGATGATGCGTCTTAATGTTTTGCCTAGGGTGGACAGTAGCATGATTCCGCGCCAGTTCTTGCAAACACTTAGGTCTTCCTTCTTTGGTAGTTTGACAGGGTAACCCTTCTTCCATTCTGCAAGTACTTTTCCTTCCTACCGAACTTTCTGCAGTAGTGGCGTGGGCATGTCCGCTGTTGTCTCTGTGTCTGTTTCCAGTGCTTCTGGTGAAATTCCATCTGGTCCTGCTGCTTTCCCCGAGTTCAGTAACTTTATGACGTTTAGGACTTCTGCTTTTGTCGGAGGGCCTGTGTTCACTGGTAGTTCTGCCGTTGCTGGTGTTATTTCTTTCACCTTTAGTGACTTTAAAATGAGATTCTACTGCTATGTTTTTGCGAAGTTAGCAATACACAATGAAGATATGTGTAGTGAGTTACACTTTAGTTCCTCTTCACTGTATTGATGCCTTTTTAAAGATTTACAATGCAAAGGATTGAAAGCACGAACTTATAATGCAATAGAACGGTTCAAAAGTCATGGTTTTAAGCTACTTCTAAACTAATATTAATCTGTACAAAACTTCAGAAAAAGACATTCTAAGTTCTACTGTAACCTGTCTGAACAAAACACTTAAAGAAACTTTGTAAACTTCAACAAAACGATGGGAAAATGTCAGAACCATGTAATCTACCATTAGCATCTTCTTATTCTTCAGTGTTTTTCACTTTAAACATGAAAATAACTATCTTGTTCAAATTGAAATGAAACCAATTTTTTTATTCACATATGAACAAACACTAATTGAACATGTGTAAATATATCTAAAAGTTATTATCGTTATCAAAATTAACCGATTAAAACAAAAGTTATAAATTACATTGATAAAGAGATTATATTCTGTATTTTCAAGGGGGGAAAAAACTTTTCAAGAAATTTTAAATGTCTTGTAACAAGAGCAAACAGCTGTCTAGTTATTTTTATGTTACAATAATTGTTCAACTCTAACTAACGTACACACTAACCAATCTGGTGATAAATCATATGTTAATAGGTTTATAGATGTCATCTGATTTATAACTGATATTTAAGCGTAGATCTTCGACTGAACCATATATATATATATATATATATATATATATATATATATATATATATATATATATATATATATATATATATATATATATATATAGTTCAGGTTGTATACTACAAAGGTTGTTTAGACTGGATTGTTTATCACAGTTTATCTCGCTTCTTCTGTTAGCATTAAACCAAGAAGAAGACAACACACATTATCACGTGGATTAACTTTAGGACTAGGAAGTGTTCTTGTTGTATACGTTTAGTTGATAGTACAAAATGTATAAAAACAGTCATTTCCATTAATTTCTTTGTTGAAATTTACAGTATAAAAGCAGTCAGGTACACCAGATTTCTTGTCAAATTCAGATAGTTATTACCTTACTGAAAGTAGCGTGTGGAATAACTTGAAAATGAATAAAGTGTATTGTATGTAGTGTCACATAATGCTAACAAGTATCCACTATCTGGTATCTATAGAACCAAGGCTTTATTCAGTTAATGAGATTAAAATAAAACAATAGAATCGAATATCCGGTTAAAAAATCACATGGTAGGAAGATTTAACCAAGTTTAAATATTTTCTTTTCTTTACCACAACAATAAGCAGACTCAATGAGCTTCAAGGGATCTCACATACAGTGTACAAATAATCTGGATTAATACACATCAGTCTCTTGATTAAAATAGGTTATAAGAATCAATACCTTCTAACAAAGCCACAGGGAAATAGAAATTAATCATTTCAACTAGACTCTGATTTAATTATTTGTCATCAAATCACGGTGCATTTCGCACCTTTATGTTACGGCTTACTATATATCTGCAGGTCAGAAGTCATGACTTTCACTTCTTGTTGACGCTTCTCACTTTAACAAGGAATTTAATAGTTTCCTTTTGAATATACTACGATTTAATAATTCAGTAGTCTTGCTAATAGGGATTAGTATACAAATAAGTATTAAGGAGTTCAAACATTTTAAGAATTTTACTTAACCTTCCATAAAACTTTTTCTTTCTGTCTATTTCTAAGTACTGACCGGATCCTGTCGATAAACACTCATCATCATGGTACACTTGTAGAGATATTAGATAATTAGAGGCAGTTTTCCTGCTTTTTGACTCTCGTCAGTAAGACTTATCTGTAACCTCAATGGAACTGGTGCTTCGCTTGACATTCGAGCCCATATCATTCAATGCTGCAGTTAGAGACACTACGATTGAGGTATTTCCATTGGTTCACTAGGAGTTGACGACAGATGCATAAAATGAGCCCATTTGAAGTCTTTCTTCATGTAGTATGTTCATTTCGTCACCTGCATCCAACAGTAATTACATTTCAGTAATAGAGCAGCTGGTGGCGCTCCATTACAATGAATATGAGACAGGCTAGCATTACCATAGGATCGTCTTACATCGAAGTTATATGTTACTGTCAAGAAAATAAACAGTGCGGATATAATCGTAGTTTATGATATAAAGGTTGACCTTGAAGAAGTAAACTTGCATTTCGACAATGACCGTTCAACTTGGTTAAACACATTTACAAATGGATTATGGCATGTCATGCAAAACAGTAATATATTTCCAATGTTTGACTGTTGTGATTCACTTATCAGAGCGATGATACTGTGATGTTACATTTTTATTAATAAATATCAGGTAGTGAAAATTAGAGAAATAAGGTGTGATTTTTTAGCATTTGAAAACGTTTTAATTTTGACATTACCAACTTACTTCCTGAAAGTGTAATCAAATGTCCTTTCTCGGAGTCATTGTTGCCCTTTTAGTCCTCTTGACCACGTTCATGACGTGACCAACAGGCAGCACAACATTTGTTGTGAAGGGTCGAAAGGGTCTACTGCCAACTACCCAGTGTAACCATCAGATGTTTGTAGGTTTTTGATTACTTTGTAATTAAGTAAATGGAGAGAAATGAAAACAGAAGTATGTTTACTTTCAACCGTGACAGTCTACTCAACTAGCACAACACTGTTAAACAGAAAAGAAGAGAAAAGTTCTAACTGATTACTCAACAAGCACAGAACAACATTCTTGCCTCTAATGATAGAAGACAATAAGTACTAGTACATTTTGAAGGTTTGTGGGGAATATTTTGGTATTCGCTTCTGAATGACATCAGCCGAAGGATCACTCTAAACCTGAAAGTACTAGACAACTGTTTGGACCTGGTATGTCCAGTGCTCCCACATTTGCAGTTCATTATCGATACCAAATCGAAGTAATAGTTAAAAAATACACGAAAAGAAGACGTGAAAATAGAGAACTTGAGACTCAATATTTAATGAGTGACGTTTAATAGATGCCTTTCTTCCGATCCATCTGATTTACTTTAAATTTTGATATACAAGTAGGAAAATGTGTGAGAAATACAGGCGTCTAAAGGTGCTTGAAGAAACTACAACTTTCATAGAGGTTGAAGTGACGTATTGCTGGTCTAGAGTTACCTATAAACTATTTCCAACTTTTCGATATGGAAACTATTTCGTTGGTGCATATGATCATATAGATAACACACCCTGCATGCACCAGAGATCTGTTACTTTTACCAAAATATCGGGGTTTACAGCCAAAATTAATTTCGATACATCTGAGCAATGAACTGAAAACGATGTGCCTATATATTGCATTCATGTGTCAGTTAAGGTCTGCGGTCAATATACTTTCATTTCTGTACAATGACCTCGTTTTCCTAGGCGTATATTTCAAAACTTCTTCTACTGCTTATCCTTATGATGCTATCGGTTATTTTTGTCCAATAAGTGGGATTATTTAACTCTGTATCCAAAAATCCTTATACTACTAATAGTGTATGATAGACTGAGTTATCTTGGAGTAGATTTTCAAACAGTTCGCACTAAAGAATAACCATTTTATTGCTTTGTATTGTTTCGAATTCTATCGAATTATGTAAATCTTCTCATATTTAACAGTTGTAATACCCAAAAAATTTAATATGACTACCTTACAGGTGCAAAGTTTGATGCTAAAGGCAATATGAGAGATTGGTGGAGTCCGGAAACGTTGGCAGCCTTTGAAAGGAATTCACAGTGTATGATTGAACAATACAGCAATTATTCAATCCTCAACACAAGCGTAAGTATAACTTGACTAGGCATAATAGTAACCTAGAAATTATCAGCTATATTACCGCATATATTCTATGGTAACCTTTTTATACAACAAATAGCAATCAGAAAAAGAGGAGCTTAAATGAACAATTTTTTTCAATAATTCCCTCTTCAGGTTGTACAGCTATTAATCCATGCGAAAATGTAAAACAAAATGGCTGATATAAGGCGTATGGGAAAGTTATTTCAGTATTGAAACCATTAGCGTTATGGGTAAATGAAGATCAAATCGAATGCATGTAAACTTTTTGCATGAGGTGAAAGATTAATTAGTCTATTATTAGTTGTGTTATGAAATCATTGTGAACAGAACCATCACAACATAAAGAGATCAAAATCCTGTAACCTTTCCGAGGATGTATGACTATACCTCTTTCGGATTGCCAGAGCTGTAGGAATTAACTCAAGAAAAACTGATCTATGAGTCTACGTTGATTCAAAACAGGGTCAACACTTTCATCGACCACGAATTTCACATTTTAACCCCTTGTCCCGTTCTTCTACCCTTCCTTCCTCATTTCATTGTCTTTTCATGTATTGGTCTTGGTGACTAACCGAGGAATCTAGGAAGCGCGTTTCGTCCTATTTGGGACTCTTCGACTGGGTGTACCTGCCTGTCAGCGAGTGATGTTGTTCCCACTGAGGCCCTCTGTAACAAAAATGGAAGTTACAAGTATCAAAACAGCAAGTGAGTACCGCTTCACAAGAGGTGACTGTCGTACCCCAGTGGCCTAGTGGATAACGCTGTGGTGTTTGAAGCGATGGGCACGGGGTTCGAGACACAGTAGAAACAACATCACTCATTGTGATGCTGGTACATTCACCTGACGAGTCCCAAATAGAATGAAACACGCGTCTTGGATTCCTCGGCTAGTCACCAAGATTTGTATGATATCTTGAATATCCAGAAGCATCGAGCCATCCACATAGGAGCCCATCTACCAACAGAGGTAGGGAAATTCAGCCCTGTATAGCAACGGGAAATCACAACTACTATAAGAATTTGTTTTCATGCATTATTACCTTTATGATTTTATTCCTCCATACCATTCCCAGTAGTCATCTTCAACATTTAGGCAACACTTCACACTCGTTATTTGTTATTTCATTACTGTATTCACATGATTTTCCACCCTACTTAAGTATAACTCATCTCTACACAACAGATATTCAATCCTTAGTAAACGAAGTCATACATATTCGCACTTTAGATTGTGGTTGTTCTGTTCACACTGACTTCATAACACAACTAATAGTAGACTAATTAATCTTCCACCTCAGGCAAAACGTTTACATCCATTTGATTTGATCTTCATTTACTCACAACGCTAATGGTTTCAATACTGAAATACTTTTCCTGTATGTATTATATCGGCCGCGCACAAACTCGAAGATCTACAGGATCTATAGTAGAGGCAGGGCAGCAAGGACTGGACTTCAGCTGAAAGTGGAGAAGACAGAGGTGATGATACCAAACCAACAACACCACCACCAACAACAACAAGGTCCAGTCACCATCAACGGGAGAAACCTAAGCGACGCAGCATCGTTTCAACTACACGCAGCACAGGCACAGATGAGGATGTAAAAACCAGGATCGGAAAAGCAAGACAGATCCTCATTAACCTGAAACCAGTGTGGAGATCTTCTGCACTCGGCATAAAGTGTTAACAAGATCCAGATTTTCAACATCAATTCAATTAAGTCAGTGTTTCTATGTGATGGTTGAGAGACATGGCGTATTGGGAAAATCATTTCCAACAAACTACAGATATTCATCAACGGCTGCCTACTCTGGCTCGATACTGAAGATCAGATGGCCAGAAAGAATCTGAATAAGCAACGAGGAACTGACTCTGACTGGTGACTTACCAACCAAGAACGTATTGCTGAACAAATATGCTGTTGAATTAAGTGGAGATGGATTGGGCACACACTGGTAGGGTCGTGTGGGTAGATCACGTGCCAGGCCAGGCCAGACCAGGCCAGGCGGTTGAGTGGAACCGAGATGGGAAACGATGAGTTGGGCGTCCGAGGCAAGGGTGACATGGAGGGGATCATATGAGTAATAAATGAAAGGTTGTGGGGATTGGTGTCTCGAGGTCCAAAAAGCTTCAGAGAACAGAGTGAAATGGCGACGTGCTACTTAAGCCGTATGATCCAGTAGGAACCCAAGGGACAGATAATAAATTATGATTATAATAATGGTATTTTGTTAAAAGTTCAAGCATACCAACAAATAGTAATAGTAAGGTATCTGTTGAAAAATCTCAATGCTAGTGTAATTTGAAACAAATTATGAAAGTATTGAATAATTCCTGTGGAAGGAAGAATTTTTTTGATTTCTTGATAGAACTTATGAACTAAAAATTCTGCATGAATAATTTCAACAAATTATAAAAATTAATGGATTTTAAAAATTGGAAAGATAAATTACAGTGAAATGATGACAGTGATTTCAAGGTCACGTAAAGGCATAGAAATATTAAAACAAACAGCTTCATCAGTTGGATATAAAATGAATCAGGTCACTGTAATTATAATGAGTAGTAATTAAAGTTTATCAAAGAAAATAAATCGAATAGCAGTAAAATATAAAGAGATAATAATTACTACCGGTAATGACCTTATACAAAATTCAGAATAGCTAGATAAAGTAATCAACATTCAGTATTATAATAATTTTCCACAGTTTCTCAAAATATATCACCATAATAAATGTATAGCTTGTACAAAACCCTAGGAGATTATCAATTTTGTGTCGAATAAGCTTTGTAATCAAAGCTGTTATAACTCCTGTCATTGGGTAGCATAAACGTCTGGATGAATATTCGCATATTTTAGTTGATGATACATTGATTGGTCACTGGAGAGTAACCTACTTGAGGTTGTCCAGTCCTATATGTTGTTGGAAGCTTATTGATCATTTAGGAATGTAGTTACCAGGCTAGTTGACTCAACATCACGATGCCCTTTGATAGATCTTAGTTGACAGCATGAAGTTGGTTACTCTCCAGTGACTGATCAGTTCTACAGGAGGTCAGTCGCTGCCCAACTAGCTCATTGGTAACGTCTGTGACTATAGCACTGGGTGACGCTGGTTTGGACTTCAGAGGAGACATCAGTTCTGTTGAAGTTCTAGATACGCCCTGCTAATTAGTACCAAAAACCAGTAATCCTACATCAAGCAGGGCCTCCTGATGATTTCCTCCATCCAACTAACATCTACTTAGTTGATGATAAAAATCTATTTATCATATTTTATTGTTATTCGTAAAGATGAGTTCACGCTCATGCATAAATCTTGGTTTTGTGTGTTGTTTGTCTTATTGACTTATGTTTTGTCGGGTAATAAGTGTGTCTTGTAGCTTCACCTTGAAAACAAATGATCTCTTCGAGTATGTCATATTCTACCATCTGTACGCATTGTAGATAAAATATTTTTCTTGAAGTGGAGAAAGTATTCAACTTGACTGGCTTCATATCTACTCAGAAATGTTATACTTTTAGTTTCCTTGATACATTTGAACAATGCAAGAACAAAGACAGTTGCAGAATAAAATGAGCTCATTTCATTTTATAGCTTTTTATCAGCTGCAAGCAGCCTACAATTGAAATGAATTATTAGTTGTAATAATAACATAACATACTTTAAACACGTAGAAATAAATAAAGATTTGAAATCTAGGATTGACAATAAGGTGGTAAGTCAAGGAAACGCAGGAATAATAATTACAAGTCTTAATCAAAATCTACGGCTATTTATATCTGATGAAACAGAAAATCCTGGAGTTGTGGAATGGGTGGGAGAGACAACAAACGGAAATCAGTGTAGAAGAAGGGATTGTTTAAGGACTCATACGTTACGTAATTACATGAAGAACTTGGAAATCGTTAAGTGATTAACGGTCAGTAAGTAATTAATGAAGAGATGATGCAATCAAAAGAAAAGCTTTCGCAAATAGTAATAAACATAGTGTTCATTGTTCGTTGATTATCCTGAAAGATTGAGAAACATCTATTTGATGTCATGTTTCCATCAAGTACCTGAAGAATGCGTTTTTAAAGACTTTGCTACCATTCAGACACAGATTTCTCAGAATATGCTTATAAAGTCAAGTAGACACCCTTCGTTTGGTCCTTCCTATATACTTGTTTCTACAAGCACAGGTTAATTGATATACATAGTTGGAGGTGACGTGAGATGGGTGTTTGTCTAATTTCGACTGTGTTATTGAGCATAATGTATTGTAAACCGAGATCAGTCTGGTAGCAGGGAAGCTTCTTCTCAGTGGAGCTTTTATTCTTCTGTCTATTCTTTCAGATATTTCATCACCTTTGAGTGCTAGGTGAGGGGAAACAGGCTTCTTCTCAACAGTTAAATGTTTTGGTCTCTCAATAAGTTCTTTTCCACTCTTCATGGTGAATTTCTTCTGGTATTAATTCTCTATAAGAGCTTTCTCAATTATCCAGAATTTTTCTTTCGGTTTATCTTTAGAGCATAGCCTTTTTATTTTAGTGAATAGCGTCCTGACTAAACCACACCTATAGCTGACAGGACAGAAGCGATTGTAATAAAGGTACTGACCAATCCAAGTGTCTTTTCTATACATAGCTTTCTGAACCGTACCATCGCATTCTCGTCTTATACTTAGATCCAAAAAATTGGATCTGTCCTCATTTTCATATTCCATTGAAGGTGTCAAACAACTTTGACGCATGATTCATATTATCAGAAACGATGAAAATATCGTCGACATACCTGCAGTTATGTGTCGTTTCCCTGATCCCAGCGTTCACACTTGTTTGCTAGAGATGAGCCATGAATATATCAACTAGGACAGGTCCCAGTGGTGAACCCGTAGCCATTGTATCAGTTTGGCAGTATAGTTGGCTACTAAACTGGATGTAAACACTTTTTGTACAGAGGAGCAGCAATTGTTTGAGTTCTGTTTTTGGCAATGGGAATAGATCAGACTGCTGACAGATTATGTCTATCGTTTCATCCACTGGTATGTTCGTAAACAATAAGGAAACATCAAATGATACCATGAGTTTATCTTAGATATCTAATCTATCCATTCCTTTAGAGGAATGGAATGTTTCATTCAAGCTGTGATTTGTGAGCACTTTTCTGATAGGTTCCAACTTCTTTGCTAACTAATAAGCCGTTATGTGACAAGGTGAATTTATCATCGACAAAATGTCAGTGTCCATGTCTACTGCCTACTTGTTAGATCGCCTTCAGTGTTCATATTGTTACAGTATCAGTATAGTGTTGATTTCTTAGACGTAAATGACAAAAACTTTACAACTTTCATTATAGTTAATTTATCATTTCAGCTATCTGAGATAGCCGTGGTTTTGTAGACTAATATTGGATGATGATTGAAGTGGAATAAAAATCTGGCTAGCAGTCGGACATCTTGGCTAAGTTGATAAAGCACCAGGTCAGAAACCCGGTAGTCACTGATTCAAATCCTACCTCGGTCCAAGTTTTCATTTCACCTTCAATCATCAACCAGTATCAGTGTGCTTGGTATTTATGCGTTTTTGTATACAGCTATCAAGCGATACTTAGAACAATACTGAAACAGAAAAAAGGTTTTGTTAATAGGTTAACTACTACTTTATTCATTAAGATTAAGTGCTAGTTGTATAGAAATGAACTCTATTTGTCGTGTGACACTTGTAGGTAAAATGTTTTAGTAATTGAAAAGAACAGAGAAGTAAGTGTAGGATGTTAATCATTTCATTAACGTATATCTCAATATTAATAGCATTCAGTATTTTAAGTTGAAATGTTATCTTTATTGTATAGCTCAATGGAAAAATGACTTTGGGAGAAAATATCGCCGATAATGGAGGTATCAAGGCTGCTTATAAAGTAAGCTATTATTTTGATTCAAATTTGCCTAAACTATAAATCCTTGTCACTGTGAAATTATACTTCACGTACAATGGAGAAGTTTCCATGTTTGAAACTATTCTGTATAAAATATACTCATCAGGATATCAAAAAAGAACAAGTATTTCAGCGAAGAATCTCTTTTCGTGTGGTTACATTTTCAAAGCTGTACAATAGCAAATTTATACATTTCTCCAGTGTAAGGATTTGATAATTGAAAACAGTTTGTCAATAAATGAGCTGACATTAAAATGTTTAAAAAACAACTAAAAACTGTTGAATAGTGAATCTTAATCAAAATAAGTTTGGACAAGGAGTTTCGTAGCACGACAGCATAATTGAAAACTGAACTGTGATTAGGTAGAGCATAGCAAGAAGAATAAATGGCAAATTACTTAAGAAGTGAATAGTGTCAGAACAGAAAAGTAAAAAGAAAAAGGGAGGGATAGAGGAGATCGAGAACTAAGATTGTGAAAGGAGAAGATGTCGAACAATCTTTTTTTGTCGTACATAGTTGAGTTTTCTCCATATGGATGGCAAGAGCTTCAACGATGCAGAGAATACGAAGACATACTGCATTTGGAAGGTTTCTTTTCACTTTATAGATGATTTCCAACGGGGAGATCCTTCAGGTAAGGTGATTCATGTTCACGATATGTTCAATTATAGCACTCACTATCGCTCTATTGTTACTTGTTTGTAACCACGTGGGATGGTGTTCTTGAACCCTTTTGGATAACAGTCACATAGGCTCCACAAGAGCAGGGGAATTGATAAATATGCACATAGAAGTGGTCAGATGTGAAAGTTTCTCCTTTGAGCTGTTAGAAATCGTTGAGCGACAAAAGAATGCTAGTCTCAGCGTTGGTGCAAAGAATGTTCTCCTTAGAGCGTTTGATATCCTCGTTTTTAGACTGTCAACGGCAAAATCACACTTAAAGCTTAGATTCATATAGAGTGTCTATTTTGGTACAGTGGTAAGGTTCTGTGTGCAAGGTTTAGGCTTGATGTGTTTATCCATGAATAGTGGGGGAAATCTGTTTTCAATCAGGAATTTCTTTAGAACAGAAATTTCTTCTTTTAACACATCGCGACTGCAAATTCGTCTGATACGAGTGGCAAGAGATATGATCAGGTTTCGCTTACGACTGATAGGGACCCAGCTGTTAAAGTTCGTCAGCTGACCAATCCAAATTGGTTTTCTGTGAATTGGGAATTTTAAACTGTTTTGATTCACTACAGTAGGCAGTGTGAATGAACGTGTGTTAGTCGTTTCCAAATAGCTTAATAGGTAGACAGTTTTATCAATATTCATTAGCACATAAAGCGATCATATGAAATAAGCTTTGGTAAATCTGATGTGTACAAGAAGATCTCTAAGAATTAGAACAACAGTGACCAATCAATTTAGTCCAGTCAACCACGGAAAATTACTAAGAATAAACATCGAAAGTATTCCCATCATATATGAATGGCTCTCGTGACTCATTAGTTTAGTGGTTAACGATCTGTTGTTTGAAGTGGTTGGTCTTAGGTTTCAGTCTTAGTGGGAACAAAATCGCTCACTGAGATACAGATGCATCCAAGTGAAGAGCACCAAATGGGACGAAACATGTGTCCTGAATTTAACTCATAGCCTACAACCATTGTTAATATCAAGTTAGAATAGGCGTAAAGTATTCTAAACACAGCGTTAATGTAATTTTCTAGGATGATCATGAGTTCTACAAGCAATAAAAAAGTACTTTAAATTGATAAGTTTAATAAATAAGATAGTCACACAGATTTTTAACGAAATATTTCTTATCAATAGAATGTCATTGGAATGGAAACTTTTGAAGTGAGTTGGTTTGTCACGACAAACCAACTCACTTCTCAAGTGCTCAACGTCAAATTTAATATTATAGATTAAAAATATTCAGTACAGATGAAATAAGGTTAAAATTTGATTCGTTGAAAGTTTAAGAGATAACCATTATGCTGGGACAAAGTTAGGCAGCAATGATATTTAAATGGTGATTGGTTTTAAAACAGCTGACTGTAATACATGTCGGGAGATAATGTAGAATACATGGCTTGTAAATGCTTATCTCCCCTTACTTAAGATACATACTTTCAGGCTATAACTTGTACTAAATATAGTATTGTTTATTAGTGCTTGTAATTTCCCGTTGTTATTATACATCAAATTAGATGACCTCTTTTGGCATATTTCCTTCTATTTGGATGTCTCAATATTGCCAGAATATTTATCATGATAATTCACTTGGTTGTGGCGATCACAGAAATCCAGGACACGCGTTCCATCTTATTTGCTACTCATCGGCTGAATGTACCTGCATCCCAGTGAGTGATATTGTTCACACTGCTACTCGAACCTCCTATCCATCACTTCAAACGCCAGAGCGTTATCCACTAGGCTACCGAAGCAGGATAGCTACCTCTTGTATAACGATTATTAGTTATTTCTAGTTGTTGATATGCTTGTAGTTCTCCTTTGTTTCACTGGATCGAATTATTTGACCTCTATTAGCATATGGGCTTCTGTGCAGCTAAGATAAGGCAACTGCAGGTGAGGTAAGAGCACAGTGTGCTCTAACACTGAAACGACAGAAGAAAATGAAATCTAATTTACCAAAGTCACAGAGAGAATTTCTCAGGAACCTTCAAAATGATAGCAATATAGTAACTGCCAAATCGGATAAAGGCAACTGAGTAGTTGTACTGAAAAAATCTGACTACATCTACAAGGTGATTGAGCATACAGAAACAGGACCGTATGAGGAAGTCAAAAAATCAATGGATACCATTATGAGTTAGGTCAAGAGATGGGCAGGGGATCTGATAGGCCGGATGAAGCCGTTTCTAGGTGAGTCAAAATGGTTTAATTTAATACCGAAAACTAATAATTCCAGTAGAATGTATGGTACTATTAAGATTCATAAGCCAGGTTATCCCATCAGGGCTATAGTAGATTTTAGAAACACTCCGACTTACGAGTTGTCTAAATATTTAGCGATAGTGTTAGACCCATTAAGAAATCCTTCAAAATGTCGACTTACCAACTCTTATGACTTAAAGCACAGATTAGACGACACACACTTAGATGACAATTAAAAAATGGTTAGTTTTGACATAACTATCCTTTACACAAATATACCGATCAACATGGCTCTAGAGGCAGTTAGAAATGGGCTTAAGGGTGACAATGAGCTTATGCATCGAACTAAGGTGCCGATCGAGGAAATCATGCTAGCAGTACGATTGTGCCCAACATCTACAGCTTTTAAGCTTCAAAATAAAATGTATAAACAAACTTAAGGTGTTGCTATGGTATCATCAATATCCCCTATCGTTGTAGACATATTTATGGATAGGTTCTTGGCACGTATAAATTCAGTAGTGAATGCAATCAAATCTACCTGTGACTTCGAAAGTCATGAAGGTGAGCTAGCAATATTGGATTGCAAGATTAAACGAACACAAGATGGAAGTCTAGAGACTAGTGTCTATAGGAAACCTACCTATTCAAATCCCTATGCAAACTTCAAATCCTCCCACCCCATTTCAGTTAAAGTAGGCTTAGTTAAATCCCTAATTGATAGAGCGAAAAAGCTAACTAGTAGATCGGAAAATCTACGGCAAGAAATTAGATACATCAAGAATACCTTTCATCTCAATAATTACCCACCAAAATTTACAAATAAATTCATAAGAAATCGAAAGAAAAGTATTAGCAGTGGTAGTAGTAGTAATATAGGTATTGTTACTAGTAATTCTATTACTAACGGTAATAATGGTGACAGGGTTGAGAGAGAATACAAAGCCTCTGCTGTGTTACCATATAAGAAAGGCACCTCAGATGTGTTACGAATAATTCTCAATACAGCTTTGATCAAAGTGGCATTTAAACTCGCTTGGAAACGAGCTTTGTAGGTTAAAAGATTCTATGGATGCAACTAAGCAAAATAATCTGGTTTATTAAATCCATTGTAATGATTACGAGGTCGAATATATAGGTCAAAGTAGTCGACCAGGGCCGATTAGAATAACAGAACACGAAAACTTAGCTAAATCAAGATTAGTAGATCCTAATAAGGCAAGAAATTCAGAGAAAAGCTCGGTTAGAGCTCTGCACGCAATTACACACAATCACACGGTATGGTGGAATTGAGTAACAGTATTCAGAACTAACTTAGTTGGGCAGAGGGAGAGAGAGATTGATAACCGAATCTTTTTTGATCGAATCAACACCAAACACATGCAATGGAAATGATTCTGCACCTGTCCCAGATATATGGAAAATTCTACCACCCTTGTCATCACAGAGAAGGAGAGAAAACTAGGAATATATAAAGACTGTCTCGAAGTTGTGGAGTTACCTGATATGAATATGGACACGTTATCCAGTAAATGCTACTATTTCACTGTGTGATGTTTCTAATAACCAGACTAAAATTGAATTACAATTTACCACAGTGCCCAAGTTTTACTTTTATATTAATGCCTCGATATTCCCTGAGTATTCATAACGTAGTAGTTTAGTTGGTGGTGGCTAGCATTCAAGTCCAGGATGCGCATCCCATGTTATTTAGTGTTCATAGTAATATAATCATTCCAATGTCAGCGCATATATGTATGGGATGGTTTGGAATGTTTGTAGCTTAGGTGGGTGTTCTTGGTTGTTTTGTGTTCTCTGAGCTGAGCTGTTTAATCGTGGGGATTTCATCGTCACTCTAGGTGACATCATCAGCACTAACTTCAGTATGAAGTGAACTGTCAATATCTCTCCGTCAGTGATTCGTTAGCTTGCCCTGACTAACTGGTTTGTGACTGGTTGTTTCCTTTGATTGTTGTATAGATTTGCTTCCTGTGGGCTGTTCCTGTGTTTGACCTCTGAACTTTCTGTCTCTTATCATTTTTCCCATTGGTTGATAGAATGGGTTCATGTCTATACACCTACTGCTTGCTGATTGACCCGAATGCCAAGCTTCGAGGAATTCTCTAATACTCTCTGTCTTTCCTCAGTCCGGAGGAAAAATGATAAACGACAGAAAGGTCACGGGTCAAGCAGAGGTAGAGCCAACAGAAAAATCTGTATAGTTAATGACACAACAAAGGAAACAACCAATCATAGACCACTTCGTCAAGGCAAGCTAAAGAATCATTGACGGAGAGATATTGACAGTTCACTGCATACTGAAGTTAGTGCTGATGATGTCGTCCAGAGTGACGATGAAAGCTTCACGATTAAAAAACCCAGCTCAGAGAAAGTAATACAGGCAAAATATATGTATGGTTCAGAATCAGTTACATAACCATTTGGAACTCTCTGTTCAGTTGTTTCCTACCTGGTATATGTGGGTAAAAATTATGTGGGATAGCAGGTTTACGTCACTTTCACGAATGTCACTTATTTACTTAGTCATTTACTTTCCAACCACTGAGTCAAGAATTCTTCTCCTTTTCACCTTTCAAGTTTGGTGTAGGGAGTAACTTATACATTTTCTAGTGCACAAACCTGCGAAAAGTTGTCACGTTAAGTTTCATTTCATACGTCTTTTTGTTACCATCAATATTAAAGTAGAAACTGTTGAGTTACTTATTCACCTTTTTTCAGACGTTGGGAATTATTGCGTCGTATTATTGACTGAATAAGATTTCCTATTCATTTCTTGGATTATATTTTAATCGTAGATTCGTAATGACATCATATTTTCTAGATCGAAAAATGTCAGGTTTCTTCAGCTGAGATTTAGACCTAGTATTAAGGAAAATAGCGTTGAACTCTAGTGACTAGTAAACATTCGCTTTATTCACACGGCACGTATAGATCTTGAGAGTTAGTAAGCAGTAACTAAAGAAGAAAGTGTATCATTTGTTCGTACCGTTGATTTTGATTTTCAGGAGATCAAGCATGTTATCCACCTGACTTGAACACTTTTCAATTCTACATGGAGTTGTTACTGATGACGCGATTAACCTGCATTTCTATTTGACGGGAATCATAACATTTCGGAGAACTTTTAGACAACTGCAGTAAGCTGACTGCACGAAGAATAATGCAGTTTACACGAAAAAAGGACACATCACTCATACTGTATTGGGTTTAATGGCATTTAAAATGAAAGTTGCTCTTAAATAGACTAAAGTTGGCTAATCTTCTTGAGAGCTAAGAATAATTTGTCCAATTCTGATATAAATAAAAGGAGTAGCAATAAACAACTGCTAAGAGCCCAACAAACGATAATAGCAAAAAATCGTCACTTCTCTTTGGTTAGTTGCAGATACACGTTACTGATAGGTCCCAATGAGCATTAATTTTACCTTGGATGTGGTTTCCTGCTGATTGCATTTGATCAACAGACGTTTTTTCTTACAAAACCATTTGTAAAATCATTTAGTCCCATTGTATTATGTAAAGTGCTCATTCAACCAATCAATCAATATCAACATAGGACCGGGCATTACTGTGTAACGGTCCGAGTTACCATAGCTCAGTACAGTACATCAAGTAGCAACGTAGTGAGGTGAAGGATGAAGATAAGAGAATGCAGTCAAAAGGAATATAAAGTACGAGAAGAAAGTAAAGAGGAATGACTAAGTGGTGAGATTCGGTCTAGCGTCGTTGAGATGAAGATAATATGTGTATACATCTGCGCCACTGACATAGGTTCTGAGCCATATGCCCTAGAGTCTCCATCCACTGGTTCCTCTTGTCCCGCGGACCCCAACCACACCTAGTCTGTATCGCCCCCACATGGCTCAAACCAACAGTTAGAAACTTCATACATTGGTGCCATGTTTTAGTCTGGCCACCTCGGGCCTTTTTCCAGCCTGGACCTACTTCGACCAATATTGTGTGACGAGGCAATTCGTGACTCGGCATACGTAGTACATGTCCAACCATCTCAATCGATGAAGGTTTACAACCTCGTCTACTGATTTACCTCTGCTCCCTAAAACTCTACACCTAACTTCTGCATTACTCACATGGTGACACCATGGAATACGTCCTATACTACGAAGGCGACGGTGGTCAAACACTTGAAACCTTCTTATATCTTCTACCTTCAATGGCCATGTTTCATAGTCATACAGTAGAACAGAGCGGACTGTTGTGCAGTACACGCAACCCTTAGTAGACAAAAGGATATCACGGTGGCGCCATAGGTGGCGTAAATTGGCAAAAGCCAATTGAGCATTTTGTATCCGTGCAGAAATTTCATCGGCAACTAACCCACCAGGTAAGTGAAGTGTTCGACACACTCAACCACTTCACTCTCTATTGTGAGCTGCGGTACCGCTGAAGACCAGTCCTAGAGCAAAAATTTGCATTTTGGTGGTGAGAAACGCATACCAAACATTCTCAGATTCCCACTCAAAGTTTTCAGAAGACTCTGCATGTTGTCAGCGTCTTCACTTAACAGGACTCTGTCATCTGCTTATTCTAGGTCTAACGGAAGTTCTCCTGTGATTAGGTCAACGTGTGTTTAATTAGGTGACGAGAGGGAAACCTCCATAAGAATATCTTTAATAAAATTGAATAAGAATGGAGACAGTGAGCATTCTTGGTGGACACCACTTGATGAGTATGCTCCCTGGACAACTCGCCCAGGGAGCTCATTAGTGACATATTTCCAGATGGATATCATAAAGTTTTAATCAAAAGTCGTGGTCTATGTTGTCAATCAGTCGAATGTCAACTGAAGACCTTGGGTGATAGTTGCCCTATTGAAGTCTGACCCAGTGGTTGGCTAGTCAATGTGTTCGCCGTGAAACTTAAAGATCCTGATTTTAATCCCCAGTCGCGTTGTGGATTCGTACCGTTGAGCAGTCTCATACTAGAACGAATGATCTGTTCAGTGCTCCAAGTTTTCCAATGGTTCTCCAACTGATATCAGTTCATGGTGAATGCTACCTTATAAAGAAATTCCCATCAACCTTAAAATACAATATAAATTATAAAAACAGCTGTATGACAAATTTCAGATTATTCATACTTAACTTATTTCTTTTCAACACTTTTATAGGCTTTTAAAAAGCTTGAAGCCAAATATTCAGACAAGCCTATTTTACCTGGTCTCAAGTTCACACCTGATCAGTTATTTTTCATTGGATTTGCACAGGTAAGTTAATGTTGCGTTAATTTTTTCAATAATAATGATAATAATATCTATATTTCTGTGAAAATAGTATAACACACTTCTTTTTAAAGTGAAGTGGAACACACTCTAAAGCTGTGCATGAGTATAGCGTTTTACCGCCATAATCATTTTATGCTATCCTGGTTGATTGCCAACTGGTAAGAACATCTGGATCTCGACGCGCATATCTTATGAGTACTGATAAACACAAACCCAAGATTCATGAATTTCTACAATTGACTGTCATAATCTAACATCATAATACAGTGGACTATAGTGTCATATCCCTTAACTTACTGGTCAAGTTATAAATTTGGTGGGAAAACTTTGGCCAGTTCTGAGCAATAAGTACAAGACAGTTGCGTTACTGACCCATTGGTAGACAATCAACACAAAATTCTTCATTCTTCTTCTCATTCCAAATCATGAATATCAGTCAACACCGGGATGAATGCATATTTTCACTGGATTTGAAAAAATGGCATAGATTTCCACAATATATTCAGTGATAGTTATTTACGCTTCATTTAACCTATAAAGGCATCATAGTAATTATACAAACAGATAAATTGGTTAAGAACTGTACCATCCAGGGATGTACTTTTATCTTTTTACGCATAATCGGCGTTTTGAAGCATGAAACCAGGAAGTGCAGTTTTTTACTACTAGAGAAAAGATTGAATGTTTAGGTTCTGTTATCTATAGAATAAGAGAATTTTAGTTGTTGTTTTACCTAATGGAATAGAACCATCTCAGATACCTGAAGTTTAGTCACAGTCAGACCTTTTCAGATGTAACCGGAGTGGAGTATTTGTGTTGGACACAGAAACAAGTAACTTTTCTCAGGTTATCAGAAACGCCATTTAGTTATTACACAATACTCAAAGTCACACATATATTCTAACCTTTCCGATGAAATAATTCACTTACTCATTAAATAAAAGTGTGGTAGTTAAGGTTAGAAGAAGAAATAACTTCAAGCTACTCTCTGGGTATTGAATGTCACGCTTTTTCTACTAGGATGAAAGAAACCTTTAATAAATATGAAGTCTTTCAACGTATTTTCAGTTATCTCCGTGATATTCCTGAGGTATAAGGACTGAAGCAGTTTTATCATTTTCAGATTGATATTCATCACCGACTGACGTCAATTAGAGAACCATTGAAAAATTGGGAAAACTGGAAGGCTGTTTCGACCTATTATGGGATTCCTCAGCAGTGCATACTAATGGCCTTGCCAGAGATCGAACCCAAGAACTTCATGTTTCACGGTGAACGTGGTAACCATTCAGCCATTTAAGCTAATGAAAAACCGTGACCTGTGGGGTTAACCAGTCGGATGTTAAGCGGCTGCTGATTGAAGACCTTGGTGGCTACTGCTGCTATATCGTGAACTGATAGAAGTAAGAAAGTGTGAACAGTTGAACCTCGATCAAGCAGCTAAGTGGTTAACACCTTCCTCGTGAAAACTGAAGTCCTCGAGTTCCATTCCTGGTCGGGTCGTGGATGAGTACTGTTAAGGATTCCCGCAATATGACAAAATAGTTGTCTAATACTTTTAAGTTTTCGATGATTCTTCAACTAATGTCAGTCCGTGATGAGTATCAGCTTGAAATCAATCAAATCCCCACAAACCTGCAAACTGGACTGATCATTTTTACTTTCGGAAAGGTAACTATACACTCACTCGAAGTAATGAAAGTTACTCTTGACAAGATATAATTCAAAATTTATAAATATTTAATCAATGTTCCTTAATTTTTATAGTAAGTGAACATGTTTATCTGACGTAGTCAAATATAATTCTAATCACAGTCTACTTACAAAATTGTTAGTAGCTTACAAATTTATAGGTAAAGCGAACTGCAATCACCTTCTAGATAAATCAGAGTAGCTCTTAAATTTGCATTATTTGAAGTAACTAATAAGAAAACAAACTTATAGTGAAAAACAAGTAAAGCTATCATGCATAAGCATTTTTAGTAGGTGGTTGGAGGCTATCGAGTTCCTTACTGAGCAATGGAATTCCATTATGGTGTTGAGCTAGCTAGTTTGTTAATCACATTGCAAAATGATCGGTGTAAGTTGATCTGCAATTAGGACTAGAAAATAGGGAACTGGTTACCTTCTGTTGAACAAATAATGGATAGAAATTGTTTATTTGCGAACTGCAAGAATTACTATATTCTAAATCCATCTATATGGATATAGTATTATTTACTTGATGACGTTTCGAGCATAAATTATCGCTCATAATCATATCAGTGTAATCACACCACTTTCAACATCTGATTTCTATAGTCATGTCACCTGATATACTTCGTTTTTATTGGTAGTAAAACTTTCCATATCTATGGTATAGATGTTGAGTCATTCCCATTACATATATATTGGGTGTTGATTCGATGAACAAAGATTCAGTAATCAATCTTCCTGTCTCTCCACCTAACTATATTGAACTTAAGTACAGTGGCTTTATCCCATCCTATTGTGTGGTTGTGTGTTATTGCATGCACATCAATAGCCGAATTTTTTTCTAGATTGTTGATCTTATTTAAGTCTGTTATTCTATATTTAGATAAATTTCTATATATTCGACTATTCTAACTGACCCCAACTGGCTAGTTTGACCTATGTACTCGATCTCGCAGTCATTACATGGAATTTGATAGATTAGATTATTTTGCTGAAGTTTCTCTGTGGGATCCTTAAGCCAGTCAACAAGGTTTATCTCTGAGTGAGTTTGTAGGTTTAAATGCCACCCTAATTCCAGCTTTGTTGAAGTGACGATCCTACGTAAAGTTTCTGATGTGCCTTCCTTAACGAGTAACACAATGCAGGTTGTGAACTTTCTACTTCTTTCTACTCGGAATATATCAAAAATTTCTTTACATGTAGACGCGATCCAGTTCATTCACGAGGTAGAAAATGAACAAGGAGAATCACCTACGTTGGATTGCAGGATAAAATGAAGGATAGACAGTGGTTCGGATACTTCGGTCTACAGGAAACCGACACACTCTAACAGGTATCCAGAATTCAAGTCATCTCATCCAATGTCAGTTAAGGCAGGTTTAGTCAAATGTCGAAATGATAGAGCTAGATAACTGACTAGTCAGCGCAAAGACTTAAACAAGGAACTGAAACGCAAACAAGCACTGATAGCTAATAATAATCCTCCGCAGTTATTAAAAAATGCATACGAACGCATAAGAAACAAAATAATAACAATAAAACGAGTTTGGATAATAATCACAACAGGAGTAGAAAGTTCACAACCTGCATTGTGTTACTCGTTAAGGAAGGCACATCAGAAACTTTACGTAGGATCGTCACTTCAACAAAGCTGGAATTAGGGTGGCATTTAAACCTACAAACTCACTCAGAGATAAACCTTGTTGACTGGCTTAAGGATCCCACAGAGAAACTTCAGCAAAATAATCTAATCTATCAAATTCCATGTAATGACCGTGAGGTCCCTATCTGTTATAATTAAAACGAACAAATCTAATATGGAATTAAATCCTATCACAGTTTTCAAATTTTACACTTATATTAATCTAAGTGGATAGTTCTTTGTAAGGTTTTCAGCTGTAATCTTCATAACAAGACTAAGAACAACCAAAACTCAGAGGGTCCATTAGGACTTTTCATGCTTCCTATTAGATCATAATGTTCGTTTGGTATGTTTGATAAATATCGATTCTATGAGATCAAACTCTTCAACTTCTAGACTTTATATTGAGCCGGTTTTTTCACTCTAGTAAAACTGGACTAAGTAAACAGCATTCTCCAACGTCAAGTAGTCCATTTCTCATCTACGAGAAAGATATCCACAATGATAGACAGTTGAAGATTTCCGGGAGAATTTCGGAATATCACCCAGTTATAAACTGACGAGAATCAGTGAATTAAAGTAAGGTAGTTAATCCGTTGTTCCTAGTTTTCTTGTTGCTTCAGCTTATGTGAGTTCGTGGTACAGAAACCTATCTCTGAATTATATATGTAAGATTATGCTTTATATAAAACGATCAAATATTATAGGTATCAGAATATGAAGAACACATCAGTTAAGACCTATGTTGTCCTTGGAATTTTCTACACATATATAACTAGTAGCCTCATCAACTGCATCAATATATTAAACGTAAAGATGCCACAAAAGTTTATAAGATTGCAAAATACTTAGACATTAAAATCACTCATATGTCTAACTATTATCAGTAGAGAGGTTTTCAATTTTCTAATGGACTGTCACCTTTCTGTTAAGTAGCCCTAAGTGTAACCGAATCATTATATTGCAGTGCTTATAATGCGGAATAGAACTGTGTTACTCCTAGGGTGCAATCAGCAGCCTGAGTGAAATGAGAAAGCAAATTACTAATCTATCGCACCTAACAGCTATTTGGATAGCTGATGATGACCAAACTTTGCTCACTTATCACTGAAAATACTTAAGCGGGACTTATATCACGTGTTGGACTTTATCTTTGTCGTTTTTGTTAGTGTCCTGTCAAGAAGTAAACATCAGTAAATTTGAAGCAGGATTACTATTGCGGAAACTATGTTGCATGTATCAGTCCCAAGAATCTTGAGTTTTGGTTAAGTTGTCACAGAAAATACTGAGTATATGTTTCGAAATATACATATTCAAAGATGAATCGGAAGTATGCTATAGTAATAAGAATTAAACCATAATGGTTGTTCAGAATACATTGATTCTGGTTCGAGAAACGAACTCAGAAATAAATTAAAATGTAGCTTTCTTCACAGTTATTAACATATTATTTAGATATATTCCTTTTTGGGTCATTTAAAAGATGAAGGTCCATGAGGTAGATAGGTATAAATTGATAAAAAAAATATGGTAGAACGAAAATACTCCTTGTGATGGCATTGTAATGAACACTACTTATAAGATTGTATTTCAGTAGTATATATTTTCCATCACTGAAAAACCCGAGAAATGATAAAGACTGGTGAAGATTGTGGATGGTGGAAAACATCATATTGAATAAGAATATGGTGGGATATCGAAAGGGAGAATATTTGTGAATAAGACTTGATTACAATTTCCTCATAAGCCATAATCGCTACTCTATTGTACTTCTCTGCTATGTGAATGATTGGTAATATATAATCCATACATATTGTTGAGATTTTGGTCGGACTCATCTGGATGGTTGTTTTTTTATCAACAAAATTTATGCTAACTCTCTAGGGTCCTATAAGTGACGGTCACTTTTGTAATCGACTCGAAGCTAAGCATGTAAACTCAAGTTAAATATCAACCTATAGTTTGACTTATCCTAGATCTTAATATCTAAACCGAACAAGCTAGTTACTGTCATTGCATGCTTAGTTTTATAGCCAAGAAAAGAATTATATTCATTCGTGATCTAACAATGGTATACTTGTCTATTAGTAACTTTATGGATGTATCCAGTTCGAAGACCTCTTAAACGGCGTAATTCTCGAAATTAGCCTGGTTTGGTAGCCTAGTTGGAAGAAATGGCACTTGATTAAGTTTCAGTTTCACTCAAACAACTATTATCCATATGACTGTGTGTGTGTGAATAAATATAAGACGTCGACTGATTACCGCATTATTAATGGATGGTGGCTAGCAGTGGAATCAAGAACACGTGTTTCGATCCATTTAGGACTCGTCAGCTGGATGTACCTGGCTCTCAGTGAGTGATGTTGTTTCTAGTGCTCACTGGTTACTAGCTTTGAGGGAAGATTTCCTGAAGTTCTAATAAGAATTGTTGGCCAGTGCGGCGAATCAAGTCGAAAGCAAGGACAAATGGCCACCGGCGACATCGGATGGAGGTCACAATATATCGTAAACTGACAGAAGTACGGAATGTAGAGTACTGGATTCCTATCCAGTGGCTTAGTGGTAACGTGCTGGTTACGGAACCTGAAGCTCCTGGGTTCGATCCCTGGTGGGGCGGGGTCATAGGGGCGCACTGCTGAGGAGTCACGTACTAGGACGAAACAGCTCTCCGGTGCTCCCGCGTTCCTAGTGTTCATCTAAATGATGTCAGTTCATGACGAACACCAACTCGAAAAATCAGTAAATCCCCACAGACCCCAAATTAGATTGAAAATGTTTTGTTAGAAGTTTTAATTAATGAGAAGAACAAACAGAGTAATACCGGAAACTACTAAATGTGAAAATGATGATGCTGATAATGACGATATAAGAGTACAAAGATTAATTTAACAAAAGGGGAAGCTGAAAAAACAAAACAAGAATGAAACACACCGAGACTAAAATAAATTAAAGCCAAGGTAGAGACAAAGACTATACATACTTTTTTGCACACAACGATTAGGCTTCAGTTCATGGATAACGGAGATCTCCGTTATTTTTAAAAACTGAAGGCGAAGGAAACGTGAGATGTTTGAGTGAATTCTATACACAACCTTAAAATCATTGTTTAGATTAATTGAATGGTTGAAATTGATCAAATGTTCAACGATAGAACTTCTAATGAATGACATCATTTTTGCCTAAGTTTTATTCAAAATATTCAATTATTTTTCATTGTAATAATTTAGATTACAACTTGTAAGAAATCATTTAATTATGTATTGAAAATTATTATAGAATTTGTTTTTATCACAATTTTTAACATATAGCTCTGGTGTTTTAAAAGCCTCCATCAATCAATTCTTAATACAGTACTCTTTGATGTACACACAGTAGAACAGTACAGGTAAGTATGCATATAATTTCCATTTCTGTGATTGTTATCTATGTTTCTAGTGATTATGACAATTAAATTTTGAGGGGGTTGTGGAGATTTTGAAATATTTCAAGTTGTTATTCATCGAAGACTGACATCAGTTGGAGGAACAAAGGAAACCCAGGAGCACTGGAAAGCTGTTTCGTCCTAGTATGGGACTCATCAGCAGTGCGCACCCACGATCCCACACCAGGAGGGATCGAACCCGCGACCTTCGGGTAACGCGCTGGTGGCGGAACCTGAAGGTCGCGGGTTCGATCCCTGCTGGTGTGGGATGGTGGGTGTGCACTGCTGATGAGTCCCATACTAGGACGAAACAGCTGTCCAGTGCTCCTGGGTTTCCTTTGTTCCTCCAACTGATGTCAGTCTTCGATGAATAACAACTTGAGATTATAACAATGATTAGTTTTCATAAAAAGGTTTAAACAAGCTGCTTAGATGATAGCGTTATGAAATGCACTACATTGCATCACTTTGCTGTATTCTAATTTGTTTTAAGCCGTTCAACTAGGCAAATTTCTCACATTTCTCAATCTAGTGAGAATCGGTATCCAGCATATTACTGAGTAATCTTTAAACAGTGTTTGTAATAAGTAATTATGAGTGCAATTTTGATTAATTTCTTAATATATTGCACTATTTTAAACCTAAAGTTCCAAATTAAGTTTGTCCGGTAATATATCTGATACCGGCAATACAATCTAGTGGACGAAATTTCCATGGACAAAAAAAATCTTATATAAGTTATTATATGTTTAAATGCCCAACTGTAACAATTACTTCCTGTCTTCATTTAGTATTTAAACATGCGACAAATTGCACATCTATTCTGTTAAGAAGTGGCTTTCAGAAGGTGGCGGAATGTGAGAAATTTGTCTTCCTACTTCGTTGGGATTTTATAAATATACTTCTTCAATAAGCCATTTACCCAACGCTCAACATACATTGACTGATCACTGGAGAGCAACCAGTCTCATGTTTTCTAGTCATGAGTGCTGACCAAATTCTATCGGTCAGCATTTAGGTCTAGAGTAAAATCACTTTCCTCTAGATTGCAGAAACGCCTTACTGACCAGTACCAACAAGTACGAAAGTAAGGTCAATAGTTTCCTGCTGATTTCCTCCAACCAACTAATATATTTAACTCTGCCGGGTGAGAATATACTGCTGAAGTCTATTCCTGGAATCATTAACTAGGACTGTAAATTTTCATGCTGGTTGAATGAATAGCAACTACCAAACTTAAACATGCATTTTTATACCTACCCTTGTACAGTATCATGTAATTCCGTTAGATTTGGATTGCGATCAGAAGTTCTGACTAGGCAGCCAGTGTGAATACGACCAAGCTATAGTAAAGTACCACGAATTCACATGACAGTCGGGCGAAATCTTTCTTGATTGAAGTAAAGTAAATATCCTGTCAGCAGTTGGACCTCGGTGGGTCAGTTGGTAGAGCATCGGGTCGGAAACCCGGTGGTCGCCGGTTTTAATCGTGCCGCGGTCCAAATTTTCATTTCACATTCAGTCATCACCTAGTGTCAGTGTTAGTCTGAGAAACCACGGCTATCTCAGACAGTCAAATGATCATCCATTTATTGTTATCAACCAAGCATGTAGTCTTGTGCATTATCATAATCAGTAGTGATACATAATCCAACAACAATGCATCTTCATCGATTTATTTGATGTTAGTAAATGGGATTTGTCATATGAAGGAAACTAGAACCTGTAAATTTTACCGGGAACTGGAAAAGCATACCCTCAGCGATTCACTTTAATTCTTTGGTGCCAATATTACCATACATGCATATTTAAAACTAAACATCTGACTTAATCCTCCATATACTGCATACCTGAAGTATGTACAATATGAGCAGCCGCATAATCTGATACAAAAACACTTATCAGACCACCAGCTAACGATGCTATTTTATTTCTATTCACCTGAAAGTAATTGGTCTGGCATACCATTGCTACTTCAGTGTGTTGAGACCATAAAAAGACCCACCCATCATTCAACCTTTGAATCTATGAGAAACATAAAAGTCTTTGTGTGATTATGACAAAAAAGGATTGTTCTGGAGGTCTCCCATGTTAGTTCGGTATTAAATAAGCAAACGCAATGTTTATCCTAAAGGGTGAAGTGGAGGAGATCATGTGAGGAAGAAATGAATTCTGCTAGGCGGTCGTGGAGCCAGGTTCAAAAGACTGCAGGGAACAGAGTGAAATGGAGACGTGCTACTGAAGCCGTATGTTCCACTAGGAACCCAAGGGACAAGTAATAATAATCCCATAATTGAAACTGTTATTATGACTGAAAACCGTGGCGTTATATTCTCCAAGAACTTAAGTAAATTACACAACTGGTAAAGAAGTCTGTATTCCTTTTTTTAATCTTTTAAAGTCTTGTTGCTAAGATACATGAATTTACTGATGTAATATGCAAATGAAAATCTCTTCTCATTAGTTATCTCAAACTAGGAACACGTTTTGCTGATGAGTATTAGCATGCAAATAACTCGAATTTAGGGCTTCACATAGAGTATCTTTAACAATCCGACATCAAGGATTTTGTGCCGGAATTTCAATGATGTTAGCTAGGTGGTCACTCTACTCTCTATTTTTTTTTCTACAGTAATACTCACTTTGTACATGTAGTTTACGTCAATTCATTTCGGCTAAGATACCTGACGTCTGTCTAGCTCCTATGCAGGCTATAGTGAATAATTTAAAACCGGCAGTGAAAAAACTTTGAAATGTTCAGACCAATACATTTTGGTCAACAACTGAAAATATACTTGCTAATGTCATTGTTGGAAATCAGTATTCAGTTATTAAAATGTCAGGTGCCATGACCCAAGGTCGTATTCATTGTTTCAAAAGGATTCAGTCTTTATGGCTATGTAGTGTTCGCTTATTGTCTTATTCTAAGGATGTTTGTTCTCTACCTTACACTGTTTATTTCATAGTTATCGTAATTTATTACTAGATCTTGGCATCAGTAAAGGCAGGTTGTTCGATAGTTTCTAACCAGTAAACCTCTTATACTGTTGAGCTATACCTCTGCCTATCGCTAGGTTACATATGCTGTTAGTGTTTGGTTAAGCTTTTCCCAGACTAAATGGGACTGGGACCAACGATGGGCATAATTTTAAGATGTGAGAAGCAATGAAGTCAATAGCAGTACAACATTTTCTCATATAACCAAGATGGGATACATGCATGTATTACATATAGAGGCAACACTTAACTTACGATACTGCTTAAAATAATGCAAGGTCAAAAGTAAGTGAAGCTTGATCAGAAGAAGACAGGACAAGAACCTATGAAGTCACTTACTATTAGTCTGACCTATACAGAGAGGTATATTCGTTCTAGCTAGGATACTTTAGATGTTAGGAACTGACAATCACAGAGCTCATGTAGCATATAGATCAAAATCGTTCACAATCCTGAAGATGTGGGTTTTTTTTTACCATTAATGAGTATCATTTTTCCAAGTTGTTCCAATATCATCCTTGTTTTGTTGAAGTTTCCTGCGTACACTGTTATGAAGGCTAATAATTAAAGCCATTACAGTTTTGTGTGACATTTTTTTATTATGGTATCTTTGTCTGCATTCACAAGTGCTTTTTCTCCATCATTTGCACTGTCTTCATTGTATTAGGTACATTTACTGACTATCTGCTTTGATAGTCACTTTTCATAATGAAATTATACTTAAAAAGGTATCAAGTGCCTTCTTCGCTCTTTCTCTTTCTAATAGGGTAATTGGTACTGTAACAAATTCAGAGGATTTCGCTAGAGTTTTCAATTGTCCTGCTGGATCACCAATGAATCCAATTAAAAAGTGTAATGTATGGTAAATGCTTCTATTAATTCTACAGATTTTCACTTCAAAGAAATTAATCTATTCTCTCTTTTTTCATTCCCACTTCTTTATTCATTCCACCACTTCATATAAACTTTTATCCGTATTTATTATTGTTACTCTTATCATCTTCATTGTTATCAATATTAACAGCATAATTATGCAAATAAACAAAGGTGATTGAACCTGATTCTACTGCTTTACCTATATGATATTGTCTTAAAAGTAGTATGTCGTAATTTTTCAACTTGTGTGTATGTATGTGTATGTGGTGTTGAAGAGGATAAATGTCTTGATATTACTTTTACAAAGTTAAGTAAGTATTTGTTTTAAGTGTGGATATATTTCATTGTTTGTTCATTTATACGGATGCGTGAATGAATACTTGTTTTGCATGCTTGTGTATGCAAACAAATAGTCATGTTGTTTTTTTTATCGACATTGTTAATAATTGAACAATTGAACACTGAATTCATAAGTACACATAATTTATTGTAATTTTCAAAAATTATGAAGAATGTATCTTTGTGATTATATTAACTAAATTGTTTGTGAAGATCATCTTACTTGTTTGTTTTCTCAATTTGTTTGTATGATTCTATCATTAAATGTTTTTTCCTCATCTCATTTATCTTTCTGTTTAGTATGTGTTTCTCTGTGTTTATTTGTGTTCGCGCCATTGTGTGCGCGCTTGCCTTGAATTGATCAGTGACAAAAACGAAACAGACTTATTTTATTACTTCTGTTACCCTTATAATTAGTTACAGATATCTAAAACACTGAAATAAGCTGTTCGTATTACACTGAGTTCAGTTTGTTAATTGTATTGTTTTACTGTCTAAATAAGGTTTCTGTTTTTTAAAAATTTTCATGCATGCATATATGTGCGTATGTTTAGTTTTCATTTCACCACTGTGCAACGTATTTAACAGTTTAGCAAAACGGTTTGTTTTTCATCTCACTTATTACTCGTTATTCTGCCTTTATTTCGAATGAACCGTTTGATAATAATTATTATTATTATTAGTCCCTTGGGTTCCTAGTGGAACATAGGGCTTCAGTAGCACGTCTCCAGTGACCTCTGTTCTCTGAGATCTTTTGAACCTGGTTCCACGACAGCCCAGAAGCTCTCATTTCCTCCTCGCACGACCTCCTCCATGCCACCCTCACCTTGGACGTCCAACTCGTCGCTTCCCATCGGGATTCCACTCGAGTGACTGGCCTGACGCATGATGTCCCCAGTCGGCCTTCTCAGTGCATGCCCAATCCATCTCCACTTCCTTCCAGTGCATATTTGTTGAGTGATAAGTTCTTGGTTGGTTCGTTCCCGGAGCACCTTGTTGCTTATTCTTTCTGGCAATCCATCTGATCTTCAGTAGCGAGCCAGCGTAAGCAGTTGTTGATGAATGTCTGTAGTTTATTGGAAATCCCTTTCGTGACGCACCAAGTCTCTGAGCCATACAGAAGCACTGACTTGACGTTGGTGTTGAAAATCCGTGTCTTGTTCCGCATGCTGAGTGCAGCAGTTCTCCACACTGGTTTCAGGCTTATGAACGCCTGTCTGATAATTAATTATCATTTATTGAGTGACTCAGTAGCCCGATAATTTCATCACAGCCTGATATCAACCACCTAGAAACTGTTTAAAATAACTTGCTGATTTTATCGATGTGAAGCTTCAGTATAAATGGGGTAGTTCTAATTCCATGATCGTATAAGGATATGGGAGAAAATATGAGACAGTAATGAAGTTAACGATATTTTACTTGAAGAAGACATTACTTTCTGAAATGGTCTATCTCATGATTGTATAGTTTAACAACTCTTCGTAGTCATGATGAGTCAGTGGAATGTTTAGTCAGCTAGTTTATTCAGGTCTCATGGTGAGCACGTTATCACTGAGTCCATAGGTCGGAATTCAATGGCTTACAGTTTCTTACTTCTGTCAATTCGTGATAGAGCATGACCTATCACCTAAAGTCATCAGTTGGCCTCCACTTTACTGTCGACCTGATTGACCGTAAGGGTTACAGTTTCTCATGAGAACTTCAGGATGTCCATGGAAAAGCATATCAGTAATGAACATTAGAGCTCTGAACTCTGACTCATTGGCGCTCACCACGAGAACTGAATGTCGTGACTTTGATCCCTGGTCAGGTTATGGATTGGCAGTGCTGAGGGGCCTCACAACAGGGCAAAATAGAGGTCCTGCGCTCCCAGGTTTTCAACAACCTTCCAACTGATATCAGTCTGTAATGAACATTCCTCCTGTATAGATGAATCCTCACAAGCCTGAAATTCTGATACCTATTTGTAATATGACCTCTCAATTTCAGTAGAAGTTTCGGCAGTACAGGGGATTCTAAGAAGGTTGTCGAACCACTGGATTGTCGCTGAAGTGTTTTAAAAAGTGCATTTGGGAAAAACTTGAACGACATGACATACTGTCAAGCTTCAATAAATTAAGAAGGTAATATATAGACTAAAACGATTTCTTTTTACTTCATGGCTTTTGGGCGGTTAAAAGGCATGCACGTACACAGAACCTTTAAGTCATGTGGATAGCACGTTATCATTAGACCAATCGGTTGTAATCCAATATTTCACGTTTTTTCTTTACAACCTATAACAGAAAGCAGTCATCATCCAGTGTCATCTTTGGGTGGCCGTCCCCATGCCTAACGTTGTTAGTTACGGTTCGTTATTTGAACTTCATTATGGCCATCTTGGAAAAAATACTCGCTGATGACGTTAGGACTTAGTTGCGCTATGTCATGGACTGACAGAACTTTGAACGATTAAGTTCTAACTAAAAGACTAAACAGCAACGTGCACTTCCAGAAACTTGAATGTCATAGGCTCGAGTTCTGACGGGTCGTGAGTGTGCAGTATTTAGGGGTCCTTGAACTAGGATGAAATCGCTGTTCACTGATTCTATAATTTCAATGGTTCTCCAACTGATGTTCTTCTACGATGAAGTCACTTTTAAATCATAGACCATTGTGAGCCAAATGGAGTTGCGATAGGTTCACTAGCATCTCCAATTGTGGTGACTCTCTAGATGAAAGCTTTAGTAGAAAGAGCTTTAAGAAATGTTCATTGCCAACCCAGAATTTGGTATAGATATATGAATGACATATTTGTCATTCTTAAGAAGGTAAACCAACAGGAATTCCTAGAGCATATAAATTCTACTTCAGATTCCATTAAATTCACTAGTGAAATAGAATTAAAGGATGACACTGAACTTTTTAGATTGTCTTATCCAAAGAACGACTGAAGATGAATTCAGTGTTAAAATATACAGAAAACCAACACATTCCGATCAACCAACTAACATAAAGGCTAGTATCTCATTGAACCTACTAAACGAAGCAAAAAATCATCCTAACCGATCTTAATGATTTGGAAAATGAAATCTCATGATTAAAGAATGTTTTGCTGGGAAATGGATACCCTGAAAAGTTCTTGAAGAACATTGTCGGTCGAACGAATAAAACAGCAAGTGCTACCACTAACGGTAACGAAGGTAAAACAAAGTCATGTACGCCATCTACGATGATACCATATTGAAAAGGTACTTCTGAACAGATTAGAAGAGTGTGCTCCTCGCATGGCATTAAAATCTGTTTTAAATCTTCAAACTCACTGGAGAAGATATTTGTCAAAGTGAATGATACAATCCCTAAGATGACACAGAACAACTGTGTCTACAAAATTAAATGTTTGGAATGTGAAGCTAATTCGATTGGAGAAAGTTGTAGACCCCTAAACGTTAGGGTAAATGAACACAAGTTATGCACGAAAGACCCACCGAAGAGTCAAGAGGAATTTAAAAATTGGAGAAGCGATCAGCAATAGCTATACATGTAATGGAAAGTGGACATATGATTGACTTTGAGAATGTAGACATTATTGGGGAAAGGTTTCCATCCACATAAAGAAAGATTAACTTCTGAGACCCTGAATATTTTAATAACATCAAATGATATTAACAGAAAAGAAGGAGTAGATTTGTCACCTGTTTTGCAAACATTAATCCGACAAAACCATTAATGATGATGTTTTCAAAATGAAGCTACAGTAACACTGACAATTACTGACAGTTGATTAATAAAAGTAACATAGTCGTAGTTTGACAGACTAGGTGAAAGAAAATTTCGACCGCGACCAGATTCGAACCAGCGACCCCCGGGTTTCCAACATACATAAACACACATCCTTCGACTATCCTACATATTCACTGACAAATGACAATACCGAGCATTAAGTTGTAATGACTAATCTTAATTACTCAGGTTGAACAGAAATATCAACCGACTAATAAATTACTTTCACTAAATATGTTTGATGTATCATCTGACGGTCATTTTGGAAATCGGCTTATAAATAATTGCAGTCGATAAGTGATTCATTATTCAGAATAAGGAAATGACGTAGTTAGCTTCTTTTCTCACTGATTCTTCCATGCTTATCAACTGCAGATACTGGTTGTGTTGAGCTCATTGATGCACTGGTCAAAAAAACCCAACAATATCTGCAATTTCTGTCCGCCTACTTGTTAGTAGTATAATTTCCAAAACAAAAAGTTTTCCGGGTGATGTACGTAGGGTGTTGGTTACCTGAATATTCACATACATGATCTACTTATCATTACATGAGAATTGTTAAATGGAGGGCATTATGGCCCTTATCATCAACTACTTTTTTAAGTTTGTCCTAAGATAACAAACAGACCTTCGTATTTTCTAAGGAACGTACTTGGGGAAGGCATGTAGATTAGGTCTATGTACGTCCCATAACTTTACTTTGTGATATACTGAATATTTATTCAGCAATATATATATATATATATATATATATATATATATATATATATATATATATATATATATATATATATCGGTTTGCCCACGTTTTGAAGTTTGCAGTGGCTACCCAGAATTTAATGAATAGAACCATTATCAAGGATAAATGACGTACAAAACAGCAACCTGCTGAAGGCTGTCTGACGAACATTCTATCCAACCACTCTCCAAATCACATATACAAGTGACTCGCTGGTGAACACGTGTACGAAGGATATGCTGTCAGTGTTGACCAGTTCCACATAGATATATCAATTCACTTCCTCATATCAAGCTAAGTTCATACGTAATGCTCGATGACAGATTATGCGATATCATCATCAACATCCACCGGCATGACTAAGTAGAGATCAACACAAATTGAATAATTATAATATCTCCGCATCGCAACATTCAATTAACAATGGACACAGCTGAGGGAAAAGCATTTGCAGTAGTCTACAATATACAAGTAACCATTAAATGTTTACATCATAAAGTAAATAATTTTGCACTAGTTATAAAGTTCTAATTCCCTTCCTTACTGACAACTAGTTTCCCCATTAGATAAAAAAATCTTCAGTTCTTGGTTTCAGCTTACAATTACTCATTTACTGTATTAAATATTTTCGTTTTTTCAAAATTTCACCCTAATAATCTTTCTCCGGACACTATCTACTAAGAATTATTTACCGACAAATATGATCATTTTTATCAATTAGTGTACACATTAATTCTACTTCAATGGGACTGTACAGATGCTAAGGATGATATCAGAGGAAGTGAAATTTCTTCGTCACAGTCTTTTCCTTCCTCTTTGATCAATAAATGAGAATACTAGAGGATAAATCTTTAAAAGTTCTATACAGGTATGTTGTCAGTTGGTTTCGAACTAGAAAATGAATTAATTCATCTATCAAAGTAATTGAACTACTGTCCAATGAGAAATTACATCGATTCCTTTAGACTACTTTTTCGGTGATAACCTTTATTTACTCTTGCTTGTTAAGAGGCATAAACTAGATTTGTAGATAGAGTACCAGTAACCAGATTAGTATTAACTTCTAGTACTTAAATCATCGTTTTAGGTTTGAAACCCAGAATTATATGATAATACTACATTTAATCCAATATCTGTTACTTACACAGAAGAACTAATAAGACTTCACAAACGTGAAGTCATTCTTTCTTTTTGAGAGAATCCTATAGAATAAACAATTTTCGACATAGCAATTATTCATCGGCATGATAAATTTGAAGCAAAAGTTGTGTAACACTAAAATGTTAACTGATAATCTTTTGAATGTATTGTGATCACACTCTAGTCTTTTAACTAAATAACTAAAGAATTAATGAGGTTTTCATTTCATTCAAGTTATCTGTTGTTGTCAAGTTACTGTTTGTATATCTGAGTACTAGCTACTATAACTGTTTTTTCAGTAGTATATAAAACAGATAGTTGGAGACCATTTTATTATTTGCTAAAACTTGTTATTTCCCACTGCTATGCTGGATCAAACTGGTCGAATCTGTACTCCAGAGAATGGTAACATTCGTACTGATGTGCAAGTATATTCAACTGACGAGTCCGAAATAGGACGAAACGTGCATCCTGCATTCCACTGCTACCCATAACTAAGTGAATTATGCGAGGTTATTTGATAATTACTCTAAGTACCGTTGCAGCTAGCCAAGTCACATATGAAGACGGATGCTCAGCGACAGTAATGGATGGAAGTCACAGCATTTGAACCCGATCCAGTGGCTCAATAGTAGCTTGCTGACCGCTGGGTTCGATTCCTGACGGAGTCGCAGGTACACAATGGTGAGAAGTCCCATGGTAGGACGAAACGTCTGTCGAGTGCTATCAGACTCCCAATGTTTCTCTAAATGATGTCAGCCTATGATAAGTATCAATCTAAAATGACTCTGTTTCATTCCTACTTACATAGTTTGAAATAAAATTAGTTATCTTTCCCAGTTGACTTGTTCTAATTAAACACACTCCCTCTCTTATTCATCACTGAGATTAGATCACACAGTAACAAATTATGAAACGCTAATTGATATTACTGAATCAGTAAAATATCAGGTACAAATATACTCATGTATTTACCATGTGTTGATGTGAATGTCTCAGAATCGATTTTCTTGTCCACTATTGTAGATTTTTCATAGCATTTATGCACATTATTTCATAGAATTTTCAGAATATTCACAAAAGTGGAAAATAAAAGTAGAATTGAACAAAGTTTAAGATAAACTATAAACAGATATTTTATTTCTTTTAAATATTCGGTAGATGAATTGTTGTCTTCGACTTTTGATTCAATTGACTATATGATTGTTTTAATGAATGATCATCTGTATTTTGGCGCATAACACGTGTAGAAATATGTAATGGTGAGTAAGATGATAGATTTAATAATGATTTATAGTAATTTTCATTTATTGGATCTACTGTAGTTAAAAGTGTAGATGTTGTTGTTGATGTGATAGTGACAGGTTGATTTTGTGGTAATACAGTTAACCCAGTCGTTGTGACTACTGAAACTGCTTGAGCTACATTTGGCATAGAAACGGATAAATGATGAATTCCTTGACTTGTTGTAGACTTACCAGTTAATGAACCCAGAGAAATGGCTGTTAACGCTAAATTAGAATGTGTTGCATAACTATTGGAGTGATGTTGTAAATTATGATTATTCTGAATAATTTGTGTATGATTTGTGAAGATCGGTTTAAAAAGTGATACTTGTCCATGTGTTCGAGAATCTCCATAAGTATTCATATTACTCGTTGAAGTAGTCGTAGATATGATAGAAGTAGTAGAAACAGCAGTGATATTAGAACTCAAGTTTGTAGCTGGCGTTCGATAAAATGTTCGATGAGTTGAAATTGATGGCAATTGCTAAGAAAATCATAAAAGTGTATTCTTATAAACTCTGAATAGCAAACAGTGATTATTGTTATCCAAATAAGAGGAATAACAGTAACATTACAACAAGTTAGACGTATTTTACACAAGAAATTGGAGTATATAGTTTGATGTAAATACGTATGAATTTCAGCATGAAAGAATATGATGATATAAAAAAGGTAACTTCAAGTTGTTCGCTGTGTTGCATTTAAGAATCGCTATCTAGGGTCACTTGGACCCCTTTATATACTCATCAAGTCACTACAACTTTTAAAATATTGAATTGTTTTCTACTGTGTTACTAACTGATTTGTTTATTATTATTATTATTAGTTGTCCCTTGGGTTCCTGGTGGAACATGGAGCTTCAGTAGCACGTCTCCACTCCACTCTCTTCTCTAAAATCTTTTGAACCTGACTCCATGACAGCCCACAAGCTCTCATTTCCTCCTCACACGATCTCCTCCATGTCACCCTCACCTCGGATGCCCAACTCGTCACTTCCCATCTCGGTTCCACTCGAGTGCCTGGCCTGGCAGACGCGTGATGTCCTCGAATGGTCTTCTCAGTGTATGCCCAATCCATCTCCACTTCCTTACAGTGCATATTTGTTCAGCGATAGGTTCTTGGTTGTTTCGTTATCAGGCCAGAGTTCCTTGTTGCTTATTCTTATTATTCTGGCCATCTCATCTTCAGTAACGAGCGTAGGCTGCAGTTGTTGATGAGTGTTTATAATTTGTTGGAAATGCCCTTCGTAACGCGCCAAGTCTCTGAGCCATACAGGAGCACTGACTTGACGTTGGTGTTGAAAATCCAGATCTTGTTCCACATACTGAGTACAGAAGATCTCCACACTGATTTCAGATTAATGAAGGGTGGCCTGTCTTGTTTTTCTGATCCTGGTTGGCTTTGATGTCCTCGTCTGTGCCGCCTGTAGTTGAGACAGTGCTGTCCAGATAGGTGAAGGAGTCTACTACCTTTCAGTTTCTCCCATTGATGGTGGTTGGAGCTTGTTGTTGTTATTGGTGGTGTTGGTGTTGGTTAGGTATCTTCATCACCTCCGTCTTCTCTACATTCACTTGAATTCTTGTCTTCGCTGCTCTACCTCTTCTGTCAAGTTGTTAGTTTTCGCCTGTAGATCTTCAAGTTTGTGTGATATTAGACATAAGTCATCGGCGAAATCCAAGTCTTCTGGGTTCTTTTCCCCGGTCCAGCGTATCCCCTCTTCTCGCTCCTCACAATTTGTTGCATGATCCAGTCCGCTACAATCAGGAATGTCATGGTTACAGCGATTAGGAGTATTTGTTCCGCCTTAGTGTTGAAATATTAACGAGTACTGGTCAACTGATATTGCTATATGTAGGCTGATTTGGAGAATAAATTCATAATTTTGTGTTATAGCTTGTATTTCTCTGTCGTTGACTGAACTGATCAGCTCTTATTGATAATATGAGCTCCTTTGAAAAGGCCTCGATATAGACTGGATTTTCATTTTAGATATTAATGGTGGAAAGTGGCTAGTAATGGAATCCAAGATGCACGCTTTGTACTAACTGGAACTCCTCAACTGGATGTATCTGTATTTCAGTGAGTGATGATATTCTCTCTAATGCTCGAATGTGTAACCAACCACACTATCCAAAAGATCCCTTCTGTTCCGTTTTAAGTCTGTGACACGGGCATTAAAAGTAGGAGACATAAAACAGTGACAGTTTTTGGACCACAGGTGTCTTCCTAGCATTGCTCAGGTTTGGTGGGATCACCGAATGAGCAATGCTGAGGTCAGGGAAAGGATACTAGGTAAGAGAGTCTAGTCGATTGACTAGGTTGTGAACCTTAGTTGTCTGAGATGGCTTGGACATGTACTGAGCATACCAAACCACCGCCTACCTTAACGTACCAGGCTAGATGCAGCTGGATTAAGTTGGAAGAGCATCCAGGGTGGCCAGACCAAGACTTGGCACCAGCTGATCAAGTCCCTGACTGTTTTCTTGACTCCTGTGGGGCGATGTAGACTGTCTGAATGGGGTCCTCGAGACGAAAGGAATCAGTGGTTGAGAAGTCTTGGTGACATGTTTGGAAATTAGTCACAATGGCGTAGATGTATTCACTCTTTGACACCGTCTGAAGCCAGAATATTCACACTACTTTATCTACTTTGGTATCAATACTTTTCTATCCACCTGTTCTGTATGCAGTGCTGTAAAGTGTGTCAGCTTGAAGCGAAGCACTTGTGCGTGAGTTTCTGCTATGATTTCATTAGTCATTATCCTAAAGCCACATCCTAATATCAATATCTTAAAGTGAAAATCCCGGTAATTTGAGGTGTCCACATACGAGCCCAAAAGTGGCCAATCATTTCTGTCCAACCGACTGTGGTTAATTAAAAGCAACTACATACTACTATACTTCTCAATAAGGAGTGGTCTAGTGGATAATGCTCTGGCGCCTGGGGCGTTTGGTGACGAGTATGGGCCCAGGTGGGAACAAAACCACTTACTGGGAGGCATGTATGTCTTGATAAGAAGCCCGAAATAGGATGAAAAGTGTGTTCAGGATTTCATTGCTAGCCACTATCCATAACTGATATCTAATTTCACAGTGATGTTAAAAATTTTTTAGTTTTCTAACTAGAAAGAAATGTACTGCAGAAACTGCAATGTTTATTACACTAAATTTAAGGGATACCTACATTTTTTTAATAATAGTGCTGTATGTGGAAAAAGTTCATAAATTCAGGTAAATGGTAATTACTTTCTAATAGGCATCATTAGTTCCTGACAAGAAATAAATACTCTAATTAGTAATCAGGTCAAATCGCCGTCAAGCTGTTAATGTATTCATCGACACCTTTTGTTCCTCCAACTGATGTCAGTCCACGATGAATAACAACTTGAAATAATTCCAAATCTCCACAACTCCCTCAAAATTTAATTGGACTGGAGCTCATTGGTGACTAGCTTCGAGAAGTATTCCCGAAGTTCCAATGAGAAGTCGTGACCGGTGGAGTCAAAGCCTGATGGCCATGAAGACAGATACTCAGCGTTGACATTGGGTAGCGGTTGCGCTATATATCGTGAGCTAACAGAAGTTGGAAATATGGAGCATTGGATTCTGACCAGTGGCTCAATGGTAACGCGCTGGCCGCGGAACCTGAAGGTCGTGGTTTCAATCCCTGCTGGTGGGGTCGTGGGTGTGCACTGCCGAGGAGTCCCATACTAGGATGAAACAGTTGTCCAGTGCTCCCAGGTTTCCTTTGTTCCTCCAACTGATATCAGTCCACGATGAATAACAACTTGAAATAATAATAATCTTTTATTGAATGAACTCAACCATATCAATTTGTAAGGGAGCAAGGAAGTCAACAAATGACTCAGCATACGAATTCATTGTCTTCAGTATACGATAAGGTAATGCAAATAAATGAAAGCTCTGAACCCAAACTTGATTAGAGGTCACCAATGTGTAGCTGAAACCTAAAAGTAACCATTATTTAGCACCTCAGTCGAAAACTTTACCATCCAACCCATTGAGCTAGTAATTATTTATGAGTTAAAAATGGATGAGGAATACTTCATGTACTTAAGAAATATCACTCTGTATTTTGAGGTATATGTACCCGTGCACGCACCAACCTCGCCAGGGATCGAACCCAGGGCCTACAGATCTCTCGGTGAACGTGTTAGCCATTCAAGCACTGAGTCAAGATGCAGTAGTCGACAGTTTTCTACCTCTGCCAATTCAACATATATCTTGACCATCCACCAAGGTCTTCAGTTGGTGGGTTTGTGAATGCATACTACCGAGAAGTCCTATACTACGACGAAACAGCTGTCCGGGGCTCTCAGGTTTTCAATGATTCTCCAGACAATATCGATCCGTGTTGAAAACTACCTTAAAAATGCGGTCTTAACAACAAACAAAATGTCGTAAGAAAAACTATTTCTTTCTTAAGACGGTAAACATGAAGCGACATTAGAAATATTGATCTTTTGAGAAATTCCTGTTAATGCCTAACATTAAATCATAACAGATTGTAGTATCGTATAATTTAAAGCTTGTGACTATGTTTTACTCTTTGGTGTTAGACTACATTCAGTAATGAGAGGAATCAAGTACTGGTTACACAGTTTTCTGACTGGTAGTGAACTTATGTTTTGAAATGAACTACGACTGTTTAATCAGTAGTGATGTTTGTTTAAATGGTTCGGTCGATTATACATATTTAAAGAATAAATTTCCCATGACCCAGAGTATAATATATGGATAGGTTTACAGTAAACAAACAATAATACATAAATATGTATCTATATAAACGGTTATTCATTATTCATTTTGTAGACTATTTTATAGTTACTCCCTTGAATGAAAATATGCATTTTTTACGCCCTGGATAGTGGAACAAATACGCATGAAATGACTCATTGGAATAAATCTGTATCAAGTTTAAAAAAACTCACCCACCAGGTTGATATTACCTGATGGTTATTTAAACATAACTAATAAACTCATATACATTGCGTGCTGGAGTTTATATATATATATATATATATATATATGTATATATATATATATATATATATATATATATATATATGTCTTCAAATGATGAATACCGTTCTTCCAGGTATACATGAGGAGTTAACAGGCAGTCTCCAGGATTATAACCTGGAGGCTCGACAACGTCACTTTACGACTTGTAAATTAACTCCGTTTATATGAATGACTGTTTAATATCTCTATTTCATAGGGTATCTCATTTCGGTTAGATGGTTATCATTGGCATAATAATTTGTACGTTTCTCCATGTGTTTAAATATGTTGTGAATTTCACTGCGACGTTGATTAACTTTAAATAAGATTTTAACAAATAATTTCGGGAATTATTAGTCAAATTTTATAATTACTATGTAGTGTACACAAAATGAAGTAAATTTATTTCATTCTTTCATATTTATCCTGATGGTTTTGTAACAATTATCAGTTCGATGAAGTGTTATACAAAGTTTACATATTTCTTGTCTTTTGAAAACTTTCTCTGAGTGCTTTAATGTAAACGGTGTTCCATAACGATACGAGGATTGTATAAAATGTAAGTGATATGAAAGAGCTAGAACAGCAACCTTAGTCTTTACAAGAACTGGTGTGGGATCATGCCCCACTCATGTCCACACTAAGCAAAATACTAAGCAACATCATCCTGGAGAGATGAAAAATATTTTGGATTCAACTAGATTACAACCACAGCTGCCTGGCTGGCTGGCTGGCTTCACGAAGAACAAATCATGTGCAAGTCAAATTACAACGCTACGCTAAACGCTACACAACATCATAGAACACAACACAGAATGACAGAATGGCAACTCGCTACCTCAACTTCATCCACTTTGAATAGGCCTTCGACAGCGTCGACCGAGAAGCAATTTGGCAGGCAACTGCTTCAGCACTACGGTCTTAGTGCTACAAATCTTTGTCGTCAACCTCATTTGACAACAGCTAGATGCTATATGACGACGCCACATGCCAAGTGATTCACAACGGAAAGGTCAGTGACGTCTTTGAAGTAAAGACAGAAGTAAGAAAAGGTTGCCTACTATCACCTATGATCTTCCTGATTGAGGTCGACTGGACTGGACTGGACTGGATTGGACTGGATCGTGCAACAAACTGTGAGGTGCTATGAGAAGATGGGTATTCGCTGGCTAGACCGATGAAAAGATCCTCAAAAGATTTGGGTTTCGCCCATGATGAGCTATGTCTAATGTCTTCTACAGCACAAACTCGAAAATCTATATGTGAAAACGAACAAGTTGGCAGAAGAGGCGAGGCGAGGCGAGGCAGAGAAGGAAGACGGGATGTCCTTCAAGTGAACGTAGAGAAGATATCCAGCCACCACCACCACCAGCAACAAGCACTAATCAGCACCAACGGGAGAAATTTAAAGGAAGTTGTCTCTTTCTCCTGCTTGCCTAGACAGCATCATCTCAACTACAAGTAGCGGCACAGGAACAGATGACGATGTCAAAGCAGCCACGATCGGAAAGACAGTGAGATAAGCCTTCTTTCCTTCATTAACCTGGAATCGGTGTGGAGATCTACTGCAGTCCACTTCACTCCACTTAGCATAAAGCGTGAACAACATCCGGATTTTCAACACTCATTCAGTGAAGTGAGTCAGTGCTTCTATGTGATGACTGAGAGACTTGGCGCGTTACGAAAATCATTTCCAACAAACTACAGAAATACATCACATCAACAACTGCCACCTACACTCGCTGGATCCTGAAGATCAGATGAGATAGATGGCCAGAATAATAAGAATAAGCAAGGAGGAAGTGTGGTCGGGCAATGAACCAACCAACCAACCAGGAATCTATCGCCCAACAAATATGTAGAAGAAGAAAGTGGAGATGGATTGGAATTGGACATACACTGAGAAGACTGTCTGAAGACATCAGGCGTCAGGCTAGTTCAGTCCAGTCCATGCCGTCGAGTGGAGTAGAAATGGGAACGACGAGTTGATTGTCCAAGGCAAACGTGAGAAGGAGGAGATTGTGTGTTCGGTCTCATATTGTTTGATAATGCATTGTTTTAACAGAAACCTTCTGGTGAAGTTAACCGCACAGTAATTTTTTAGTATGTAGTCAGTATATTTCCCTTCCATTTTTCTGTTGGTGTAAAGTATTGGATTCTATAAAAGCATCCCAGGTGAATAATCTACACAAACGACTATCTTTTCCGTGTTGTTGACTGTTTACTGTTGGAATTAACTTTTCAATCAATCTTAACTGTAAACTGATTGAATTTTAGGAGTATAAGAATGACCTGGATATGAATGAATGGCAATAAGTTCAGTCCGTTGAACGCATACTCATTTTAATGGATGTCAGTTTAAACACTTCAGCCAGCCAATTTACTTGATTGTGGCTAGTGAAGGAATCCAGAAAGCGCTTCTCGTCCTATCTGTGACTCATCAACTGGATTTACTTGCACCTTAGTGAGTAATTTTGTTTCTACTGGTACTTCAAACTCTTATTTATCAGTTCAAACACCAAGGCGTTATCCACTAGGTCACTGATGCACGATAACCACCTCTTGTTCAGTGGGTATTAATTATTACCATATGTCGATATACTTGTAATTCTCCTTTTTTTTTTTACTGAATCCAATTATTTAACCTCTATTGGTATATGGACTCCTATGTAAGTGAATGAATGTTCTGATTCCACTACTTATGTAATAATGGCTAGACCATTTCTAAATTGTATTCCCCTATCAGTGTATTTACATTTCCTGAGATAGAGATTAATTTCAAAGTGTAGTTAATTGAATTGGTTGTGTTGATGTGAAATGTATAACAGTAATTTATTTTCATACTCTTTCATCGAATACACAGGCAAAATCTTAATAAAGACCATCTGATAGTTACCACACTATTGGTCCTATTCGTCTATTAATATAACAAATTATAAAAGACCGTAGAATCGTTTGATACATGATACTCTGCTTATCTGTGATACACTATTGTTTTTGAGGCATCTTTTCATTGATGTAATCTGTAAGATCATATGAGCAATATGATTTGTGTTGGTTAGGATAACATATTCATTAGTGAAGAGTAATGAAAAAAGTCGACAAATTGGTAAATTAAAAAGTGTTCAAATGTTGGTCTGCTGATGAGAAACTGATTGAGAACTTTGGCTCTTAGCCGTCTGTAACTCCAATGATTCTGTTTCATTCATTATGTCTTTAAAAAAGGTTTCATCTAGCATACCAAAGTCATATCATATAATAAGTATATAATACAAAGCAAACACATACAATTTCCCAAACTTTATTCACCTTCTTTCCAATAAAATCCCATGTATTAGGAGTTTTCTGATTCATTGCACCTATTCTCATCTTTGGATGAAGTGTAGTCTTAAAAGGATATGAAACTGGGTTGATAGATTTACTGGTTGCAACTTTCAGATCAATTTTTTTTGGTGTATTCTCTAGTCCAAATTGCTTTTCATTTTTTATCAATGTATTCGAAGAGGAACTGAAGTCGTTCATAACACTTGTACCAATATCTACAAGATAATAAAAATATGTTCCTTAGAACATTAAGTATTTGAACTTAAATTTCAAAAAAACTTTTAACAGGTTATGGAAAAGAATTTGGATAATTGAATACAAACAACACAAGACTAGATCATCATATAGAAGTTCAGGCTTTAGAATTTTGATCAGCACCTGTTATGCAAAAAGTAACTATATTTCTACCAGAAAAATCTTCCTCTAGACATATATCAAATTGTCCCTTTTCAATTTGATCTAATCGTTTAAATATTTTCTTCAAAAATATTACGTACTCTTGTGAATATTTAAAATGTTCTAAACTAAACGTTTTCCAAATTATTAACAAAATGAAGGAAACATATCATATTAGACGAAAATGAACTTTGAATACACAAAATTAAATCATATTTTTATCTTGAAGGGCACATTCTTCTACGCGTTGAATAAGATGTTACCATTAAATTTACGCTAGTTCTACAATTGATTCCTTATTCTACATCGGACACTAATTTAGCACCAACCGGTCGCTTCATATTGCTGCCCATTTTAATGAAATATTCATTCTGCTTGAAAATACCATTTTTGGAGTGAATTTATTACATACTGAAAGTTCTTTATTGTATCAAATATATTGCTTGGAATAAAGGTATTACTGGTTTCTATTATTATTTGCTGGAAAGAAAGAAAATTGCACTGATTTCAGATTTTTTTAAAAACTGGTAACTGAAAGTGGATTTTTTGAACTATTGAGTTATAATGCTAAACTAAACTAATCATTTTAAGGTTGTTATTCATCGTAAACCGACACCAGTTGGAGGAACAGAGGGAACCTGTTTCGTCTTAGTATGGGACTCCTTAGCAGTGCGCACTCATGACCCCACCAGGGATCGAACCCATGACCTTCAGGTTCCTTAGCCAGCATTTTACCATTGAGCCACTAGGTCGGAATCCAGTGGTCCATATTTCCAAATCCTGTTAGCTCACGAAACAAATATATTCTTCGAGAAGATCTAGTTTATTGTTGGTAAAATTTACTTTTACCGTACTATTGCCTTGTTAAATATCACTTCAACCTTAAATATAAAACTTTTCCTGGAATTCAATGAATCTAAGTTAACTGAGACGATTTTGTATCAGATATTCTACACAGAATTGTCTTTTGTCTCCTTGTTAAGTTTTTAAAAACATAAAACGTGAAAATAAAAGTTTCCTTTTCAGAACTAGTTGTCATTATAATGACAAGTTTGTTTCAGCATTTGATCAAGTAATAGTAGCTTCGATAGAATTAAATTTTTCAAATGTAGAAAAACAAGACTAATTGCCTGAAAACTGATTATTTGCCTCTGTTGATTACATCCCATACTTACTATGTCTAACAACTACTTCAAGTAACTATTGTTTATGAATAGATAGACTATGAAATAATTAACAGATTTCAAATGGCTCTATTTTCCTGAGTAGAAATTTGATTTTTCTTTCTCGATTCAAAAAATATTACACTTTCTGAATATTAACACTTTCGATGTGTTGACAAGAGTTTGAAACTAAAAGATCCTAAGTGTCAAGAATGTCGAAGATTTCCCTGAAATATCCGATATTTTCTTGATCCTAAACATAAAAGAAGTTTTCTCTTGACTTCATTTTGATTACGAGGAATTTCAGTTTATATATTGCTGATGGATAGTAGATAGAGGAGTAGTACAGGACGTGAGTCTCGTCTTATTTGGGACTCGTCAGCTGTATGCACCTTCACTCCACAGGTCGATCAGTCCAATCTAGTCTAATAAAGGTGAACTATAAGGTGGCTTTCGTGCTTCATTGACTTAGTGGATAACGCCTTGGCGTTTGAAGTGATGGGTACTAGGTTCAAGTCTCAATGGGAACAACATCACTCACTAGGATGCAGGTACATCCAGCTGACAAGTCCCTAAAAGGAAGAAGCATGTGTCCAAGACTTCACTGCTAGCCACTCCGTCAGTCAAACCATCAGGTACCGCAAGTTACTTTTCTTACCAAAAAAGTAAAGCTTGGACACTGTGGTCGACTGTAATTCCTTTTTAGTCTATTTATTAGAAATATCACACAGTGAAACAGTAGCATTTACTGGATAACGTTTCACTGTGTGCTATTTCTAATAAACAGACTAAAATGGAACTAGTTATCTTATTTATTGATATTTAGTATTGCGTAAAGTTAATGAGGATCACTAAAAGACGCCTCATATCGGTGGTTAGTCACTTAAGAGCGATATCCCCTGCAAAGTCACCAAGACTGTAATGTGCTCTGAGGTTAGATTGTATTTTGTAATGATACTTGTAACTTCCTGTTACGTTACAGGGCTGAATTGCTCAACTTCTGTTGGGTTTCTATATGGATGCTTCGATACCACTAGATGATAGATGTTATATTTTTGGCTAGTAGAGGAATCCACGATCACCAAGATCAATAAAACATTATAAATATCCGGTAATGACAAGACATTCGCAGAGAAGCCCATCTGCCGACAGAGGTCGAGCACTTCGACTCTGTATAGCAACGGGAAATTACAAGTATCATTACAGCAACTGATACCTGTTGTACAAGAGGTAATTGTCGTGCCCCAGTGGCTCGGTGGATAACGCTCTGGCCCTTGTAGCGAAGGGTACTGGGTTTTAGCTTCAATGGGAACAACATTGCTAGCTGGAACACAGGTGCATCCAGCTGACGAGTCCCAGACAGGATGAAATCCGCATCCTGTGGGTTCTATCTGATAAATTAAAATTCCTAAGCTAAGGCACCTCATCTGTTTTACACTCTTATTGATAACTTCTTTTACTTTCACTAAAGCATTTTTTGTGTCTGCTGACATTCTATTTAAATTTAAACAGAAAATCTGAACCGCAGGTGGATTCGAATCAGTGACCACCGGGTTGTACTGGCCCGGTGTTCTACCAATTAAGCTACAAGGTCCAAGTGATGACGGAATTTTTATTTCATTCCAATCACCAAGGGTTTTGCCCGACTACCATATGAGTTCGTCATGCATTATCATCCCTTGACCACACTGGTTGATTGATGAGGACTTCTCATCCCAATCCAAATATACTTGAATTTAAGAGAGTGTGCATCATATTGATTATCACCTTGACTATCTAATATAACTGTGGTTTGTCAGACTGGCATTTGTGTTGGCCGTGGTTGAGATTTTCATTTCACCTTTAATCATCACCCAGTACAATACAAGTCTGCCAAACCACTGCTATTTCAGATAGTCAAAATGGTAATTAAATAGGGAAGACAAAAAGAAATAAAATAAAGGTCAAGAAAATTTAAGAGAACTTTGCGTTTACCCAACGGATAATTCAATCAACTGAAATCCTATACATATATCATAATAAAATATTTCACCATTTTCTTCTCATCCTTGCAATTTTCATGTAAAATGTTACATTCAGTCCTTTCCTTCCATGTGATACTGTTCTAGTTACTATGGTGAAAACACTTAAAACCAATGGAATGCCATATATGGATAATATAAATGACTAGAAATTATTATGCATTAAAGAAATTTATCTACAAAAAGGCTAAACTAATAACATACTTGTATCATTTCCTAATATATTGCTTACTTTATCATTTTTACAAAAATGACTTATATATGTGTCTGTTTCTATGGTGACTAAAGGGATAAAGTTAGTTGTAAAGTGTTTCTTCTTTCGTTTGAAGACTTCTTTGTTAATTTAAGAAATGACATTAGCTTATCATGAAATATCTCTGGTTACATTCTGTTGTATTTATATTATTGGCTAGTGCCTACTAGTATTTACTAATAACGTAGGCAGATGGTTCTTCTACTGTCTGAAAAAAGTGATTATGTTCCACTTGATAGCTTCAAATGCAAAGCGAGTAAACATAAGACTGTAGTGATATAGATCTTCGAGTTTGTGCTGTAGAAGACATTAGACGTAACTCATCATGGGCGAGACCCAAATCTTTTGAGAATCTTTTCATCGGTCTAGCCAGCGAATACCTATCTTCTCATAGCCCCTCACAGTTTCTTGCACGATCCAGTCCAGTAGGTGTGTAGCGTAGCATTGAATGATTGTGAGTCTCCTTCCTTTTGATTTGAACGTTGCTGTCATGAACCTCACCCTGCAGGAGGAGATTAGTTCCCACTGTATGAGAGTGAACCTTCGATGCTGTTGGGGACATCATGATAGCCACTGGAAAACTCAATGTGCTCGTGGTTGTCGTCTGGGTGACAATATCGGAGTAGATTATTGACTCTCCAGTTAACAGTTTGGAGAGTCCAGTCCCATTCTATTTACAGGCTCCTCGCAGATTCCTAGCACTTCTATGCCATATCTTCTCATCTCTTTTGCAATCTGGGCAGCCTTGCTAGGTTCATACATGGTGCCGACATTCCATGTCCCCACGTTTACTTAAGCTTTCATCGAGAGAGAGAAGGCACATCGGCCAATTGGCTTCCCTGAGGCTTTCGCCATCTGGCGTCATTTCGTCTCCCCGATTCCAGCGAGAAATAGGTTCATTTTAATTTTTATACTTTCTTTGGACTTTAAAGTTTCTTTAGCAATTGGGTTTGTTTTCCAGTGTAGGATTGCTAACCGTATGCCCAACCTTCCCTCTTTCCCGGGCTTAGAATCGGTTAGTTAACTAGTGAACTAGTAAACTATGCAAGGTTTTTAACTTAATAACTCAGTGGTAATTCCCTCGTCAAGACATCTTGTGCTCCTGAACTAAATTCTCCTCAAAGTCGTGTGATCATACTGTTGAGAGGTTCTTAGCCTCAGCAAAGCGGTTGACCGGTACTCTTTCCCATAGTTTTCATTAGCCCCGTATCTCATATCAGTCTATAGCGAAGGTTACTTTGAAAATAAAATGTAACAGAAAAAACTCTTTACGCATAAACTTATGGGTAGTTGGGAAAACATCGCCCTTAAGATCTGTTCCTTTGCTCCTAGATATTGTAGAAATACATGGATGACACGTTTACGGTGTTGAAGTCAGAACATATCCATAGGTTTTTGACACAAACAACTTCAGTTGTAGATGCAAACTAGTCTACTTAGGAATCATACAATGATGAAGATGAACTAGCTATGCCTGACTACATAATAAAAAGAAGACAATAAGGGTGCTGAGAATGCCAGTATCCACAGAAAACCTACGCATTCGAATCAATACTTAGATTTCAAATAATCTCATTCCAATGTGGTTAAAAATGGTTTAGTGAAGTGTATGAATAATCGACAGAATTGTTCAAGTAGTATAACAGAAAATCTATGACAGGAAATAAGATATGAATAAAGACTTAGTACTTAACGATTATCCTCATGTGCAATGAGACTGCCCACATCTTCGTAAAAAGCCCTAAATTCACGAAGCCTTTCACAACCAATTATGTTTCTTTGAAGTTTCAAGAGAAAGCACATGAATGTACGCCTAAATATCAGATTGCTTGAACAAGCGAAGTCATTAGGAAATGCCCTTCAAGAAAGGCCTATAAATAGTCAAAGCCATTGTGAATATATCTAATCTGGGCTGTTTTGTATATACTTTGAAGTTACAATATATCTTCTCTCATACTACCATCTTTTCTACTTATCAAGGAACTGAACGACCGTCATAGGTGGGACCAGATAGTTATTATTCAAGTCTATAACCTTGAAATATCTTGAATTAATCCAGAAGCACATAGAAAACTCTAAGAGAGAGATGAATAACACAGACACAGATAACATCCACACCAATAGTAACAATACTAAGAAAAGAGTATTCAAAGCACCTGTGATATTATAGCGGAGGTACTTCAGAAAGTTCACGCAGAACTCCTAATAGAGATGACATTTAAACAGACGAACTCACTGAGAAACAAATCTTGAGAGTGTAAAACTTGGGCACTGTGGTCGAATGTAATTCCATTTTAGTCTGTTTATTAGAAATATCACACAGTGAAACTTTATCCAGTAAATGCTACTGTTTCACTACGTGATATTTCTAATAAACAGACTAAAATGGAATTAAAACCTTGAGAGCTAGAGGACCCTATAGAACCCATTAGACAAAATAATTTCACCTACTGAATCTCATGCAACGACTTTGAGGTCAAGGATGTAGATGAAAATTGTCGACCATGATCAATTAGAATAACAGAGCACAAAAGCTTAACGAAACTTAAGATGCTAAATCCTAGTAAGATAATAAATCTAGTAAAACGTTGGGGGCGTTACGATGCATACAATCTTAAACAACCACAAAATAGAATAGGACAGATTGACAATCCTTAAAAGTGAATTAATGCAGTAGTGGTAGGGGGAGATAAAAGAAGTTTTGTTTATCGAATCAACAAAGAACAAATGTAATTGGAATAACTCAACGCCTATTCTAAATATTAAAAGTATTTCACTATTCATATGACAAATGAAGAAGAAGAAATAGAACTTTAAAAATAGGGTGTGAAAAATGTGCATTTACCTTTGTTATGAATATGAACAACAAATTCTGTTCTAAAAGTCATTTAGTTGAAGAAAAACAATACTGTTTCACTGTATGAAATATCCAAGAAGTTAACCATAACAACAGTCAAAACCTACTCTCATTCTTTCCAGTTGAAACTAATATTTACCTTGGATTTTACACGATAATTTATTATTCTTCTCAGATAGACTGTGCATTCCAAAGTATGGATGTTTTAATAACTCAGCACAACTCCATCGTTCCGAAGGATCCATTCGTACACATGCCTGTTAACGAAAAACAAACAGATGCTATTAAATGAATTCCTTGAAAAGAGATGGGTATTTCTATGTAGTTGTGAAGCAACCCCTTTAGAATGAGACTTTAAAAAAAACTTTGTTTTCTAGCATGATAAAAAGCGCTTTCTACGTACACATAAACTGAATGGAATGATTACCACCAGGAGAAAGTCGGCTATAAGCCGTATGATGAAAATCAGTAAAGTGATCAGAAAATCTAAGGTCTGAATTGCACCATGCACTGATTCTGCTAATGTATACTTAGTAAATCAATGTTACACTAAATATTTAGCACTTCGCATCCATAAAATCCAATAAACTAAAGAACAGTAATTTGTCTGGTTGCTAACCGTTAGATTATCACTAAGTAAAACATGTTTTGGTCATATTAAGTTTGGTGAGATAGGGGGGGGGTTATTGATCAAACTTCCGATGTTCTTCTAGATTGAAATATGAAGTGAACTGTCGGGATTTGTTCGTAGATAAATCAGCCGCCTGAACAAAAGTTTGGTGGTCAAGTCTGAAGGAACTATATTTTTTCCTCCTAAAGCACTACCAAGCAAACAGAAGGGATCTCGAATAGGATCACCATTTTCTGAATTCATTTCAGAAGCCGAAATTCAAAGAGTGAAGCATCATTTTTTCTGGTGAATAAACAGAAAGTTCAGATCGGCAGTATGGACAAACATTTTGTTATCATTTAAGAAGACAAATCTGAAAGTGAACACAACTTGATCAACAACGTTTTTAGCGATTCCATGTCCACAATAAAAGAATAATCGGTAAACAAACTATCATTCCTGGATGCTTTAGTCAATAAAACCAATGCAAGAAAACTGGGAATTTTATTGTACAGAAAGTCACCCCATACTGATCAAATCCTCAACTACAGTAGTACCAGAATAACAAAGTACAAAATTAGTTGTTTATAGACTTTAATCAAAAGGACACAAACACTGCAGTAAAATAATTTCACAGAGAAAAGAAGAAATTTGTTTGATGTCAGTTTTAAAAAAGAACGTTCTCCCACGCGAATTCATTACCACTATCAACTATAATGTCATCCACAGAGATTTGTGAACGGATTTTCTTGACATATACAGAGATGATATCGGACATCACGATCGGACTACAGAAGCTAATTCAAGTTAGTTTAGCGTATAAACTGACGAGTTCTGTCCAGGTTATGTCGTACAAACCAAAGGAAACTACAACGTAATATGACGAACCAAATACCATTTACACAATCAACTCCAGGAACTGCAGTCAGCACTGCATAAGACAAAATGGTCGGCTTCTTTGTCTTTAAATAAACATCATTAAGCAACTAAACGTCATGATATTTCTTCCTGTACTTCAATTCATGTGAAAAACTTTAAATGTGAATTTGATCCTGAAAATACTGAGGTTTTGGACAAAGGAAGTATAAATAGAACCAGAGCGTTCTTAGAAACCTGGAATTCAAGTTAATCAGCAATCTACAGGTGTAGAGACACGAACCGAGTCTATCAACCAGTGAGAAAAATGAAATACAAATAGAAGGTCAGAGGTCAGGCAGATAAATAGCCAATGGGAAAATCGTCACTATCAATGACACCCTAATCCAAGGTGATTATCAAGCGCATACCAATTCATCAAGGTTAGCTACTGAATCCCTCACGGAGAAATACTGATAGATCACTTCATATTGAAGCTGATATTGATGATGCTCAGAGAATAAATTGCAAAAATGTCAACCACTTTTGCAACGAATACTTCACATCATTTCATTTATTATGTGTCTACTGCCTGGGATGTTATGAAATTGTAATTTACACTCTATTGAAATGTACTCTTTTATGCTGTGAAGCTATATAACCAGATGATAACATGAGCACCTAAACGACAGATTTATATACAATTTCTGAGTTAACTTCATTATATTTTTCAAGCTACGTAGGAAGTAAATCATGTATTAATTAGTTTTGCACAAACAGTTATTACACTAAAATTTTAATTGTTGTTTGGCTTCCAACTTACTAAATCTTGTCAGAAAATGAATATTAATGTCACCTGTTGCTGTGATAACTCTGACGGTAAGTTGTGTTCGTCTCTTTAGTTTGTTATCGATTACCTTCTGTGATTTTACTTATTGTCACCTGAAGAGTGAGTATACTGCCTCAAGAATTGAACAGAAGTCAACTAATGGATCAGCAACAGTTATCGTGAATTAGTCTTTTTTTTTCCAAAAAGTAGATCTAATCGGATTTTCGTTCATTTTTGTTCATATTTTTTTAGAAAGAAATTTCTAGAATAATACTTTGTCATAAATATTCATGCATTGATTTTGCGCTACGTATGGTTTGACGGTTCAGATCTATTGACTTATATAAAACTAACCTTTGATTATTTCTCACGTTTCTTACCTTTTTTTCATTATTACCAGACCGTTGGCAATTTTGCTTACTCAAGTTCAAATTAAAACGTAATAATAACAATTGTGTCCATAATGGAGCTGATGATGATGCTGACGACTATGATTTAGATGAAGAGGATGATGAAACGGAAAATAGTAATGCAGTGGATAGTGAGGACGATATTGATCTCAGTGATGAAGATTCAGCCTCCGAAGACAGTCAGTTAGCTAACAAAATGTTAACTTTATATCAGTATTCCAAGTATCCTGTATTTAGACGATCAACTTATCACGGTGTTCATGAATCATTGGGATGTGAACAAGCAATACAATCCTTACCATTGTCATCAGCATTAGTGTTGAGAACACCATATTACAAGAGATACTCCCACTCAGAATAGGATATAGATAAGAGAATGACACTTTTATCATCCTCCTCCAGAAACTGTTAGTATTCTTGACTTAACCGTCGTAAAATTCATATGGTTAGTCACAAACCTTTCTGGATAGCCATTCCTACTAAGTAAGTCACACACAGTGGTGAACTTTTTCTTTATAGCATCGTAGGAGCAAATAACTGTGGCATGGTATGTATTAGAAGAATATGGTAACAAAGAATTGCATGTACTGACCTGTCGATGTTGGGTTTCTGTAAATACTTCTTTTTGAAGTTCCATCTAACCTTATTACCAACAGAAAATCAAGAATTAGATGCTGTCATTTCCCTCCTATCTCATTGTGAATTTGGTTACCGGATGAACACTAAAACACTTTTTGAGAACAGTGTTCTTACCAATCTCATTTTTGGGGGCAATCAAGGTAACATCCATGTAACTACGATATAATAGTTTCGTTCAAAGAACCATTCTACAAAGTGGGTCAAGAGGTGACCCCATAGATACATCATCAGAATGTTTGTAGAACTCATTTCGAAAAGGAAAATGAACATTCATCATGCATCTCGGTAGTTCTTTCATACTGGTGACTGGAGTACCTGCATGGTCAGTTTATTGCAAATAAACCTTAATGTCTTCGTTAAACGAACGTTTAGAAAAGAGAGGAACTAGAGGATATAACCGGGGTGAAATGAAGAAGAATTTTCCCTCATAAGAGAATTGTTAATATATTTGAAAACTTTCAACTTAATTTTAAAAAGTTCCGTATAGCATCTCACCTGTAGAAAATCTAATTCCTTTGGACTCAGTGTCATGGGAGAAGTTCGTTCAAACCTCTTCTCCAAGGATTCCTGAATATCCAAATAAAAAGTGCAGATTTTATGCTGAAAGTATGACATGAAATTAGAATTTTACAATAATTTCGGCGTATGATTGAAAACAATCAACAAAACTCGGTGACATTTAGTATCTGGAATAAACGTACGTAGTTTTGACATGATCACTGTTGGTCACGTTCATAGTTTAAGCATGAATGTCAACAAAGTATATTGCCTTTCCGCTTTAGCAGATGTCAGATATTTTATCCGACTGAAAATTCTCTGAACTGACTGTGAGTTAAACATCGAAAAAACTTGTTAATTAACAACATAAGCGCTTCCCACTACTCCTCTATTGTTATTGTTAATCATATAACAATAAAATGAGTAGTTTATAAGCAAAAAATACTTCTGTTTGGTTAAAAGAATAAGTAATTATGAAAACGAAATACATTCATCTTGCATTATACGATAAAACTCAGAAAGAAGAAATTGAAAACGTTGTTTTACGTAAAAATTGATTGGAGCTGGCAACCGAAAAAAAAGGACAAATCCATTTTCACTGACAGTAATGATGAGATAATAAATACTGGGTGATGATTGGAGGTGGAATGAAAATCTCGACTACAGCCGGATTCGGACCGGGTTGCTGGCCGGGTGCTCTACCAACTCAGCTATAAGATCAGACTGCTGACCAGATTTTTATTTGACTTCAATCACCAAGGGTTTGCCCGACTTGCATATGGATTCGTAACGTGTTACTACCACTTGGTCGTACTCATACTAGTTATCTAGTCAAGACTTCTCATCTCTATCGAAATCTGGCCCTTAGTTGGGTTTCGCAGTTCAATTGGTAGGATACCAAGCCTGTCACACCGCGGCTATCTCATATAGTCAAAATGAGAATATATTTATATCCCAAGCATCAAGGTCAGTAATCAGTTTTCCCAACCTCTCTTTCCAGTATTTGCCAACATCAGAAGAGAAAACAGTTGAAATATTGACTGATATATCTAAGTTAAACTAGTTTCTCATCAAAATATCAGGAATTATTGTATATTCTAGCTATTTTGTTATGAAAAAGTATTTCGTTCAAACAAATTCTTGGTTTCTAATATAAAATATATGTTGGAAACCGATACCCAGTAAATTCACCAATGTAATTCCTGGAGAGGTTTACAGATCTCAAGATTGAAAATCACAGGAAAATAGTATCCTTCGGTGTAAGTGCGCTTTTCACACCAATCAATCCATACCTCGCCAACAAAACAATGAATGTTGTTCTCAATAATGACCAGAATATTCAGAAGTGTCAGAAAACATTATGGGAAATAATTAATCTATGTTTTTTAACATACTTTTAGTTCAAGCAAACCAAAGGAACTATTATGGGTTCCAGATTGATGGTTGAACTAGTTGTATAAAAGTCTTAATGTGAAATGAAAACTTTTCAGATCAATAAGTGGTAATAAACACTTAGAAACTCACCACAGATGATGAAGATGGAACCTGAATGCCAGCGAAGTATTTACTTTGTTCAAATATTTGTCGATGTCGAGGATATAAATCACCTAAAGGAATTTCCAAAAGGTAATAGTTACAAGTTTAATAAACATGGAAACATTTAGATGCAATTAAGTTATCAGTCACAGCCTGGAAATTCAATACAATAAGCTTTTAAAAACGATTACTCATTGAAAGTGAGGGAAACAGGAATAAGTTTACTATTAAATTCCGTTCAGTTGGCTAAATGGTAACAAGCTTACAATAAGACTTAAGTATTCTAGGCTCTAGCTCAAATCAGATGGTGCGTGCATACTTCCGAAGAGTCTTGAAATAAGACCAAGCAGCCATCAAGTAGTCTTAGGCTTTCACTGCTCCTCCAAATGATGTCATTTGGCGATAAGATCTACTTTTATGTGTCATGATTTTTAAAGTATGATAACGGTTTTACAAAAAGACTGATTGAGTGGGCGAAGAAATATATTTCTTTTCAGTTATCAAATTACCAATCAAGTGGTGATGTTTTAGAAATAATCACGTAAATAATTAATAGAGTTACTAAAATTGAAAATATGAAGCAGGTTATTCTTTGGTAAATGGAGTGATTATTGATGAGTGTTCAGTCATAAACAATAAGCAGTTACGTAGTAATAAGAAAACGAATGATTATTGACAGAAACAAGAAGGGGAGGAAGTATACAAAGTAATACTAGAAGCTACATCATCTTGATGCCCGCGGTAATGAAAGTGGTCGAACAAACTTCTTTTGAATTCACAGGTTAGGTTTGAAAAGGTGGATTGCAATCGTCTCTGCTATGTGAAGTAAGCGAGTGCGTAATCTATGTGGTAAATTCATTCGAATATGATAAATACTTTTGAAGGCTTTTCTAGTATCCACTTGATGTCCATTGTTAACTAATTGTGTAAGTATGGAGCTCTTTATTGTTGTAATCTGTCCCTTGTTCAAACATGATGGGTGGTGCTCAGAAATTCGACGGTAGACCTGCCTCATTGTACGCTCAGTGTAGCTAGCTGCGCAGAAGCAGTTGAATTGATAAATGTACATAGAAGTAGCAAAATCAGACAGTTTGTCTTTATTTCTTGCATCTAGAATCGCATGGTTGTAGAAGATGGGACATAATTTAACGACTGGGAATGCTTTATGCTAGACTCTTTTCATGCGTTGTGTGATGATCTCACTGGTAACGTCATTCTTAAATTTCAGCTTCAGGGAAATTTGCTTCTTAGGAACTGTCGGCATTCTTGTCTTAACCCTTGTAACGTTCATATGCTCAATCACAAACTTTTCTGGATAACAATTCCTACTAAGCAGATCACGGATGGTGGCACACTCTTCCTTTATAGCATCCTCTGAGCAAATAGATGGGGCACGGTATACTAAGCATTTCACTAGGTTCCTTTTGTATTGAAGGGGTACGGCACTAAAGAAGTGCGTATATTGACCTGTTGATGTTGGTTTTCTGTATACACTTTGTTTCAGAGTTCTATCCAACCTTCTTATCAACAGAACATCAAAAAATGGGATAGTCATTTTTCTCCTCTTCCATTGTATAGTTGATTGCTGGATGAACGCTGTTGAACTTACTGAGAACAGCATTCTTATCAATCTGACTTTTGAGAACTAGAAATGTATCATCCATGTAACGACAATATAATTCTAAACAGCTAACAGTTTCGTTCAGTGGACCATAATGGCTTTATTTGAAATAGATGCAGCATTATGTCAAATCCTTCGCTCATGTGATGTTCAGCTGAACCTGGAACAATATTCAGGTTCAACTACACATGTGTATGCTTGTCAAAAGTGATATAATACTGAGTATACTTGAACAAATGAACTTAGTCACCTTGTGTGTTTTCCTCTTGTAAATGAAATATTTACCTGAATGGATTCATGATAAATGTAACACTAACATGATTGAACTCAAGTAGGGTCGATTTTCTAACCGTAGTATTTACTTATCTCATATATTTTTACTCAGATAAAAAAACAGTTGAAGTTCTTTGATCACCAACTAACTTCCCACTCAGACGTTGAATGCGCTGATGGAACACATCAGTTGATTACTGTAAGGTGACCAACTTCATTTTGTCTAACCATATGTGCTGATGGAATTCTATCGATTATTGTGAAATGTGATAACCAGGCTAGGAGAATTGCCATCACAATGAACTGAGATGGATGTTAGTTGGATAGAGGCAACCAGCAGGAAACCCTGCTTCACCTAGGTTTTGTGCTTCAATCAGAGATGCTAGCACTACAACACTGGGTGACGTATATTTGATTCTCAGGCGGGATATCATTTCTGTAAAGGTTACACATAGGCCTTAGTGACGAGTGCCAACAAATACAAAACCTAGATACAACGCTTCCTGTCAATCGTCTCCACTTAACTTGTGTTGAATAAATATCATTATAAAGTATTAAAAATGATCTACTGAAAAGTTCTAATCAATAAGAAAATCTTATCTGATATACATCTGAACCGATACTATTGTTACACACTAGCGCATAGTACTGAATTGTACTTGCTATCAGGAATATGTAAAATGACTACTTACTTGAGTGATTCATTATTATAATGAAACATTATGCATAGTTCAAGGTACTTGTTATTTCACGTGAGAAACCTGGGAAAAACAACTACTCATCTATCAAAAACTTGTATGAAGCATGAAATATATTTTCATTTTAAAACAAAGGTATTGTCATTAAGACCAACAAGGGTTTCACAAGTAATTTCTAACCCTACTAAGTTTCTCGGTGGATAATTTTTTTCTAGTTGAGCTGATCAAGGTGACAAGATAGCCACACGTCTATTAGGAAGTGTATGTAGCTGGAAACTGGACCTAATTTGATTTGACTGTAAAGTATTTTCTTTGAAGATTGAAAGGACTATAACATAATTAGCATCTACTTATAAGTAGTTTAATACCAAGTAATTTATGTAATTTACTTAATTGTGGCTAGCAGAGGAACCCTGGAAGCGCGTTCCATCCTATTTGGGACTCGTCAGCTGGATTTACCTGCACCCAAGTGAGTAATGTTCGCCCTACTGAGATTCTAACCTCGTATCCAAGGCGTTATCAACTAGGTCACTGGTGCACATCAGCCACCTCTTGTACAATGTGTATTAATTATGAACATTTATTGATATGTTTGTAATTCTTCTTTGTTTTAAGTAAGTACTTTATAATAATAGGTAATTCAATGGTAATTCATATAGGGCTATATAAAACATTCTCGGTAGTTGATAGTAAGCGCTTGACCAAGTTATGAACCTGCAACAAATGAAGTATCTTAAGTTTTTGTTGTGCGTGATCTCACTGCTAGGTGTTAGCTACAGTTGAAGTAACTTCAATGAAGCATCAAGACTGAAAGCGGAAAGTGTCGTAGAAATTGAAGAGATCAGTGATGAGATGGATTATAATTACTGACTGGTACTTGGAATTTCCAGTTGTTTTAATGGGATGGAACCGTTCAGTCTCTCCTATGTAGATATCTCGATAAATAAAATAAATTATAGTATCGTACATCGATTAGAGTTTACGCTTTTTTTCCCATAAAAATCCACTTATATTACATTTTATGCGCTTTAACAACATTGCACTACCAGTTAGTCAATTCACTAGAGACATTTAATGAAGGTTTTCTATGATGTTGAGATTTTGACATGTAATAAAATGAACGCAGAAATATTCTGCTGAGTAACCCTTAAATGGTCTATTAAACGTTCACTTTCAAAGTTAATGAGAGTGGAAAACATTAAGATCCTGATTCATACCAAAATTATTTCAACAATCCCACTGAATAATGCAGTGAAGAAAATATTCTTTTGGAAGAATCATTTTCAAAAGCTGTACATCATAATTATAGTTACAACTATATATATATATATATATATATATATATATATATATATATATATATATATATATCCATCATTGGCGAATGGGACAGTAGATGGTCATCAAAAATTTCAAAGAAGACACTGTTTATGAATATTGGATTCAAGGGATATACATTGGCAGAGATATTAAAGAATCAAATGTGAGAAGCACTGAAGGAGACCTTCTGTTTCGCTCAGCTTAGGATTATTTTCTCTAGTCAACAACTGATTTGAAGGTGTCTAAGGGATAAACTACTGCTTTTGGCCACTTTCAGATGTGTCTACTAATTCACGTGCCCTTGTGGAGATGATTATACAGGCCGCACAAATCGTGTTCTATCCAAACGCATCCCTGAACACTATGCTGCATGGCTATCTACGTGGCAGTGTCAAGCCATCAACAGATCGATTCTTGAGCAGTTGGTTACGCCCCGTCACTGTGTCCCGCGAGAGTGTTCTTTCAAAGTTATTTATAAAATGAAGGTAAACATTTCGATGCGGGTGCGTGTTCACGACTTCAATACAACAGAAGCTCTAGTAATCCAGTGTTACAAACCTGCTCTTTGTGCTCAAAAAAAGATGCAGTCATTCTGTAACTTTACCTTGGTCGTAATCTTCTGAAGAAAGTTTATTCATTTTTTTTCGTTTGTTGACTACAAACATGTCAGCAATTTCTGATAACTTTGATTTAACCTCTTAATTGTCATTATTACTATTGTTCCTTGTATTATCCCGTTGTTGATTGGACAGAGTTGATCGGTCTTTATTGGCATAAGGACTCCTGCGCAGATGTCTCGATATTGCCTGTGTTTTAGTTATATTGGTGATGGATAGCGGCTAGCAGTGGGATCAAGGATGCACGTTTTGTCCTATTCCGGACTCGTCAGCTGAATGAATCTGCCTCCCAGTGAGTGTTGTTCCTACAGAAGCTTGAACGCAAGACCGATCGAATAAAAAAAGAGTGTTACCCACTAGACCATCAAGCCACGATAGTCACTTCTTGATCGACGGGTATAGTTTTAGTGTTATTGCTTAGATTATCCCGTCGTTGATTGGACTGAGTTGACCGGTCGTACAAAAAGTGGCTGTCGAGCGCCGATGGTCTATTGGATAACGCTGCGGCGTTTGAATCGGTTGGTCCCGAGTTCAATTCTCAG